ACCATTGAATTGCGAGAAAAGAGTCAACATCAAATGGTCAAGGCGAAGCACAAATCCACCCAACAAATTTTCACGACAATCTTCCAAGACCCCAAGCGTCACACAGCATCGCAATCATTCATGAAAATTTATGGCACAACCATTGAGTGTAAATGTCACCTAATATTCCACCTTTAATTAATTAAATATAACTTTCGCCTAATTTTCTTTCTCATCCACCAAACACAGTCAATTCACTGTGAAAATTATGATTAATTAACCACCCAACACAATGTATATATACACAATTCCGAATGAACATTTCTCTATCTCACGCCCCTAAACATAATAAGAAAAGAGGGACAAAAACTTCCGCTGACTTTATAATTTCCGCCCCAAACACAAAAACCCCCCTACAAAAGCCAAATATCCCAGCACATCTTCGACGAAGTGGTAAAACATCGTTAACACTTTTTCCCAGTGAAACATTCGCCCCCAAAAACAAGGTATATAGATCGATATCTTTTCACGTCAAACTCCATTCTTTTCCCCACCAACATTCGCACTGTGATTTCCCAACAACAGCGCCACACTCTGTTGAAATCATTTTCCTAATTGGAATTTATTCCACCAGACATTTTCCACTACATTTCTTTCGCACCAGAATCTTCTTTTGCACCTGGCAAAGCACCTAACAAAGTGTTATTGAGTGTTGAAACACCAGAGCAAATGTGCTGTTCTATTCAATAAATTTGCCTCTTTTAGCTTGCCTTAGATATTATGTGTGTCAAAATATGACACTTACACTAAATACTCTTGAGAGAAATGTTCAGAACAAAAAAAAATCTCGAACATGAAAATCAAATTAAAACCATGCCAACAAAGCATCACGTGGAATTTATATCAATTTATGATTCCACTGCAGAAAAACAGTGTTCAAAAAAAAAGAACCACAGCGATTCAACTGGGATTTGCACACCTTCGTCTCGAGATTCGTGGGAATTTTCTTTTTAAAGTCTCTACGTGCTGAAGCCCCACCGCCGCCCGCCCCTCCGCAAAGTTCAAGGGACGAGTCTCACCCTGACATACCAAAAAGGATCTATTTTGCAAAAGCCGACATAATACTCGAAGGTGCTTTTTGGGGTCTTTTAATAAAAGGACAAAAGTCACCCCTCATTGGTTCACAGGTATAACATGGGTTCAATTTCACAATGTATATCTCCCAAACCACTTGCACAAATTTCTCACCGGCCCTCCGGACCCAGGAAAGGTGTCACATGGCTTTGGGACGCCGACACCTTCGGCGGTGTGAGTGTGAAGAGACGATTTTACCCCTTTGCAAATTTGTGTCCAACTTTGCAACTATCTCACCCCGCGCTTAAGGGTGAAACAGGGTAAGTCAGTAGGGAATTTAGGGTGTCGGAAGCCCCAGAAACTATATCCCGAAAGCACCTTTCCTGGAATCTCTGACTCCTTTCATTAGGCCTGGGACTCCAAATTCTATATATGCGAACGATCAGAAATATTTATTTATTATTTTCTCTCATTGAAACTACAATGCAAAGCTTTAGCGAAAAAAAGTGTAAATAATGGCAGCATATGAAGTTGCAGCCTTAAAGATCTGAAAAAAAGAAGAAAAGCATAATCATCAACTCTAACAAATGTTCTTGCAAGGTAACCTGAACGAAAGTGTAGTAAGAAATCACTCCGAATCCAAATGTTTCAACTTTGATCGGCCTATTGAAGCCATTCATAAGAATAAGAAGAATCTTCCGATCTTTTGCATCCATCAAATACCATTTTGTCATGTAAAGGGAATTTCCCATTTCTTCAGATCTGTTCTGTAAAATTTGACCAAAGTAGCAGAGAAGCAGACTTTGCACAACAATGACTGTCAGACAGAGGAAACAGGCAAGGATGGACACTTCCTTCGATTGCAGCAGGAACATTGCCGAGCAGAAATATACGAGAATCGTGGAGAGTTTATAAAAGTAGATTTGCCAGAAAGCGTTCGTCAGTTGCTTTGCATTCTCAAAGAAACTGGCGTGAATTTCGTAGATAATCTTTAAAATAACATGAGCCTCGCTTCTAACGACATCCTCATTGTTGAGATTAGAGATGAGAGCAAGAATGGACTTGATTTCTGCGTTGCAGTACATAATCATGACAATTATAACCAAATCTGAGCCAACGACGAATTCCAATGCGGTGAGATTGTATATCAATTGAAGGATAATGTTCACTGGATAGTAGAAAATGCTCTGCTTAGAAATGCCTGGAATGCTGTACAACAGCGGCGTATTATTTTCAGAATGAACAATATCAAAAACCACAACTGCTAATCCGAACGATGTTATGAAGATCCAAAAGAGTCTGGAGAAAAAGATTATTATAATAGTCAAAAAAAAAACATTAGAAATCGCTCTTTATCTACCTTCCAAAGATGAATGTTTGCCTAAGAGTTGCTAAATAGGATGTCTTCCTTAGATTCGATATCATATACTGTCCCGTATTGAGATTACAATCGAAGTATTTCACGATGTTCTGAATTTTCTCCTTATTCACAATGCTTACTGCCATGTAAATCATCGCACATTGAAAACAGCCAAAGATTATGATAATCGTGAATGACAGATCAATCATATTATCGTAGTTTAGTTGGAAAAATAAATGCCAGATGGAAAGTGAAATATTGGAGAACATTAAAATGGGGAAAACCAACAATTTTAACGTATTTAGCCACACATATTTCGATTTTGGGAGAAAATCCAAACGCCAAACACTTAAAAATATCAAGATAAATGTCTTGAAAATGCGATGGTACTTCACTAGCGACATTGCTTCCGAAAGAAGTCTTGAGCAGAAAGCTTCTGAGTTATGTTATCGATAACAAAGACTTTATATTGAGGATAATATCTAAATATTTTAGACCGCGCGTGGGAAAGGTCGTCTGTTTGTAATAGATTTAGTTTGGAAAGTGTTTAAATAAAATTACTTAACTGTACCTTATGCAGTTTTATCATAATCAATGTATAGCATAAGTTGCAAACTTTCATCTAATTCTTAGGAGAACACTATATTATGTCTCTGGAATTGTTTATTAGGTGTTATTGAGTTTCAAATGACTCATCTTACCATCACAACTACTTTCAAGTCTCTCCCAATAAAGATATTTCGGTTAGTTTTTCTAATGCATCATCACTTCCAATTGATTGAAAAGTCACGGTTCTCATCGCTAAAATCTCTCTCTCTCTGATAAAATAGAAGACAAACTTTCGATATTCACCATTAGAATTTGAATGTAGACAATTTGAAAGTTAAATGAGACTCTAATAGTACAATCTTTTTGAAATGCCACACATTTCAAGCTTTTCCATAAACTTCTCTCACAACTTTCTGCATTTGATCTAAGTAGATTTTCTTAAGTTTCTCATGCCGAAAATCAAGCATTTGAGAGACACAATTTCCATGGTATGACGAGCCCCTTGGTCAAAACTAATTTCTTCAATCTCATAGTCAATGATAGAGCTTATCTGGAGCATAAATTTCATTGTGGCGAGCAGAATCTACCCCGGAAATCTTCCTCACCAGCAACTTTCCATAGCACACGATGCATTTTGCACACCTTTGGCTGAAAACGGATTATCGACTGGGGAATTTTTCACGGATTTTCTTCGCTCTTCTGCACAGAAGATAAAGATTTTGCGGATAAACGCAATAGCGACAGCAAAAAAAAAGACTTTAATATCTGAGATGGAAGGAATTTTGTGATTCAAGAAGTGGAACTAATGCAAGGAGGAAAACTTATGAGACAAATCACTTCTTGTCACATTTTTTTCCACCCGTCCCACCAAAACACCCCTCATTCCTCATCCCCATCACACCCAAAAGCATCTCACAATGGATGGAATCCCACTTTTATCGCATCCTCTTCATCTCCTTTTTTTTTTACTGGCACGAGGAAATTTTCTTCAACATTTCATGCATTTCCCAAGTTTATCACTCACACCTAGAGTCTGACAATTGTTTGCAATTTTCATGCATATGTAAATAGAGAGAGAGAGAGAGAACAAAAAGACGATGAAAAGAACATCTCGCGAATGTCTTTTCATCATCCTATGTTTTCATTGCATGCGGAAAAGCTGTGTATAGACAAAATATCCAGTCGTGCTTTTCACACACTTCCGCATTACAAGTATTACAGACAACAAATTAAACTTTAATCCTTGCAACTCACACAGAGAACACTTGAAGAGTATCTGTTGTATCGAGTGGGGTTTACTTAATTAGTAATACCGATAATTTCAACGAGTTTGCAAAACCAAACATCAAACTAATGGCACAATTTGGCATCATTTCAAAACAACCCCTAAATCATCGCCATAGATTCCCGCATGAGAGCCACGAAACACGCGCAGAGGTGATTTTGGAATAATTCAATGACTTTTGTCATCATGCCTATCGATCCCCAAAATACCGAAATTCCCTTGTTCGCTAAATTTGCCACCAATTGATTCAGCGTACCGCAGTCTTTTTTGTTGTTTAGCGTTCGCTGATGACCTGTCAAATCTATAGACAAAGAGGGATCTTTGTTACAAACTCTGACACATTGAAAATTTTCAAATACAAAAGCAGTTTCAAAGCATTTGACATGCCCAAAAAACCATCATCAAATCCCCCCAAACCTCCAAATCCGTCAACTTATTGCACAAACCATGCTTCACTGGGAGAATATTAAAAAATATATTTTATCAAAATTGTGCATTTACCGCAAAAATTCACTGGTACTAAATTAGGGATTTAGTGAAATTAATATTTGCAGATAGCGAACACAATATTCGCTCCAATGATTAATGAGAAATGAGTGACATTCACTGATACTGGCATTTGCTATGCTATTGCATTTCATTAAAAAACACCTCAAAGTGAATTCTGTCAATTGGAATTCATATAAAATTGCAATGTTAATTGTCACATTAAACAAATCCCACGTGATTCCCTTACAGCTTTGCTCAACTCACCCAGTGAAATGTTGAGGGAATTCTTGGCGATTTTTCTCGCAACTTCCCGCGTGACGCCGTGGATTGGTACAGGAATTTGTCCCCACACTGTTTTCGCTCTTCTGCAAAGAACAAAGAAAAACACTTTATTAAAAAGTAATAAAGAAAAATATCCACAAGAAGCGTACAATTTCTACTTCACGCACAGGAAAGAGATGTAGAGAAAAAGCTCTTGGCAAGGGCACAACTTTAAACAGAGAATGGGAAATTGAGGAAGTCTCTGAGTATACAAATTTATTTATGATAATACTGGATAAATAACATTTGACGTCTTATATTTTCCTGGCATAATCATATGGAATTGCCTCTTTATCTCTCTCTCTCTCTCTCTCCCCCTCACTCTTTCAATATTTCAATTTGACAATAATTGTATGTTAATCCCTCGCAATGGTGGAATAGTAGGAGAATGGCATTTGAATAATTCACCAATAGAAATGCAAAAGGGTAAAAATGTTTCAATAAATTAAGGAAATTGGATGGCCTTATCGATGATTTCGTATCAACAATCAAGCAGAATCTCTGAACAATATGGCCAATATTTTCTCTCTCTCTTCCATTCCATTGCCATTATCCCAAAACAATGTATTGTTCCATGCTAGATTAATCATATCCAATGGATTGAGATTTTATTCCCAAAGAGGATTTCGATATTCCTGCACTTCAGACATTTATAGTCTTGAATTTCTCAGCACGACTGTGATCGACAAACAATCTGACAATTCCCTGTATGATTAAATTTAAAAATTAATAGCACCACAAACTCAGGGAAACAGGATAATTTCCCGCTTGAAATTGAAGTGTTAAGCAATTGAGGAGAGAGATCATATTTGCAAATTAATTGGAATTGATAGCAACACCCATAAATGATTACCAAAACCGCAAAATTGCGTCTCTATGCTCCCACTCAAATGGATTCTATCGCAATTAATGTGTGATTGTGTCTTCTCCCATGAAATCATAACCAGTTGTATCAAGTACACCTTTCATGATAACATCAAAGACTTTCGCATGGAATTGTCAAATCCAATGGGCAATTTCACCTAAAGCGATACACTCTCATCAGTGAGTGAAGGAATTGTGGATTTCTCGATTGAATTCACAAACACATAGAATGTCAAAGTGAAAATTACGGCTACCCTTTGCCACCATTCTCAGACCCCGTCAAATCCAGAACGCTAGTCAATAATTCTAAGACATATTCCATTTATAATGTAGCATGGCAGAGAGTGTCACACAATATTTCATACAAGAATTGATTAATCCATGAGACTTGGGGCGCACAGTTTAGCAATTTGCATAAAATGAGAATAGGCCTTTCAGCTCAAATTATGAATAATACATCGAATTATAGCATGTATTGTTTCAGCAATGTCCTCTAAACAAGCCAACAAGCGACTCTTCAATAGGACTGCATTGAATTTAGGACTTGACATCGCTGTTTGTCACTCACAAAAGCGCACCCCGATTTTTTCCCACCCTCTGTGGAAAAATCCTCTTGGATATAAACTTTTATCCGCTTATTTGCACGCCACGTGTCGCCACTTTTCATAGGCTTTTCTCCCCGCGCTCATCAACTAAATTCCCGCACAACGTCACATTCTGTCACATTTCTAAATATTTGATTTTTCCACTTTGTTCACGAGATAAAAGACATACACACATTGCGGGCTTTTCTCCTCGCAATTGTCCCATGAATAAATAATGACATCGACGGCTCTTTCGCCACCCAAAATTGTATTTAAGAACTCCTCGAAGTGACAGATATTTTGGAAAAGTCCTTAATTGAACACATAACGCTACATTATTATAACAAATATTTTAGTTTTCCATGTAATGAATTTTCCGACCAGGTGCAAAGTGTGTGTCGAAATTAAATGCAAATAACAGTTGTGAAATTGTTAAAGTTGCCTAGAGTAACCTCTGCAAAGTTTTCATACAATTTCGTACTTCTCAATTCTGTACAGAAAATTACTCACTCTATAGTAATTAATAAGTTATTTTAATAAAAACAATCGATTGAGCAGATTCTTGTGCTCAAATTGTTCTGCACAGTGTAGAATTTTCATCAATAAATTTCACCTGATTGTCTTCAAGTCTGATTACTTCAAAAACATCCCAGTTTCGCGACTCGAATTCAACCTTTCCTTTAACATCCTCTGAATTATAACCACAAGTAACTTTTGTGCCCTGATTTTCGGATGAATCAATTTGGTATTTGTGTGTCGATATCAATTGAGAATCTCAAGTCCATAATTGAGTTTCATCTACCAAACCACGCCTTCCAGACGGCACACCATCAGAGTGAAATTATCACCACAGCGCGCACTGATGGTGAAGATATTAAACTCCAATTGAGGGTCACGAGACTCCTTCTTCTCTGGGCTGATGAATACTTTTTTTTGTTCTTCATTTACAAAACATTAAACTTTTTAACCTCAATTTGAGAGGGGTGAGTCAATTGCCAATAAATCACATTAATGTCCCGGTTCAATTTCCTACGCTGCGTGCCAATATTTGAAAAATATGTGCGTATATAAATTATAATCAATTGAGTGCAAATAGCATCTCATTACGGGGAGGTGAATTTCTCTATGGCTATATGATGATGCCCAATTTGCAGGCAATGCCATAAAAAGTGTGTTATAACTTTGTGTTGTGAATGATGTGGATAAATGCTATTGCGTATACTAATTATTATATATTTGTAGAATTCTGTTTTTCCGTATGGTTTTGACATAATTGCATTCAATGTGAATGAATTTTGTTCTCAATTTTCCGCGATTTTTTTTTTACATTCAATTTTGTACGCCTTAACGGGGATCATTGAGGGAATTTTTGCGGCTTTTTTCCACGTGCTCTTGAAATCTTTGTTATAACGCGTGAATATTTTCACTGGAGAACCTCCCGTGAACAACAGTTTGTTTTGGAGAGCACCTCTGAATAGATGAATAAAATCATAAATTTCGATTACCATCGAGGGCCCATTGAAGCACCATTCACATCTCTCTCTCTCTCTCTCTGTGTGGACATAATGAATAGGGATTTTTTGCCATTTGTCACTGCGATGACACCCACTTTATAAAATGGAGCGGAACTCCATGTAATGTTGATATGTGCGGTTCAGTGTTATCAGGAGGAAAGGGTGTATTGATTGGGGGATGAAACTCATTACTAAAGTAAGAGTGTTAAAAGTTTCACTCTCGCACATTTGGCTTGTTTAAAAGTCAAGGGAAGAAGTTTAGGTGAAATTTTTCATTATAAGTTTTTATTGACGCTGTGTAATTAAAGGTTCCTGAACAGGAATTTCCACGCAGGAAACTTCACACCTGTCAATTTTATGGTTTTCTTTTTCTTTCTCTCGCCTAAAATTAACTCCCCAAGTAATTGGTAAAAAGTATTGGTTGAGCTGACGAAAATTAGTTTGAGTGTTTTCACGTGGAAAGAAAAATCCCTAAAAGAATATAAAAGCTTCAGTCGAATGTCTTTGCAGATGAATTTGGTCACAAAATTCACCTTTATAAATTCAATTCATGTCGCTAAACTGCATTGTGTCGGCATGAAGTTGGTAGCAATCGCACAAGGTGCACTTTACATGAGTTTCTTGCCATTCGTACCACCATATTCTCATGCTCTCGGCTGTATAGTCATATGGGTATCAGGTTTTACCTCTGAATTTCATTTAGATCGACCTGTTTTGCCAGTGTATTTGTTGTACAACATTTCGGTATCGTCTTAGTGTGGATTTATCATTGAAGTTGGACAAGTTTTTCACCATTTCGTCTCGCTTACATTCTCAACTCTTGGGCTCTTGTGTGAAGGCAAATATTGTGAGGCATTTCATGGATTCATGCGAAGATGGCGAGAAGAAGTTTTGCAGCACAGATGAAACCTTCACATACGAGTGTGCATTTTCCAAAACATCTTCAATTCTACAATTGCCATCATTGCAAATGAGAATACGGTAAGGCATTTCAACGAAAGAACTTCCTCTCTTCAGCATCTCTCTCTCTCTACAATGTTATAATGCCAAAAAGCTCACATTTCGAAATGGTCTCCAAGAAAGAAACTCAGTATTCATACAAGGAGAAGATTTCAGGTGAAATTAAATTGAAAGATTGCATAATAAGGATGAATGGCTTGAGAAGAAAAGTGGGTGGACAGAGAGCGAGAGGTAGAATTTGTGTATATTTTATATATATATAAAGATACAAAATTCAATTTGCATGACTCTCATTTTATTGCATTTCAATGTGTACGTTTTCTCCCAACCTCAATTTCTGCCGTGGGCTCTTATGTGCACTGCAGACTTGTGACATTTTCTGCACAGAAATTTCCTCCTCAATTGCAATAAATGATGGTATAACCATTTTGCCATCGACATAAGTAACTTTACGTGATTTCATTCCTCTCTTCTCCCTCAATTTGATACAATTTTTCCGCCATAACCAGAGAAGAAGTGGCAAAATTGACGAACAGTTGTTGTGACAAAAGTTCTCCAGTAACGATGTTCACATAAATGCATTGCAATATTTCGCCTCAACTTCATTTTCTTGCACTCCCCCCCAAATCATGCTCCTGGTAAGTCAATTGTCGAGCGAGATGAGAAGATACTCCTTGTGCGATGCTGAGTACAAGAATGGGGAAAAATTGTGTGGCAGCAATTTTCATTTTTCGACGGGCAAAAAGAAAGGCAATAAGAAAAGCTGCTGCGAAAATGCTCCAAAAGACTCATGAATAGATATTCACAAGCCAAAGCGCTGCAACGAAGAGTAGAGGGAATGTGTGAGTGAGGCGAATGGGGGATTATTTGACTAAAATGTAATAGGATAGTGGTGAGATTAGGTTATTTATATTTTTGGCCTTTCATAATAAAGAGGAGAAAATGCCCCCAGAGTAAAATTCTACCAACGAACCAGAAACTTTTACTTCGACTCCATCCGTGGGAAGCTCAACTGTTTGGGTTTTTAAGTGAATATTATTAATATTGTGTGCTTTCATACCAATTAAAGCGGATTACGAAGTAATTTATACAAGGGTGTATTTTTCAAATTAATTAATTCCACCGCTATCTTGTGGTTTGCACATAGGCAAATTCTCAGAATGTATGGGATCGAATTACGGCTTTGCAATGCATTAAAGTCACCTATAGATATTATACAATTTAACAGCTATTGGAAAATTTAATTTGATGTTTTGCTCCTTTATAAAGCAGAATCGTTACACGCTTTGCTTACATTAAAGTTCAAATTTTAGAAACTGATTAAAATACTTAAATTAATCAATTATAATCAAAATTTATACATAATCTTGCGTTATTCGTTAAGAATTTAAACCATAAAAGAGTATTGGGAAATATTTCCTATGAATTCAGATTGATTGCTTCGCTCACAGCGCTATGAAAAGAAGCTCAATCTGTCAAGGAGGAACACAAAGAACCAGTGAAATCAGAGAGAAGTGTTAAATTTGTATTGGATCTCATATTCTAATTTCGGAAATTTCTCAAAACAACCGATAAAAGTCACCCCTCGAGTGTCAGACAATTAATCTTCCCTCCATCTGAGCACTGTCAATCCCCCACCTCGTCATTGGACACTAATCGATCCCGGGGAGTGTTTTTAAGACTTTCACCCGAAATGAGAGTCGCACATAAAGTGCTTAAGCGAAATCCCCTTCTCGTGTTGAGTTGGCGACACTGAAGCTGATGCCGAAGCAATTTAACACACTGGGAATTGCTTCTGAGCTGCACAGCCTCGACTGTGTGTTGGTGTGGCTCAATTCTGCCGAAAGGCTCAAGTTGCAGCTGCTTGCATTTAGTGCCTCTGCGCCCCTCCCGGCCGCCACGGCGCAAAGATGCTGGGCCGAGAGAGAGAGAGATTTGTGGTCAGAGCGACTGGACCCAGCGTGCACTCACCACTGCCTGGATCGTTGGCGCTGGGACGTTGCGGAGAAACTCAGCCATTCCTGCTGAATCGGGAGAAATGACGTGCCGTCCATTTTTTCCCCCCAGTGATCTCGCCAGCGAATCCAATGAAATAGTGAGATAGAATTTTCAGCGTGCGGCACGAAGAATAAATTCCACTCTGTGGCTTTCCACAGAATTCAGGCTGACCGTTCGTTTTGTCCGTCAATGAATGTTGTCATCGTGAGCAAGGAAAGTGCCCGACAAAAGCTTTCTCTCTCCTTCCGCCCATCCAGAAAATTCCCCCCCCCCCTCTTTTTCCTCTCCCTTCCACCCACTTTGCTCTGCAGGTGTTGTAAATTTCAAGTATGAGCTGAAATCATTTTAGCATTTTATCCCACATCTCACAAACCCAAATGGTGCTGACAAAAAATTTGGATAAATATGCATCAAAATGAGATATATTCGCTATTCGCTCACGAAAGTCGGGTATCTCAATTTCTGTCACGTAGAATTTTAATAAAATTGCTATTACGTCCTGGGAAAGATAATGTTCAATATTTGAGAGGGACACTTTATCCCTCTCTCTCTCAGCTCACAATATCACAGTGAACACGAGAGTTGGCGTGGAGGAAAACTATCGCATTTTGTGTCCCTCCTGCTGCACAAGCTTCAGGACAAATTTTATTGAATTGCCAGAGTGAATCTCATAAGGGAACTTTAGTCTGTGTCTCACTTGGTGAGAAATGTCCACAACATGGAGACAAATCAACCCAATCATCCTGTTTTCGTGTTGCAACATGCATTGAGAGCACAATTGCTACGTCTGCTTCATCGCACAGAGATATCTCATGGAGATTTTACTAATATTGATCAACAACAACTTGCGATACAAAGGTAAATTTACGCAAAATATTAGAGAAGCTTTAATGGAAAAGATCCTTCATTTTTTTCTCTTTCTCTATTGCAGTCTTGTTCACTTCGAGCAAGCAACCAATCTGAATTCTCAAGAAAGATTTCATGAGAAGAACTTTTTCAAGGATATCAATTTTGCTGTTGAATTTTTCAAATATCCTCATTCTTGGCGAATTTTCAAAAGCCTTTCTTTTTCAAACTCATTGAGTGATATTTTTGAGATTCATTAGGCTTGGAACGCATAATTTAGCAATCACAATGACCATTAGAAAATGCAGATCTCTATATTACAACTGTTCTACTGGAAATCGAACACTTTCCCACCGTTATTCCCAAGAAATTCCAATTACTATCGCATAATTTGATATTTTCCTCATGTTAGAAAAGTTATTTTGACAAATATATAGTCATTATCGAACAAATAAAACACTAGCCTCAATCTATGATACTTCTATGTACTTAATCTTTCTATCTGTCCCTATTTCAAAGAACTGAAACGGCGCAAAACTTTTGCAGGAAACCCTTCAGGCGATTTTCAGGTTACACGGAACTCCCAAATGTATTGCTGCTCACGAAGTGATATTCAGGCGAACAGAGACAAGTCTGGGGAGAGCATATCTGTGTGGTCTTGTTGCTTCACGTTGTGAAATTCATTGCCCCAAGATTGCGTCCAATATTGCTTTATGCTAAACTAAACACCAAAAGAGCTTATTGCTGTCTCTTCAAGCTAATTAGCCAGAGTCAATCCGATACGCTGGAAACATCTCAACTTTCACTATGTGTGTGTGTCATCAAAATTGCTCGGATTGTTTACCAGTGCAAAGTGATAAGAAAGTGGCGTCCAGGAATGCGCCAATGTGTAGATAAGGGAATTTATCAAATTCCCCAAAGCTTGCATCATGATTCTAATTACATTTGCACACTGTGTGTCAATGTTTGCGCGCTCGCTCATATTTGAAACAATTTGAATTGAGTGTGCAAAAATCGATACACTCGGCACTCGAGCAATGGGAACCTGTTGGCCGGGTCTGCAAAAAGCCCCCGCCGCCAACAAACTGGGGGCTGCAAAGAATTTCGCACCTGCTCAAAACCCTCGACCGAATATTCGTGCGGGGAATCAATAAATTATCACGCGACTGCTAATTGATTAATTCAATTAGGGACTCCTGCACATATCTAATGAGGATATAGCGAACTCATGCGCAAATTCCTGTCTTCCTTGGCCCACGAAGGACGTATGCGTGAATGCTGCATGAGGATGAAGGATTTATGAATAATCAGGAAAAGACATTCTCTCTTCGTCACGGTCGTTGACAGTGAACCCCTTTTTCCCCTCAACATTCGATTTCCCGACCCACTTCCGGATGTTGGGCTTGTTTTATTGTAATTGTCATTTTAATTGCCGAAACGGGGGAGTCGCAATGCTGGAATTAGGATGAAATTGTGTCGCATTGTCTCCCATCTCCGCTCATGATACATCACTTGTGGTGTGAGATGGCGAAATTCAGAGAGCGAAAATCATCCCTGAGCCGTCGTCAGTGGCGTAGAACACCTTCAAAGTCTTCTACGTCACTGCGCTCGGCTCCCCGTGTAAATTCCCACTCTCACGAGGCGGAAGAAAAAGGGGTGAAAGCGGTTATGAGACACCGCATTTTCAAATTTAAGCCAAAAAGAGAGAGCGCGCCGGGAAGTTCTCACACCCCAACGCGCGAGCGAGAGGGCGCACCGGGTGTGTGGTGTGAGTTAGAGGGGGAGGTGAATACATATGAAACATCAGCAGCGCCTACTGGTGGCACTCACCCCACAATTCGGCGCTCTCTCGCAATAACTCCGCTCCTTCTCCACTCGAAATATTAACACAGAAGAGGCATTTTATTCTCCATGCACAAGTGAGACAATAAATACCTTTTTTTTTTCCTTCGCTCGCACAAAATATTGTACACTCTTCTCAATATCAGCAAATTCCTATCACCTTCGGGAAATCTCGAGACAATCCACGCCACTCAAACACTCTCTCGCCCTCTCGCTCGCTGCACAAAATAATCACTCGCAGGCCCTCTCACTCACACCACTACACCGGGCCGTCGCTCTCACTCACACTCGCCAAGCACGGAACAACTTCCTTCCCTTGTTCCACTCACGAGACCCACTGCCTGGCTTTCCCCCGGGAAACCGCACCGCCAGCAATTGTCCGGCACTGCAACACTCGCGAAAATGCACCTTTTCCACGCGAGGATGTCACTGGAACACCAATACTGTACGCTTAGGCGGCCAACCGAACGCACTTCCGCGTCATTCCGCATTCCGTGTAAGACTGCTGTGCCTCTGCGAACTCACCACCTTCCCACCATCGCCGCTCACTCTCTTCCTCTCTCTCTCTCTCACGCACCACAGCGCCTCCAGTGCCTGGGACTGGAGCTTGTAGGTCTTTGCAGAAGTTCTTGAGCAAATGTGAAATCTCACGCAACCGTTTTTGTCCGTAAAACAGACAAAAGCACAATTAGCGAATCAAGGATTTATAAGGCAAAAAGGCACCGTTTTGCATAATTTCGCTAACTAAACTCCCCTCGTCTGGCTTTATTATAATTTCGTTCTTTTTTTTGGCAAATATCCTCGCTCTGAGCATTGGGGTTGAAAAGGGCAAATCAGATCACAAATATCGTGTAAATGAGATTCATTGTTGAGAGTCCGGATGAGATTCTGGTTGAGATTACGCGTGTCCCGCCGCCTTGATTTCCGCCCACACTTTGGCCAGCTCATCGGGATTGTCATAGCCATGCGAAGCTATGGTGTACCTGTAGCTGTGCGGCCCACTGTAGGTCAGCTTCTGGAAGTAGAACTCCTCCGAGTGCAGAGGCTCGATGTTGGCTTTCAAGGCGACAATTCCCAGGTAAATATCATCAAATCTGCACACAAAAAAGGCATTAGATTCAGTAAGTGGTGCGCGAAGAAGTTGCCGAAGACTCACCGAAAATGTTTCGTGAAGAAGCTAGCGAAGTAGAGCTGGAAAAGCGCCTCTCGCGAGAGGATGCATGCCCCGGCGGAGACGTAAGGTGGCCACATGTGCCACTTGTACTCCTCCAGATCCACGTACCACTTGCTGGACCGATGGCGATGCGGAGAAGAGTTGAACACGAAGCCTGCGTACAGGCGAACATCCGCCGGAAGGTCCATCATGTCGAGGAGACGGCGCTCTGTTGCCTTCACAGGCTCCGATTCCACCTTGGCCGGCACTTCTGGTGCAATGAGATGCTGCCTCAGCTGCCACAAGTGCTTTCTGCTGTCTACAGAGTGTGGAATCGGGTGATCCTCCAGCACCTTCTGCACCTCCTTCTTGTCTACCACACCCGTGATGTTGCCCACGGACAGAGTGAGCTTCCTGGCAAGCTGGCGGATCGTCTCGTCCGCCTCCTCAAGGTACTCGGGATAGTGGACGGGATTCCTTACGAACCTCAACACGTTCTTCGTGCTGATGTAGAAATCGTCGTCCACCAGCATGTAATAGCGCGACCGGGGACAGAAATCTACTGCCCAGCGCAGTCCCGTCATGGTCTTGATGGTGTTGTTGAAGTACGTGTCCAGAAAGTCCGCCTGCAGCACATCGTGGAAGCTCCCAGACTCAATATCCACCAGCTTCTGCGTCTCCTGGTCAGGAGACGTGCCCAGGAGGAACACCGTCCTCACGGTGACGTCGGAGAAGCGCCTCTCGAAGCCCCATGTCATCCGGATGGCGTTCCGACGCTTGAAGTTGCTCAGCGCACTCTTCACCAGGAAGACAAGGCGTGGCGCCACGGGAAACTCCTTGTCACGACACTTGTGGCTCGGATTGTGCAAGAGGGTGTGGTTGTAGGCCGTGATAGGCGCTTGGTCGGGCTTCTGGCCGCGGCGCACCTGATCCGCCAGCCGCGGAATGTCACCCTCGAGAGGATAATGGAACTCTGTGTAGAAGTCCTGCTCGAAGATGTGCGTGAAAGCGCCGAAGAAGTTCAAAAGGAGCAGGATCACAATCCCGATCAGGATGTGCTTCACGCGGACGCAGTTCAGGAAGCGGGAGAGACAGTGCGGAAGAAACATCTTCCGCTGCCCGCTGGCCGGCTGTCACTTTAACTCCAGCCGTTGCTACACTGCAAAGCCGTGATGGCAAACAACACTGCAAAAATACGGCTTTTCGGGAATTCCCCACGTTTGCTTACACTGAGCGGCAAAATAATTAAATACGCGGGAAGGAGCGTGAATCATGCTGCTCGCGTTTTTTTTATTGAATATATATATATGAGACATGATTTTTCACTCATTAATCACTATTCTGCTCGCATTTATTGACAAAATGAAATATAACACAATGAAATCTCCCGAAAAAGCCACTCGCAACCATAACTCGCTTCACATTTCTCTGATTCAATTTACACATCAATGAGAAGCAATTTCCTCACAATGATAAGGAATGAGGAGTGAATACACAGAGTCGACCTATCAATTGCACAGCATCTCTGTATTGAAAACAATCTTCTGTTCGTTCAGTTGGAGATTTTCCTCTCGTCTAAAAGGTCAGTTGATAACGTTCACGCAAAATGAGAGCTTCTTCACTGCTCTTTCTGGTCAATTCTGTGTTAATTGTAGTGCAATCTAGTGCGGATTTTGCCAGATTCCTGGATAATGTCAAGAGCAACACTCCGGCTGAGGAGCAGAAAGTAGCTGCACTGGAAGTGATAAATCGACTGATTCCTGAGAGAGCTCATGAGTTCACCGTCGAGATTAATACCAGCCTCCCGATCAGTTTCAAGGTAGATGGCAAAGTGATAGTGTTTTGAAAAATCAAACTAATCTATTTCTCAACACTTAGATATCGAAAAGGAGCGAAGATGATAAAGTCAGCATCACAGCGTCCTCAGGGATCACAGCTTGCAAGGGATTCTACCATTATTTGAAATACTACTGTGGCTGTCATGTATCTTGGAATGAGGATCAGCTGGCACTGCCTGAAATCCTTCCTCTTGTGCAGCTGTCCAGAACTTCCCCTAGTCGCTTCGTGTACTACCAGAATGTCTGCACGTGGTCATATTCCTTCGCCTCCTGGACGTGGTTCGAGTGGCGTCGCCACATTGACTGGATGGCGCTCAATGGAATCACTCTGTCCCTGGCGCCAGTTCAGGAGAGCATCTGGACAGAAATCTATCGAGAACTGGGACTTACGCAGAAAGAGATTGATGAACACATTGCCGGACCGGCGTTTCTGGCGTGGCAAAGGATGGGAAACATTAGAGGAGTTGGAGGACCATTGCCAGACACCTTCAAGGATCGCCTGGATTTGCTTCAGAAGCAAGTCGTCTGTGAAATACGACGCCTAGGCGGGATTGTAGCCCTCCCAGCTTTTGCTGGTCACGTTCCTGTTGCTCTAAAGAGACTCTTTCCACAGGCTTCCTTCACGCCAGTTGAGAGATGGAATAGGTTCAGCGATGAAGAGTGCTGTCCACTATTCCTTGAACCTTCTGATGCTCTCTTCCAGACAATTGGTGAAAACTTCCTTAGCAAAGTGACTGAGCAATATGGATCGGATCATATTTACTTCGCTGATCCCTTCAATGAGATTCAACCCGCTGAAGCGAATGGCGATTACCTGAAGTGAGAACATGTTTGTCAGACAATCAATATTTCAAAAGTAAAATCGATATTTTGTCCTTTGCAGGAAATCTGCGCAGGGAATCTTTTCAGCCATGAAGACAGTGGATGACAAAGCCGTGTGGCTGCTTCAGGGTTGGATGTTCGTGAAGAATCCCTTCTGGAGCGATGAACTCTTGGAATCCTTTCTCACAGCCATTCCACGTGGTCGCTTCCTGGTTCTGGATCTCATGTCTGAGCAATATCCTCAGTATGAACGCACAAACTCGTACTACGGCCAACCTTTTATATGGTGCATGCTTCACAACTTCGGCGGAACACTGGGAATGCATGGATCAGTCAACAATGTCAACGTCCTCGTGCCCTCAGCTCGCGAGAGAGTCAATAGCACAATGGTGGGCGTTGGTGTGGCACCTGAAGGCATCTGGCAGAACCACGTGATGTATGAATTCGCACTGGAGATGGCCTGGAACTATGACTCTGTGGATGAAGAGGCCTGGTTCTTCAGATACTCAACTTCTCGCTACGGAATCGTCGATGGACAAGCCGTTGATGGATGGGAAGAACTCAGGAACAGTGTCTATGCATACAAAGGCCTGGATAAAATCAATGGAAAGTACACTTACTGTCGAAGACCCAGTCTTAAACTGTCTCCATGGGTGAGTTGCATCTGCTTATTCAACTTTTCTATCTCTGAATTAAACAATAGAGTCTAAATTTGATGACATTCTTTCCCCTAGATTTGGTATGAAAGAGCTATGATTGAGCGTGCTTGGGAGAACTTCATCAACGCCTCCGAAGCTCTGAAGACTTCAAAACTCTTTCTACGGGATCTCGTGGATGTAACCAGACAAGCTCTACAAAATCGCGCAGATGAGATTTACCTAGTCATCATACAAGCCTACAATCACCAGCAAACTATCGCTGTTGAGAGAATGTCTGCTCAGTTCCTGGACCTCTTGGCAGACATCGAGAGAATCCTGAGGAGTGACGAGCACTTTCTCTTGGGACGCTGGATAGAGAGCTTCAAAGCGATGGGCAGAACAGACGCCGAGCGGCATCTCTACGAGATGAACGCCCGGAATCAAGTGACTCTGTGGGGTTCTAGTGGTGAGATTGTGGATTATGCCACAAAGCAATGGAGTGGAATCATTGAGGACTACTTCATCCCGCGCTGGAAAGTGTTCTTCGACGAAATGATCACTGCAATGAAGCGAAACTCCACGATTAATAACAATCAAGTGCAGGAGAAGATCTTCAAAACCATCGAAGTGCCTTTTACTCTGGACACGAAAATTTATCCTGTGACTTCTGAAGGCGACTCCCTGGCCATTTCCACTGAATTGTATGATAAGTGGGCAGATCTGAGACTGAACATTGTCGTTCCCAGAGAAAAACCCAAGAGAATGCGAAGAAGGAATCGCAAGACTAATTAAAACTCCTATTCTTACAAATGTTACTCTTTTTTTTTCAGCCTAATAAGCCTAATCTATAAAACAATGTGTTTTATCACAAGACTTTAACAATGTACAAAAGTGTTTAGCATCTCTCATAATTCCTCTGCATTGAATATCTGCAGAGGAGGTCCGTTAGTGTCTTTTGCTATATTTTGTGACTGTTTTAAAACCCTAAATGTATGGCGAGATTCTTATTCCTTGATATCCTGAACACGTGTCCTGAGCTCGTTCAGCTCCTTGGCGATGCCATCGGGCAGGTCCTTGCCCACCTGGTTGTCGAAGTACTTGGCGATATCCTCCACTTCCTGCGTCCAGAAGGCCTTGGGAATGGAGAACAGAGAGTCCAGATCAACGGGCTGCTGCAGACCATCCACATTCAACGCTCCTCGGCTCGGGATCCTTCCAATTGGCGAGTCTTCGAAGCATGGCTCGTTGTCGATGCGCCTGATGACCCAGTCCAAAACTCTGGAGTTCTCCCCGAATCCTGGCCACATGAAGTTCCCATTGTTGTCCTTGCGGAACCAATTCACGTGGAAGATCTTGGGCAGAACGCTCGATCGCTTCTCCATGCTGAGCCAGTGATCCAGATAGTGACCGAAGTTGTAGGCGAAGAAGGGACGCATCGCGAAGGGATCGTGCATGATGACTTTGCCCTTGTGTTCAGCAGCAGCCGTGGCTTCACTCCTCATGGCAGCGCCCAGAAAGACTCCATGTGCCCAAGAATTAGCCTCGTACACCAGAGGCACTCCAGCCGGACGTCTTCCGCCGAACAGGATGGCGCTGATTGGCACTCCCTCGTGATCTTCCCACGCCTTGTCGATGATGGGACACTGAGCCGCCGGCGAGCAGAAGCGTGAGTTGGGATGAGCAGCTGGAGTCTTGCTCTCGCCCTTCTTCCAGGCGCGTCCCTGCCAATCTGTGATCTCCACTCCTTCCGGCACACTATCCATGCCCTCCCAGTAAACGCCACCGTCGGACGTTGAGGCCACATTCGTGAACACCGTGTTACTGAATGCTGTCTTCATGGCATTGGGATTCGTAGCCATTGACGTGCCAGGAGCCACGCCGAAGAAGCCATTCTCAGGATTGATGGCACGCAATTGTCCCTGTGAGTCGAACTTCATCCAAGCAATGTCATCACCCACGCACTCGACCTTGTAACCAGGCAGAGTCGGCGTCAGCATGGCCAGATTAGTCTTTCCGCAGGCCGATGGGAAGGCGGCTGCGATGTAGCGTTTCTCACCGCGAGGATTCGTGATGCCCAAGATCAGCATGTGTTCAGCCAGCCAGCCCTCTCTGTGCGCAATCGTGCTGCCGATCCTCAGAGCGAAGCACTTCTTTCCTGCAAAATTCAAATACATTAGCAACCGATATAATCATGCTCTGGAACTCTGGAATTTACCCAATAGAGAGTTCCCTCCGTATCCCGATCCATAAGAGACGATCTCATTGATCGCTGGCTTGTGGAGGATGATCGTGCGCTCGGGATCACATGGCCAGGAAGGCATATCGATCACTCCATTCGCCGGCGTTCCCACAGAGTGCAGGCATCTCACAAACTCCTCATCGTGCAGCTGCTCCATCACTCTGCCCCCCATGCGAGTCATGATCCTCATGGACGCCACGACGTACGGCGAGTCCGTGATCTCCACTCCGATCTTCGACAGAGGCGATCCCACAGGACCCATTGAGAAGGGTACCACGTACATCGTCCTGCCCTTCATGCAGCCCGGAAAGCGCTGTGCGATGGCCTTCTCGTACTCCTGCGGAGGCATCCAATTCCCCAGCGCCCCTGTGACGCCAGCTTTGGGCGTCGGCACCGTCTCCTCGCGTCTCTCCGTGCAGATGAACGTCTTGGACTCCACTCTGGCCACATCGGCGGGATTCGTGCGCGCCAACCAACAATTGTCGTACTTCGGCAGCGGCACAATTGTTCCCTGGCGCTGCTGCACCGCGAGCAACTCGCGATTCTCCGCCTCCGATCCGTCACAGATGTGGATCTTGTCGGGCTGGCACAGGGCGGCGGATTCCTCCACGAACGCCCTCACCTTGGGTGACAATCGCGCCGCGTCGCCGCTCAAGAGGTGGCTATACTTCAGGCCAGCCTCGGAAGCTGTTGCCATGCGCTTCACATGCTGAGCAATCTGGCGCGGGAAGCTGCAAGTGAGAATTTTTATCAGTACACTTGATTCAGTTGATTTGTTCTTACACAAAAATTACAATTTGCAGTTCGCAGAACATTGATAAGAATGCCATAACAATTTCAGATTTCATCTCGCTTTGCAATTATTATTCAGACATCCCTGCTTAATCACGTCGATGATGCCTTATATTTCTAAAACATCTCAGAATAGATCTTTATTTGAGTAAAACAATAATCGAGGCTAAAATCAGCGATCTTCTGCTGAATATACTGATAATTTCCTATATGAGTTCAAAGAAAATAAGGTCAGAAAAAGCATAAAACGCGTGTGATAAAACTATAGCGTGTTTCATGATAAACTCGATAAACGCAATCGTTTAGCGTGCTTAATTTCACCCAAAATGTATAGCATTTCATGCACTCAACATTGGCTTGAAAAAAAAGTCTTATCAAGAGATTGAGAAGCTCTGGTCGCTTCTTGGCGGAAAATCAACAACGTCACTCGTCTTATTTCGCATCAATCGCGACTTAATCTCGCGGCTTGATTGGCAAATGTCTGGAGGCTCGTCCGCAGAGCAACAATCACTTGCGTGTGCGCACTTCTGACCAGCGAAAATGGCCAAAGGACAGCGCAAAGACATCTTCAGCTCGGGTCGTGACTTCGAACTCTCTAATCAAATTGTTCCTTTGTCTCCGCGAGAGAGTGATCTTTCGGCTGAACTTTCGAGAGACTGGATCTCGGAAAACTGGATTATGGCCCGAATATGGAGCGCAAGCAAAGAGCGCAAAGAGCAATCACTTCCTCATGTGGATCGATCAAGGTGATCTACTGTCTCTTGGCGCGCTCGCGCGTCACTCCAGGAAGATTTGTGGTCTTCTTGGTGACAAACTCTCTCTCTCTCTCTCTGCTCCTCCAGATCGATCTGGATCGCCTCTGAGCGCAGCTTATCAGGTCACAGGGTCATTTTCCTCCCGAGCAATATTCTCTGTGTGACAAACAAGCAGCGAAAAACAGAGGCTCTCCGTTATCATTGGCATGGCGAAAAACACTTTAGCCATCAGCCAGCGTTTATTTTTGAGTGGCAGACGTGCCCCCAGAGTTGTTTTGGCAGATTTTCGTGGCACACTCGTAAAAATGATAGCGCGAAAATATCACCTTGGCCTTATCGCGTGGTGTGACAAAAGAAATTCTGCTGTTATTCGACATTATATTGCCACTTTAGTGGCCGGAAAGTGATCTTCCGCGATAAGGACACCCTCCCTTTGATCACACTTCGATGAGGCAGCGATAAGCAAATATTTGCCACGCAGTGTTTATATTGCATCACAAACATACACACAAGAGATGTATCAATCGTTATCACAAATCATCTACTCTCTCTCTAGAATAATATTTTGCAGCCACGGCTTTTGCTGACTTGAGACAAATCCAGGAAATCGCTTAGCGATCCTGAGGAAAATTCCCCCAGCAAAACAACTTCGGTGACAATGGCATGTGACGCACTTTACACTCTCCGCGTTATTTTTAATTGTGCTCAGTCGAGAGCATCAATTGCGTACCAATTGGAACACATTCGTGGGAGTTGTTCGCCCGTTGCGTTCCCCGTGAACATTCCAACTGAGGTTGAAGAGCGCGCCAATTGCATCCCATAAAAGACAATTGCAGATGCGGAATCGCCTTAAATTGCCCTGTTTACAGTGCCCAGAGAGAATTTCCTCAGACGTCAGCAGGTGTTCCGGAGTGGGTGGTTATTTTTCATCTGATTGATGGGTGTCTGGCTCGTCGCCATCGGGCATCACTTTCACTCCTCTGTCGCTGACGTGAATCTCGCGCGCGCGAGGGAAAATCGCCCCCCAGTCAATGTCAAGGTCGCATTTGACCCGCGGGCAAAAAGTGCACACTGTGGGGAAAGTGGTATCTGATAAACTCACCGCTTTGTTGTGAACAGGAAGACTTTCGATAGCATGCTGATGGGTGCAAAATGCCGTCAGGAAATGCCACAGAATCCGCACACGCACAGAATAATAAAAAAAACTCTCACTTTCCACTTGCAGAGATGCGCTGAAGATCACAGAAACGTCCTTCTGACCACACTGAGTAACACTGTGTCTTTGTCCTGGCAACTTCCTTGGGCGCTGTGCAGCGAAATGTCCATCTGATGATCACACTGTGGGATCAAGTGAATGAATGCTTGTCGCGATGCTCGGGCGCAGCTTTATATTCACTTCTAATGCCCAAATTGCCTCCGTTACGTAAGCCGCTTCTGCCCCTGCTGGGCGATGGTGTGTGTGTGTGTTCCTGCTGATAAAATACAGAGAAATCGCTCTGGTGCTTTCTCATCGCACAGTGAGATTGCGGGAATTTGGTGCTGTTTTAGGGCATTTGCGGAGAATTTATGGCGATGCTATCAATGATCATCTGGCGAAAGAAGTGCCAAATATTCAGTATTCAGGCGAAAAGTGAATCTATTCCGAAATCCATCGTACAATGATTTGTCGCTCATTTGTGGACTTTAAATCATTATTATTAACTTCAGGATGAAATGAAATAATAATAACACTTGTAGAATATCTTATTATAAATAACGAAAACTAAAACCAGTAGTTTCTTTTACTCTCTTTTCATATATAATAATCTTATCAGAAAAATAAATTTTGATACATCAGTTATGAAGGTAGAAAATGCCTTCAAGGGAGAATGAAAAGCGTTGGATTGAAAAATTAATTGAATTACTGAAACTCCTTCAGTAGAATAATCTCACAATTATGTTTTTTTGGCAGCAGAGATAAGCCAACAACAATTTCATTCTCCCATTGTTTTATTTACTTTCCATCTCAATGGTAGACATTCATTTTTATGCTTAGCATTTCTTACTGTGTTTTGATCATTTGAATTTTCCCCTTTGCTGATCATCAGCGCCACCTCACCATGTGAGCGTAAATATTCAACTGTGTGCAGAATATCGCCTGATGGCAGGCAAAAGTGTGTGGCCCATTAATCATGAACTTCCCGCCAATTGATTACCAATTTGCCGAAGCTGATAAGAGCGCCTCATGCATCGCTCTGATCTTTCCCCACCACACCGTCACGTTTCTTCTCTCCGCGCCGCATCTTTGCCCATCGCGCGCTGTATTTAAATCCACTGGCGGCTGGGCTCAAAAATTTAGTTTTCATCCTGACTCTAGACTGAAAAGTTCTCTCTCACGCTAAGGAGGAAATCCCTGTGAAAGCACTCAAAATGATTGAGACGGTGAGTCTTTGACCCTCCCTCGTATCCTTGCTCTTTGCTAATCGTGGACTTTTGCCACTTTGTCTCTGCAGAATAACCTGATCATTGAGGAGGAGGCGTACTACAAGCCACTTCACTACATCGACACGCCGTTCGAGAGGGCCACATTCGGCATGGGCTGCTTTTGGGGCATCGACAGCCTGTTCGGGGCCACGCAAGGTGTCCTGAGGACTCGCGTGGGCTACACTGCGGGCACCACCAGCAATCCCGTGTACAAAGATATGTAAGTACTCGAGCAAATCATGTTTCTGTGATTTATCGCGAGCGTAAAGTGGACAAAATTGAAGTGGATTGATATGAATTCACACGGTGCGAGCGGAAGACACTTTTGCCAATAATTCTTTCGCGAAGATGATGCAACTTTTCGCCCACTTTCACACGCACACTTTCCTTTGCCGAAAAATCCCAAGAAGCTGCACGCTCAAAAGTGCTTCAGATAAGAACTTTTCCCACTCATTCACTCGTCTGTGTTGTATTCTAATTTTTCTCACACTTGAGGTGAAAAGATCACCAGCAAGTCATTCAGTATTATCGTGCACATAAAAAAACGAGCTTATTTTGGGAATGCCACAGATTACTTTTGCGATTAGAAAACAAGAATGAATGATTTATTTGTTAATCCTCCAGGGGTGATCATACAGAGGTGATTGAGATCCACTATGATCCCAAGAGGATTTCCTACGCTCAATTGCTGGAGTTGTTCTGGAACAATCACGAGTATGGCTTGTGCACGAGAATCAAGCGTCAGTACGCGAGCCTGATCATCTATCACACGGATGAGCAGAAGAGGATCGCCGAGGAGAGTTTGCTGAGTGAGAAGGAGAGTCGACTGCCCGAGGTGGTGACCACGGAAATCCATCCCTGTGACATCTTCTATCCAGCCGAAGAGTGAGTATCTTCTTCTTTTCACTTAGAGTCCCTTTTCGTCCTGTCCAACCGTTATCCTGCCATTTTTCTGAGAGATTTTTTCCCTATCAATCAAATCGCGCGATGATCATTGCCAAAAATACACACATCTCCACACCGCAGATTAGGAATGCTCGTGATATTGAGCGAAAAAAAAACTGGTATAATAAGGTTGGTCGGAAGAAACGATGGAAAAATGCTGAAGAATTGATAATTGCGCTCACTCTCTCGTTCTTCCCAGCGAAACTCGTGTGCTTGTAGGTCTGCTTTGCCGCCTTGTTTGATAATCTCTCTCTCTCGTCAACTTGACCACATTCAATGTCGGCTGAGTTTCATTCAATTTTATTTTCAACCCCACATTTCCACCCTTTCCACTTATTGGATTTCCACCAAAGGGGTGTCAAATGACTGGGAAAATTCCACCCTTTCGTCCTGCCAGGAGAAATCAGGACCTTGTCTAAGGACCTCTGGTCAGCCTTCAACCCCGCGAACCCCGCTCACGATCGCACGATCGTGCGCATCATGACGAGTTGATTGGAAGAAAGTGGCCCATTTTTCCCACATGGATCTCTCTGGCCGTGAATAGCGGCCACTGAGGATCGCCGCTCAGCTGGCGAGAAGACTGACCTCGCGCTGTGACGTAACCGACGCGGTGCTTTTCATTGATCAACATCGCGCGCGCGTACACACGAGACCCACTCAGCGCGCCGGTCATTCTCGTTTCATTTAATTTTATCTTCGACCCTCCTTTTCGCGCCCTTCCGCCCAACGGATTCGCGCAGGACCCGCGCCGAAGGGATCCCCTAATTGCCCTCTCTCGATCGGTGCCACTTTTTCTGGGTGCCATCTAGGAGCGCATCCGCGTCCTGGCGGCGATCATGCGTGACTCAGCTGACATGGTGCTGACCCAGAACCCAGTCACGGGTGACGATGGGCATTCCTGATAGGCGAGATGAGTGGGAATGTGTGCGAGATAGCTGACTGTTATCATTGGAGTATTTCGCGCGTTCCACTCAACAATGTCGCATTGCCTCGAATTCAGCACGCGAAATGCTGCCCACAAAAAAAACATGCCCACTGGAAGACACGAATGGAAAAAGCTGAGGTCAAGAGATGATCTTTGTTTTATTTTATACTATATTTGTTTATTGACCAATTACAGTGGATACTTTTTTTTTTGTCTAAATCCGGGAATCACGAGTTCTTTGCCTCCTCAATTGTCTCAATTGATAAAAGAGTATCAATGTTGTTGAAATGAATCGCAAATAGCGTGATTTTTCACTTTCATTTGCAGTTATCATCAAAAATATCGGTTGCAGAGCCACAAAGAGCTCTCCAAGTCATTGGGAATGGATTCCAGACTGCTCCAGACGTCGCACATCGCGGCCAGGCTCAACGGCTATCTCGTGGGTGTGGGCGGAGTGGCGCAATTTGACAAGGAAGTGGGCAATCTTGGCCTCACCGAGGATCAGCAGGAGTACGTGAGGAAATTCGTGGAGGAGAATGAAGGCGGAGGATTGTTCTGCTGAACTTCCGCTTAGGTGTTTCAAAGAGAAATATGCTTCATGAGGCCCGTCAGCAGCCATATCACGTATTATCACAATCATTCAACATTTAGAAGAAGTATTTTACACTAAGAAATATGAGAATGAGAGAAAGCAATGGATTTTTTTCTAATTGATCATGAAGAAGAGAATAAATAAACAGTTCAAAAGAGAGAACTTGTGATGTATTTTTTGGAATTGTCTGAGTCGTCATTGAATTTCGGCACGCGACTTCTCAAATCATTGGTGCCATTAAATTTTTCCCTTTTCTACAAGCTTTTCTTACACATCTTGTTGAACTTTCAGTGTATTTGGCGATAATTTCTATGAAAATACCTTATCTATATAGTTTTTTCGACGATTATAAGTGTACAGGATGTATTATTATTATTGAAAGTTGTGAGAGTTTATTATTGTAATGAAAAATACGCTTTAACTTTTGAACCTTGTTTTGCACTTGAACTCTTTTATTTTTAAAAGAACTTCAATGAAAGTCAAATTGATGATTACTTTCAGTTATAAATGCTGTTTGGTGACTACTTGTTAAGGAAATTCTAAACAATTTTCAGGGGTTTTTCCACTTTATTCGACCGCAAAATCCGCCGCAGCCGTGACAATAATTTCCGCGCAATCTTCTAATCCCAACCGTTTTTGGTGAATTCAAACTCACATTCGGCGCGCAACCTAGCGGAAATTGTAGCAATTACAGCCTGTGAGCTTGTGTTTTTTGAAGAGTTTTTGACACTTGTCGTGAATTTTCGCATTTCACGCAATTTTCACGCCCAAAACTACAAGCAATACACCATTCTGCGTCTCAATCACATCTCTCAGGTAATTCTCAACATGTCCAAGTTGCAATTTCTGCGTGAAAATGCATCAGAAAGGGGATAAGGGAGGGAAAAGAGTGGCTTGGAGGCCACTCGAGAGTGGCTTGTTTCACTCCATAAATCCCCCATTTTCCTCTATTTATCCACTCAAATGAGTACTTATGGCAGTAATTGACTGGTGTTCTCTCTTGCACAGCAGCTGGTGACATTATGAGTTCGGAAGATGCCACAGACGCTCCAGTTGAGGTGAGTTTTGGGGTGCGCGCGCGCGTTTGTCTGCTTGCTAGGAATTGCATTGTTTTCTTTTCCCTTCCCTCCAGCAGCAGCCAAATCCCCGGGAACTAGAGAAACTGGAGGAGGAGAAGCTGAAGGCGAAGTATCCAGCAGCGGCGGCTCATCGCGGTCCCGGTGGACACTCTGCATTTCTCCAGAAGCGACTGCAAAAGGGGGTGAGGAAGACAGTTGAAGATTAAATTGTCTCTGGGGAAGATTGAGAAATCTTATTGTTTGTTTTGCAGCAAAAGTACTTTGATTCCGGCGACTATCAGATGGCAAAGCAGAAGGGCGGCGGCATAAAGCAGGTGTTCGCCAACAAAGTCCCCACGGGAGAAGCCATTCCAACGCCAGAAACGGTGCCCGCCCGGAAGACATCGATCATCCAGCAGTGCAACAAGTTCCAGACCAGCTAATCAGCCCCTCACCCAGAGCGCCCCTCCTTCTCCGTATAATCTACCTTTCTCCGTTTGGCTTCAGCTGGCGTCTCCTGACCTCGAGGACGCGCCGAGGTTCCAGGCAAAATTTAATTTTGGGGGAAGCGAGAGAGAGAGAGAGAAAATTAAGTGTTTTACCAGAAGCGATCTGAGAGGGATAGTTTTAGCGATGTTGTACCATTGAGGCACACTTTCTGTAGATATTATTCTGTCTTGTCACGTCCCCCAAAAAGCCATAATTGTCTCTTTGAAGACTCTTGGACACGATTCCGTGACAGAGAGCAGCCGCTATTGTCCAGGAGATGCAGAATAAAAGAGTCGTTTGAATTTTCACCAAATACTTTTCCATCCATTTCACCAATCATTGTGATCCGACGCGAGATCACTGAACATTTTGTCCTTGATTGCACGATGGGGATCCTCCGTGATGTCCGTGGGCACGGATCCCACCTGTCCCAGGAGGAATTCCAGCTCCTCCACAGTCAAGTTCACGCCGCGCAGATCCGCAGAGCCCAGAAACTGCTTCAGAATCGATCCCTCGAAGTAGCAAAAAATGCTGGGCAGATTCTTTTCCGGGAAATTCGGGATGCACGTCGAGTAAATCGCTCGCAGGAACTTTGTCATGGGATACTTCATTGCCAGCTGCGCCATGAACTCATTTATGAGGGCACAGTGAGGAATTCCCGCCTTGTACAAATGCAGAACCACGTGAACTCCCTCGCCAGCCTTCGTCACTTCGTCCACATAGTCTTGACCAGAGATTTCCCGGACTGTGCCGTACTTCGCCTTCGATGCGAACTCCTTCATCTCGGCTATGCGCTTCCGGCGGTACTCCTCGAGCACTGCCTCATCCTCAGAGTCCTCCAGTTCGTCCAACTCATCGAGATTCATCTCGTTCAGCTTCTTTCCCGAGTTTCCAGCTTTTTCCTCGATTGTCTTCTCCAGCATCGACACGATGGCGTCCTCCGTGATCTCTGCCTCTTTCTCCTTGGGCGGCAGGATGCCCTTGGAGCGCAGAACATCATTCCACTCGGTGTCCTCATTGGGATCCTGAGAAAATCACCTTTTATGGTCATCAAAACACCACCATTGAGGTTAAGAACACTCACCAACATTTCTCCTCCAGCTAATCACACAAATTCAGCAAATACAGCTAAATGGAAAGACAATTGAGGGTGAAATGAAGCGGGAAATGCTAAATTATAAAATAAACAGGGGGAAAATGAGTCACAAATAATGGGAAAAATTCCAGGTGAGACTATGCATTCGGGAGATTCCCGCGAGAGGTCGTCTCCTCCCACGCAATCTGACAATGCTGTCAGTTTGCGTAACAACTTCAGGGTGGAATTTTTGGGAGATTTTCTCCCTCTCCTAAAATAGTTAATTTTATCTCATTTTCCCGTGATTTTCCTTTTTATTTATCATTGTAATATCTGCACGTGCTCTTCTTGAATGCATTTTATCAGTAGAAGTCACGTCGTAGTTGGAATTTATAGAAATATCGCATTGCAAAGGTGTGTGTGTTGAAGGTGTTCCTGAGCATGACATTCATTTTCATGCATTTTTCTCACTTTTCCGACCAGAAATCTGTGCAATAGTCAATGGAATAGTGTGTTGGTGACCCGGAGGACAATTTCTGTTGAAAAAACCATGGCAAATACCGCGGAAACGTGCCCATCGAGGAAAGAGGCGGTGATTGCCAGGTGGCAAATGGAAATTTATGTGCGAAAGTGCGCTAGATTTCACGGGAATTTCTCGCTCTATTTCAGATACGACAACATCGTGAAGTCACCGGAGGACAATAGGAGCTATCGAGGTCTGCTGCTGTCCAATGACATGAAGGTGCTGCTCGTGAGTGACCCCACAACCGAGCGATCAGCCGCCGCGATGGCTGTTGACGTGGGCCACCTCAGTGATCCGGACCACATTCCCGGTCTGGCGCACTTCCTGGAGCACATGCTCTTCCTGGGCACGGAGAAGTATCCCAATGAGAATGACTACTCTACATACTTGGCGGAGAACGGGGGCAATTCCAATGCCTCCACATACGCGGACATCACGAAGTTCTACTTTGACATCGTGCCGGACAAGCTGGAGGGCGCTCTGGACAGATTCGCGCAGTTCTTCATCGCCCCACTGTACACGGAGAGTGCCACGGACAGGGAGATCAATGCTGTGCACTCGGAGCACGAGAAGAATGTGCCAATGGACTCGTGGCGCGTGCGGCAGGTGAACAAATCCCTGTCCAATCCACAGCATCCGTACAGCAAGTTTGGCACGGGCAACAAGAAGACACTGGACGAGGATTGCAAGCTCAAAGGCATCAACATCAGGGATGAGCTGCTGAAGTTCCAGGACAAGTGGTATTCGGCCAATATCATGTCACTGGCGGTGTTTGGTAAGGAGAGTCTGGATGAGCTGGAGGAGATGGTGACGTCCAAGTTCGCCCAGGTGGTGAACAAGGACGTCACGGCTCCTACGTGGGACGAATCGCCGTACACGGACAACGAGACTGGCGTGCGAGTGAATGTTGTGCCGGTGAAGGACACGCGCTCGCTGACAATCACATTTCCCTGTCCGGATCTCGAGGGACTGTACAAATCCAGCCCGGACAAGTACATCACGCATCTATTGGGCCACGAGGGCAAGGGGAGTCTGCTGTCGGAACTGAAGAATAAGGGATATTGCAACAAGTGAGTGGCGAGAGAGTCTTTTGCTAATCGATATCTTTATCTAATCTGGCTCTTCTATCTCTCTGTCCTCAGCTTGATGGCTGGCTATACTTTGGCCGCCCGTGGATTTGGCTTCTTTGACGTCGTGGTGGATCTGACGCAGGACGGCTTTGAGAATGTAAACGAGGTGATTCAGCACACCTTCCAGTACATTCAGATGGTGAAGCGAGGAGGACCAGTTCGGAGGATCTTCGACGAGTACCGCCACATCCTCGAGATGCAATTCCGCTTCAAGGACAAGGAGGGGCCTTTGTCGCTCGTCTCCAGCGTCGTGCATTCCATTAGAGTGAGTGTCTGAGGAACGACTCTCTCTCTCTCTCCGAGTGTAAGACATTGAAATAATTTTGCTGCATTGCAGATTCTGCCGTTTGAGGATGTCCTCTCGGCCGGATACTTCGTGACCGATTGGCGGCCAGATCTTATTGAGGACATCCTGAAGTACCTGGAGCCGCAGAAGATGCGCGCTGTGGTGGTGGGAAAGAAGCTGGAGGCGAAGTGTGACAGAACGGAGTTTTGGTATGGCACAAAGTTCTCCGTGGAGAATTTCAGTGGGGAGACATTGAAGGAGTGGAGTGAGTGTGAAGTGAATTCGCAATTGTATTTGCCCGAGGAGAATCTCTTCATTCCCACGCAGTTTGATTTGACAGAGCTGGAGGAGGATGTGTCGGACTTTCCCACCATAATCTATGACACGACACAGATGCGCGTGTGGCACAAGCAAGATGCGGAATTCAGGAAGCCAAAGGCTCTCATGAATTTTGACTTCTCCAGTCCACTTGTGTACTCAGATCCCCTCAATTGCAATCTCACGCATCTCTTTGTGATGCTCTTCAGGGATCATCTCACTGAATATCTGTACAATGCCGAGTTGGCAGGATTGCGACTCAATGTGGGCAACACACTCAATGAGATCAGTGTAAGGAGGATGAATGAACTGTTCTGTGGTGAAGAAGTGTCTCTTTCATTGCTATTTCACTCTGCAGATAAGCGTAAGTGGGTTCAATGAGAAGCAGAAGCTCTTCCTCGATCATGTCCTCAATGCGCTGTACAATTTTGAAGTGGATCCGAAGAGATTTGACATCTTCAAGGAGAAGTACACCAGGACTTTGAAAAACTTCGAAGCAGAACAGCCATATCAACATGCTGTCTACTATCTGGGCGTGTTGTTGACGGAGTTCGCGTGGACGAAGAAGGAGCTTCTCGAGGCCACGAAAGGTGAGAAACTTTTATATGCTTAAGACTTACTTAAATCTTGACTCAAACTGCTCTTCTTTCATCCTCTTCAGCCGCCACGCCTGAGACTCTGCGTCAGTTTATCCGAGATTTTCTGTCACGCGTTCACGTGGAGTGTCTGATTTATGGGAATGTGACGAAGAGGGATGCAATGGCGTTGGCATCAATTGTGGAGGAGCGCCTGAAGAAGGAGGATTCGGCAACACTGCCACTGCTGGCCAGGCAACTCTTCCCCAAGCGCGAGTACAAGCTGGGCGAGGGTCGGAGCTTTCACTTCCGCAAGCACAATCAATTCCACATGGCTTCCTGCACACTGTTCTACATTCAGTGTGGCGTACAGAGTGATGAGAATAACATCTTCACGGATCTCGTGGTGCAGATTCTGTCGGAGCCGTGCAATAATGTGTTGCGCACGAAGGAGCAGCTGGGCTACATTGTGTTCTGCAGCGCACGGAAGATCAATGGGGTGCAGGGTGTGCGCATGCTGGTGCAGTCGTCGCAGCCGACGGCGTACGTGGAGGAGCGCATGGAGCTGTTCCTGGACTCGATGGTGGAGCACATTGAGAGCATGACAGATGAGGAGTTTCAGAGGCACAAGGATTCCCTGGCGGCCATCAAGTTGGAGAAGCCGCGACAGCTTATGTCGTGGTTCAGCAAGTATTGGACGGAGATTGGTCTGCAGCAGTATCACTTCACGCGCGGACACGCTGAGGTGGCGGTGCTCAAGGGGGTGACGAAGGACGCTCTCTTGGCGTACTACAAGAACTTCATTCTGCGATCGTCTGGCACACGTCAGAAGCTGGCCATTCACATTGTCTCGGCACAAGCGGAGCCCGAGAGTGTGGCGACAACAGTGAAGCTGCCGGAGAGCGTGGAATTGGTCACGGATTTGTCCGCGTTCAAGTCCAGTAAGGAGCTGTATCCGGTGGTGCAGCCGTATATTGACATCCGGCGGAAGGGGGCGCGAAGTAAGTTGTAGGACAATGCTTGATTGACTTTGATGGATGCTATTAATAATTTATTTTCCCAAAGTTGTGTTCTTTCACTGCTGCATTTGAAGTTTTTCAGCATTCTCTTGCATTGGGTGTTTTCGGAGCGCTATTAAGGGTGGTTTTTACTTCCTATTGAAGGATCAAGTTGAAGTAAACAGAACAAAAGATTGAGGAAATACAGCAGCATTTGTGGCACAGATTTATTGATATTCCGCACAGATTTTACACCATCAAGTTGTTCTAACATCTTCTATTCGTCTTCTGACGTCCAGCACTAAAGGTAGATGAGTATCTTGATGAGGACCACATCATTGCGGCAATAGGAGCTGGACAGGATGGCGCTGTTTGGTATCGGGAAGCCGCTGTTGATGCTGAGAAACTCCTGTGAGATGAGATCACTCTTGGCGCTCGTGTGATCGAGAATGGCGATTTTGTGGCGGAAGAACTTCTTCGTCTCGATCTCCTTGAATATGCTGCCCGTTTCCAGGATGATGGAGCCATTTCCCGCCACTTCCCTGGGCGACTGCTCCAGCTGCAGATACAGATAGTCTCGCTTCAAGTGGTTCAGTTCGGCTTTCACGTGCAGATTCTGCCCAGAGATGACGAAAGCCGGACTCTCCACCTGACTCTCGTTCCTCTTCAGCTTCTCCTTGTAGTGATCGATGCGCCAGTAGTACGTGAAGATCTGTGTCTCCTGGCCGGACAGAATGGTGTTGTTGAACTTGTGAATCTCAGATTCGCGCGCGCTGGAGAACTTCGATGGCAAGGACTTGAGCAGCAGCGGTTTGCCCGTCACTGGTGCCATTGTGGTGAAGAAGACGCTCTGCTTGGTGGTGATTTCGGGGATCTCGTTGGGAATCTCAGGCGGAGTTGATGAGATGGATGGCGAAGTGACTTCGGCGGATGCTTGCTCGCGCGCCTGATCGACGATCTTCTGGATGTTGTGATAGATCGTGGGCGCCATGTTGACTGGCGGATGGAGGAATTGGTTGTGCTGCATGAGATTGTAGTGTGGATTCTGGATTTGGCTGAGAACCAGCCGAATATTGTAGATTTCCTGCATCAGCTTGGACTCGAGGTAGGCAAAGGCGGTGTAGAGACTGTCTGCGAGCGAAAAAATCGATGGTGAGAGATGATTTTGAAGTAAACTCACTAAACTAGAACTTCTCTTACTCGATTCGCAAATTCCCTCCAATTTTGTGGTGAGACTCGCCTGAGCCGAAGCCTTCACGTCTCCGGAAGTGATGGTGCACTGGGCAGTTTGGGTTTCCGTTGGCTCTGGAAAAAAGGAGCGGGAAAGGAGAGAGTCGTCAGACAATTGCGGACAGTTCCTTCGCGTCGCGGTGATTTGAGTGCATTTTTCGTATGGGAATCCAATCTGGCAACACGCAGTCGCGCGCGCGATTATTTATTGCGAACACGTGAATGTTCCCAACGGAAAAATGAATAATTTCATATTTATTATATTCGAAGGTGTCTATTTTTACATTAAAGTCTAATATTACGAAAGTTGTAGGACTAAATGGCCCATTCAGGAAGACTAAATTGACCATTTCGATGGTGTCAGTTATTTATAGAGTCACTCTTCGTTTCAAGGAAGGTAAAAAGAGAGCAGAAAAAAGCACTTTACAGCGAGGGTGACTTCTTAAGCGCACTTTCTCTGTGGATAATACAAATGCACAGACACTTACCATTCGCAGTTGAGATGGAAATTATCGATCCCATGAGGAGAATTGAGAAGATCTGTAGCTTCTTTGACAAAAACATCTCGCAGGAAGTCAAGGAACAGCTCGAGGAGACACACTTGCACCGCGAGATGCTGAGAAGCGACTGACGAGATGTTGACAAAATATTTATTTTATTTATAATCCTCAACGAGTTGTCTTTGCGACTCAGTCGAGTCCCAAACGAACAGTCGAATTATTCAAAAACTAAACCCAATATTTTATTGGAAATTCTCCCTTTTTGGGAATGATGTTAATAATTCTATTTAGAGAGATTTTAAAGAATTTTGAGAATTTCTCTTGCGATTGCTCAAAAAGTCTCCAAAAGGGACTAAAGTCGTGAAATTCCGCAATTGCAAGCCCCTCAACGTGGAGACTTTCTGTGTGTTGTCATGTGGTGATGAAAACAGTGTGAATTGTGCTTTTTCCGGCATTTTATCCACTTTTCCGCTAAGGCATTCCACAAAGTGTCTCTAAAAATGACTACAAATAGAGAAATTAGCATGGAATTGAGTGTAAATAAGAGAAACAAGCAATTAACGAGGGAAGAACTGCAGAAACTCTCAAAAGAGGTTATGTTTCAATTGTTTACACCGGAGATTTTTCCTAATTTCTCCTCTTCTTCGACCTGCAGGAGTTGATTGAGAAGGTCATCCAGTTGCAGGCACACACTCTCCAGCTGAAGAACATAATCCAGAAGAGAGATCCCGAGGCGGAATCATCCTGTGACGGTCACACGAGGAGGAAACAGAGGAAGTTTGACTTCAGCAAAGTCCATCGAAGGCACATTCTCCTGAAATTCCTCTACCTGGGCTGGGATTATCAAGGATATGCCAGTCAAGAGGACTCCACGGCCACCATTGAGCATCACCTGTTCAAGGCACTGCAGAAAACCTGCCTGATTGAGAATCGCGAGTCCGCGAACTATCATCGCTGCGGCAGAACGGATAAGGGCGTGAGCGCCTTCTCGCAGACCATCTCTCTGGATGTGCGGAGTAAATTCCCGGCAGCGGAGCAAATGCTCCCCGAATCGATAGAGAATGAACTGAACTACTGCGTGATGCTGAATCAATCGCTGCCAGATGATATTCGCTGCATTTCCTGGCATCCGCTCGCGGATTTCGACTTCAGTGCGAGATTCAATTGCCAGAAGAGGATGTACAGATACTTCTTTCCTCGCGCCAAGCTCAACATCGCCGCCATGGCGAAGGGATGCTCTTATCTTGTTGGGAGCCACGATTTCCGCAATCTCTGCAAAATGGACGTGGCGAATGGCGTGGTTTCTTACACGAGAACCATCGAGAGTGCTGAGATTAGAGCTGTCGCTGGCCAAGAAGATCCTCACGATATGGTGTTCTTGGAGATTCACTCAAATGCCTTCCTGTGGCATCAAATCCGATGCATAATGTCTGTCTTGCTGCTCATCGGACTGGAGAAAGAGCAGCCGGAAGTTGTTAGGGAATTGCTGGATGTGGAAAACAATCCCAGAAAGCCTCAATACAGCCTGGCTAGCGATGTGCCACTGAATCTCTATGGAACAGTTTTTGACGGCCAGGACAATTGGGTGCTGAATCAACACTCTCTCGAGCGTGTGATAAGGAATCTAGAGAGTTTGTTGTTGTTTTCCAGCATCAAGACCACAATGATGCAGGAAATGTCGAAGGATTTGCGAGCTGTGCTGAAGGCGAAATTCCCAGAAGCTCCTGAGACGCTGTGCAGTGCCGAGGACTTGATTCAGGGCGCCAAGATGAAGAGCTACACGCGACTGATGGAGCGCCCCAAGGGTGAGAGTCTTGAGGATCGCATTGAACACTATGTGAAGAAGCGTCGCTTGAATGCCCAGTGAATTGGTGAGTGGGAAAAATTATAGGATAGAGAAACTTTTATTAACTCTTTTGCATTTCAACAAGCAAATAATGGTGACTAGAGGGGAGTTTCTTCCCAATTCGCAAATGAATTGTCGTGAAAATAGAGCTACACAACTAAAATTTATACACCTAAACACACTCAGAAAAAAAATTCCTATTTTATACTGCTTTTTAATGTTAAATTAACTCCTAAAGTTACGTCATTGCACGGCGCGATTGGGTCACATGGGCTGCAGCTGATCATGAGCTCTGCATGCTGTCCAGGGATTTCGCACGCTGATGCCTGAAAGAAGCGAACAATTGATTTCATGCATTCTTCAGAATCTATGATTGATTGCTCACTTCCTCCTCGCCACTCGCAGCACTATTGGACCCTCGCGGACGTTCTTGAACAGTGCTATTGTGTCCGAATGACTCATGCCGTGAACATTGGTGCTGTTGATCTTGAGTATTTCATCTCCTGCAATGGTGAGAAGCGATTGACTGGTGGATTCATGGCATTTGCGATGCTTTCTATACTGTTCTTACCCGCTTGCAATTTCCCATCGTCAGCCGCCTGTCCACTTGGGAAGACAGTCTTCACGAAGATTCCCATGTTGCCCTTTGGGGAGTCTTTCCCGCCAACAATGCTGAATCCCAGTGACTTCATGCCAGTTCCCTTGTAGAATTTCACTATGAGTTGAGAATTGTTCTGGGCACCTGAAAGACAATGCCTGTTAGTTCTGGTCATATTATTCGAAGGCCACGCCTTCCCGGAAACCCCGCCCAATTCATCGATGCTCTTGAGCTGAACTCACCGTCTTTTCCACCTGAGATCGTGGTATTCTCTTGCGAACTGGCATGCTTCTGAGCACACTTGTTGAGGCTCGTCTCTGCCACGGGCTCCGGCAGGTTTCCGTCCGTGTGCGAGCGCTGAATTCTGCAGTCCACGGGCACGGTGAGCTGCAGCGTGGCTTCACTCTTGAAGGACTTGGGCTCGGCGTCAGCCTTCTTCTTGAACTTGATGGAGCGATAGCCGGGCCGCGTGCGCTCGGCGGCGTTGTCGCTGTCCGGTGACGTGGGTCCACTGTGGGCGGGCGTCTGGCGGAGGATTTCGGGATCGGGAAGGGAGTGGGCGCGCTTGGTGAGGCTGAAGTTGGGAGGAATGGGGATGATGGACTTGAAGGGTTCCTCGTCGTCCTCGGCGTCGCTCACGGCAATCGTGGGACTGCAGCGCGACGTGGAGGCGGTGCTGGAGATGGAGTAGCGCGGGGAGAGCTGCGTGGACGCGGGCGCGGAGTCGGAAGGGCGCTTCTTCAGCATCTGCCACTTCTCGTCGTCGCTGATGGTGTTGGTGATGGTGATGCGGTTCGCGTACACGGGAATGTACTCCGTGGCATTGTAGAGGGGCGTGAGTGGGAAGGGCTTGGGGACGCGACTCCTGGCCAGTGTCCGCATGGGCGACAGCAGCGCCTTGCGCTGCGGACTGTTGTCAGTGGTGTGCAACACCAGCTGATCCAGATCGCTGCACGAGAGCCGCTTGGCGCCCATCCTGGACTGGTCGTCGCCAATGCGAATCTTTGTACTGCTGAAGGTACTCGCCAGGGTAGTTAACTCGTCATGCGCGATGACGAGGTCTACGCAGTTGTCCACAAAGGTGAGAATCCGCTGCACGGTGCTTGGCGATTGGAGGCCACGTAAATGATGACCATTTACATTGACAATCTCATCACCGACGCGGAGGCGTCCATCTCTAAGGAAATTGTGAAATTACATTATGCATAATTGCGCGCATCAGGGGGAAAAGGTCAGGGACACACTCTCACCTGTGCGCGACGCCACTGGGATCTATCTCGGCTATGATGTATCTCATTTCCACTTCATTGTCCTCCACACGCGTCTGCGGCGTGAGCACCAGGCCGATTGCCTCCACGGCAGTGCTCTTTTCCAGCCGGATCTGGCGGAAGCGCCTTCGCACGCCGGACTCGGGCTTCTCCTGGCTGCGCACAGCCTCTATGTAGGGATCTGAGCACTTGGACAGGTTCACTTGGCTGTCTGACTTGGGGCTGTGGTTCTCCTCGGCGTGCCTGCCGTCACTATCGTAGCCGGACTCATTGGAGCTGAGGCAGCTGGAGAGACGCTGGTACACACCGGGGCCCCAGTCTGTGGACGCCGTGCTGTTGTGGCGCGAGATATTGGTCTGCGACAGGGCAGAATCGACATCGGAGTTCTGGTTGATAGAACTCTTCCTGGACACGCTGACGATGCGACTCTTGGGGCTCTCGCTCGGCACTGACGACGTGTCTGACACCCTGGAGATGTCCTGGCTCTCGGTCGAGGGCATCTCCAGGGGATCTCCGGTGGAGTGCGGTCGCTGAAGCATCTTCTCGCGCATCCGCGACTGATTGACCACAGATCCGCCGTTCTCCTCGGGCAGAACGGAGAGCTTGGAGCGCAGGAAGGCGTACGGGAAGTGAGGTCGCTTGGGCGTCTGCTGTGAGCCCTCGCTGGCCACCTTGGCGATGTCGTCACAGCTGGAGGACTTCTCGGTGTTACGCGGCGCGATGCTCCGGCTGGCCAGGTTGACGCCGTCCGTAGGATCGTCGCACTTCACGTACGAGCACGTGTTGAGCTGGCTGGTGGAGCTGCTCCGGTAGAGCTGCACCCCAGCGCGCGGCGACTCGGCCTTCCGGGCGTTGTGCAGCATGCCCATGCCGGTGCTGCCGATGCGGAAGAACGTGAAGGTCTTGAAGGGACTGGGCGATCGGTCGCGGTGCGGCTTCATGAGGCGCTCCGCCGTGCCGCCCGATGTCATGCACGCCAGCGTCGAGCGGTGCTTCCGCAGTGTGTCCGCCGAGTGCTGGCCGCTGGGCGTTGGCGTCTTGGTGGAGTCGCTGCGGCGCAACAGATCGAGCTTCTTGCCCATCTTGCGGCCCCACGTGAACACTGCGTCAAAGTAGAGATTGCACAATTAATAGGAGTTCACTTCCTCGTGAGATCTAAAATTACAAGGTGCCTCAATTGATGATTATTGTGCCTCACGAGAGAACTCGTATGTACCGCAATCATTTTACCCTAAATAATCAAGAAACAATTTTATACCATGCGGAATCTCGCGCGAGATTTGATGATTTGACTCGTTCCCCGTCTCGGAGTTCAAGTGAAAGACAAGGAGAGAGAGAAGGCAATCGCCAATTATCACTTTTAATCGGTCAGTCATGCACTTGAGATTACCATTTGAGCAGCCACAATTCTCTGCCTTACCTTAGAGATTTCCATCAAAGTGCTCGTCTGCACAATAAAGCGACACACATTGCTTGTGTTGAGAATTAGTTATCACACAGACTGCTTCAATGAAAAACCTTTGCCGACGAAAATGCTCTTGAAATGTGGTGAATCTTCACAAATGTGGCGTGAAAGGTTGCGGACATATACAAAAGGTATTTCAAGAACGATTGATTGTCATTTGAATTGATAAATTCACAACTGAAGATTACCTTCCTTGTCTACTTGTGAGATTTGAGCTATAAAGTACTATTTTTACTCTTAAAATTATAAAATAATGTTAATGCAGTAAAAAGGACATTGTAGCTCCACCCATTCGAATGCCCCGCCCATTTTCACCCCTAAACTTCAGTTAAACGAGTGTGAAACACCCTGTGAACAGCTGCAGAATCTTGAGAATCTCTTGAGAGATATAATTGCACGTATACAGCAAGAAATCTATTTATTGGCATCTCAAGTCTTCTCTTTGGCCTCTCAAAGTCTTTCAGTGGCGCAAAGATGAGTAAATCCAATAAAAAAAAAGAGCTGTCTAATCTGGAGAAAGGGAACACAAATCAATTCCAATATGCTTTAATGTTTTAATTAAGCAAATGATATTGATGCTCCTCAGTGTCGCGGAGCTTATCTGAGAACATCGCGTCTTCGTGAGGGATTGATTTGTTGAAATTGACCATGGCTGAGAGCATATCTCGACCCACACAAATATTTCTACAGATATTAGGTGTGATTATCATAAAAAATGGTGTTGATTCCTCCTGCACATAAAATACAGTCGTGCGTCTGAAGGTGTAGAACATGCTTCTCCTATTAGGGCTAATGAAAAGCTCGCGCCTTATCTGAAGTTCTACTCCAATGGCGCGATATAAGAGAAGAAATTAAAAAAAAAAACTCCTGTCTTTCCATCACACGACATCGGAAGCGATGTTATAATATGATTTTGTATACACGAAAATCGCTTTGCTGAATTAATTCTATTAGCTCTTTAATGGCTAAAATATTTCCGCTAATTGTATCATATGCAGGATCGCGTGAATTTTATTGCAAAAAAAAATAATCGCGGAAAAAAATTAAAAATCCACTTTTTTGATCTTTTGGCGGGTTTTTTTTTTGCACACAAGCCAACGCCAGTTGTAAGCCATAAATTTCATTACAATTCTCTCTTTTGTCTGGGTTTTGAATGAATAAGAGCGACGAAAAAAGCACTGGCTGTAAATATTGGTCTATTTTTCCGCAATGTTGATGACTTTTCGGTTGATTGCGTAGTCACTGAACCGCCAGCGGTGTCTCTAGACTGGTATTTAAATGAGACTTTTCTACTTTTTTGCACTCATTTTCCTCATTTCGAGTATCGCAATTGAGCCCACGTGAAAAAACACCGTGACCACGCACTGTCGGTGGATTTTGTGGGGAAATTGTCGCGTGTTGGCGGCCAAGGAAGTTGGCGAAGAGTGTATTTGTTAGATGGTCATTACAGGAGGTTCACTTGAAGAAAAATGAAAGTTTCCGTACTGAAGGCGCAGTTATGTTTAATCAGTTTAATATTAAGCACCATTAATCGATGGTAATTGGAGCGAAGATTTCTGTTGGACGGTGTATTTTGCTCAGCTTCTTCAAATGTTGCACCACACAAAGTATTTAAAAGAGCATCAAACAATGAAATGATTTAAGAAGTGGTGAAAAAAAGGGTGAAGAGAAAAAGATCTGCGCAGAGTGAATTAGAGCGGATAAAAAGCGATTAATAGATACATCTTTAGCTCAATATTTGCAGCTTTCCCGCATTTCATGCAAAGAAAATATACTGTTAATGAGAGTTCTCTTGAGCGGGATTTTGGCATTTGAAGATCACTTTGGCATAGCTCTTGGTGTCTCTGCTGGTCAATATCAATATTTATACACACCATCAACTTCACAATATTGATCATTTTCTCCCTCTCGAAGCCCCTCGCGGTCGCAGAAGTAATGAGCCAGAGGAGCAAATTGCGAATTTCCAAGAGCGCGAGGAGTGTTTGTTTGCACTTGAGAGAACAGAGAAGATCAATTGGAGTCTGTTGTCACAATGATGTGTGATCATGACGATGAGAAGTTGCGGTGGAGCGATAAAGAGGTGCGTCTTGGTGGGATTTTCTCTGCGATATGGAAGAAATTGCAGTGCGTCCGAATGATTCTGTTCGAAAATGGTATTATTTATTTGTCATATATGTCCATTGCCAGTCTCTCTCTCTCTCTCTCTCTCGTGATGGGGCAAAGAAAAAAAAGACGATCTGCATTGATCTAATTTCGCGTTTGCGTCGTCAATGTGAAAGTCAAAGACCTGCACGGATTGTGTGTATGTGCAGAAATTCTTCGCATTCGCAATCTCACGATTTATCAGCTCGAAGAGGTTATCGAAGAAGATATAATAAATGTGATCGCGTGTTTTTCCCTTTGGTTGATATGTTGTGACATTAGAATTGTTTACATTTATTGGTGAAAATGCGCAAGATGGATGAAAAATTCCTCATCCCGTATGAAGTTCGTTTTGTTTGTACGCCACAAGAGTTTTTTTTGTATGCTCTGTCAGGTTCTAACGATGGAAGATGAATGTCGAGGAATGGAAAACCGCACATGAAGTGATGGGGAAAAAGTTGTCTCTTCACTTAAGCCAAGGCACATTCACCGTGTGTGTGTGTGTGTCATTAAATACAACGCATGAGTGAATAATCATCGTCACTTGCATTCTAGTGCTTCACGAGATCGCACTTCAGCACACGAGATTTTATCTCTATCGCGCGCTTTCTTCTTTTTTGGCTTCAATAAATACTAATTTATGTCCTATATACGCATGGAAACAGGTGTGAATCTCTATTGATTTCCACACAACAGTGCACGCTCGCAACAGCACAACTCCTCAATTTCCCTTCGTCATTGTTTCAAACACTCTCTTCTCAAGCCTTAAAGTCATTGCGGGATTAATGCTCTAAGGAAACTATCAAGTATGATAGTTTTATGCTTAATATCTCTAAATTCACTGAATTTTTTTCATGAAATTAAGCAAATATTTATGCCACTTTGAGAAATTTGAATCAATTACTTATTTTAGCCTTTAGACTTCAATCATTTTCGAAGTAAAGGTCTTCTAAAGTGCATAAATTCACACTGGTTTCTACAATTTCCATCATGTGCTGTTGTTTATTCTTTCACTTTGAACACATAGCTTGACATAGAGAAGCTTGTGGTTATTGTGTGGTCTACTGCTGAGTGATAGAAAAATAATAATTTTATTAGAGAGGTGACGAGAGATGACGGAAAGTGTGGCATAACGTTGAGCTAAAAAAGTCTTCCATTCACGTCAATCATATTGATGATATTTGCTATTTAAATTATGCTGTGGGCGAAATGAATTTAGCATTCTGTGCAGGAAATTAATCTGCAACCCACTCTGCATAAATGCAGTCCAAATGTGATTCTTGCAGGTGAAATGAGACTGTGAAAATGGGTTGTTTTTTTCTTCTTCTTTTGTTGAACTTTCGCGTCATTTTCAAATATAATAATAATAATAATAATAATAATAATAATAATAATAAATTTATTCTTCCTTCTTTTTCTTTTGTGTGCGGCTGCCGCCGGCTTCATTGCCAACCTCCCCGAGCAAACGGCAGAAAGCTCGGTTCTTCGGTCGTGTATGCCATTTGGGGGAAAAGTGTTAGTTACATATATAGGTTCACAGCCTTACAATTTAATAATTTAAAAACTAACATTTTTGTTTTGAGGCCAGCGTGTCACATATTAAAAGAAAAAGGAAGGAGTAGTGGGACAGCAAAACTCTAAGAGTTGAAGCGCTGCCCACGGGTTCAGTGGGATATCCGGATATCCGGATATCCGGACAAATTGAATATATCGCGCATCGAGAAGATAAATGTTGATTTCCTGTGTCACAAGTGAAATGAAATCATTAATATAATGTTGATTATTTGTGTGAACTTGGCCTCTGTTCGCTTTCAATCCTCTCTTTCCACATTTAGTTCCCATCGAACCGCTTTTTCTCGCAATCACAAATGACTGTTACTTGAAATTTTCATCACACACAATTCAACTCAATATTTATGGCCATTTTTTGCCCATTTTATAATTAGAAAGCCAGTATATCCTGTTTTTTTCCTTTACTTAGTACTCATAGGGTTTTTAGCCGAGACATTTTGCTGAGAACAGTTTCTCATGTCCTCACTAAGTCGATAACGACTTTTCATTACGTGTTTTGATATGCAAATGTATGGCGGTGATATTTCGCCAATTTACAGTTGCACTTAAGTCCATAAATTCCACATATTTTACCCACTAAAACTCGCTTTGATAATTTAGTGGATAAAGTGAAAATTTCGCACATGGAATTATGTGAAGAGATTTGAGGAAAAATTGATTATTTAATTATGTATTATCTGGGTATATAATTTGATTTGGTGATAAATGTGCCAGAATGCAGTGAACACACTTTGAGAAAGTTTTTCACGATATCTTCTCTGGAAAAATGCAATGTGTGCGCATCAGCAGCGTGCAATTAACTCACGCAAAACATTGTGCTTGGCGCCCTGTTGTGTTTTCGGCCTGGAAGGCACGTTATGGAGAAATGTGTGATGATTGCACGATGAGATGTTATGGTGTAAAAGTGACCTCCACGCCACAGAGAGACAATAAGAATGCTTTACATAACAATCTGGCGGGAAAAGCAATTTGAGAATGTTTTCTCTGGTTTTTTTTTGTTTTAGTGTGTGCCCTTTAGAATTGTTGGCTGTATAAACATCAAGTGTTTTGATGACTTTCGCACAGACAATGAGGGAGAAAAAAGCACGCAAGGGAGTTGAAGAAAAAGTGAATAAAATAATACAGTGAAGTCGTGATTGGAATGAGAAGAGCGAGACGTAAATTCCGATTGGAGTGTCATTTACCTTTTTGGGCGTTACTTGAGAGTTTGAGTGAGAGATGAAGAAGAAAAATATAATAGAATTCATACTTAATAACCGTTCACTGATCAATTTGTATCGCCAGGCAGTGCTGAGAGCCACAGACATTCCAATTTCAATTACATACACAAGAGAGGTGTTATCATTTGATGAAAGAGAAAATCCCCTCTTATTTGGCGATTTGAGGGTGGGAAGCCGAAAAGTCGCGTCTGACGCAGAGTTGAATCTTAAAATAGACCCATAATATTGACTTTCTGGATAAGTCTGAGCTGTGACATTGATTGGAGAGAATTCTATTATTAAATTCCCACGTAATATTTACCGCCTTTGGACTAGCACGTCATTAATGGCAATTTTTGAAGGGGACTTTATTGGGTGTCAATCAAGATTTTTGGGGCAAAGTGAAGTCCCAAAACTCCTCTCAATATATCACCACTGAAATTTCCGGTCACTTTGGAGAGAATTCACGAAATTTCAGCAACAATTCGTGCTCTTATTCCTCATTGGACTGTGGAATGCCAACTCCCAATGGATTGGTGCTTAGAGATTGAAAGTTATCCATTAATTATATCTCCGATGAATTTCACAACAATCTCTGTGCAGAGACACTGGCTGCTTTGCCACTAAATGCTCTTTGCGAAAAGAGTCAGCAAGTTTCACATGATTGCGCTCCATTGAAATTTATATGTTATTTTGTATGGTGAGGAAAAAATGCGAAAGAGAGATAAATTAATTGGTGAAAAGCATCGAGCATTTCAGATTCAAAATCATGCAAATTTGTATCTTTTTCTTCTCGCCAAAAACGTTATCGCGCCAGTGTCGAAAAATCCACGGAACCGTGATTTTTTCAACTCTGCAATTAATCTTTCAAGGTGAAAAGGAAGATTGTGAGGAATAAATACAACAATTGTGTGTGAAGTAAAGATATTAGGGGAATGTGGGGCAATTTTGTACTGTGCCATAGTCTATTTGGTTTGTTGTGACCTCACACCAAAATCCATAAACAGAATGTTTATTGTAGGATTTGTTTTGGGTTTGCTTTATTGCTTGGGAACTTTCAATTCTTTCGAAGTTGCTGTGACAATTTGCGGTAAAAAATTTAATTGCGCCTCTCATTAATTGATTGCAATATGCGAAAAAATAGGCCAAAGTGACCTAGAAGATATATTTAATATTTATTATGTCGCTTTTTGGACATTTCATGAGCTTGATTACACTGAATTGAGTTGTGTTGGGAATCAAGAGAATTCAAGACTCAAGAATGGCTAAGATATTAGCGGAGTTAAGCGAAAATATTGACTTTTCCACACTCAATTTTGATTTCTTGGCAACTGTGTTCGCTAAGAAATTGAGAGATTAGGGCTTTCAGTGTCTCTATTGACTATGCAGAGTTTTTTGCTTGAGCATTTCATGCGGGCTTCAGTTTCTCTTCCATCCAGCGACATTGGCCTTAGAGAGCTCTTTGACTCTCTTGTATCTCATGCGGCCCAAGCAATTTGCATTGCTAATGATCGCACAGTGTAAATCTCACACTCTATTGTGATTTTCTATGCTGCAGACACTTTGCCAAATTCACCTAATCTATGTTTACACGGAATATTGTGCACTTGGGAGACTCACTGTTCTTAGACTCCTTGGCCGCCGGTGGCGATGTTATTGGTGTGGCAGGAGCTGACTCGGTGTCTTCCAGCACAACAGCTGGAACTGCCGTCACAACTTTGTAGCCGGGCAATCGACCTTTTGGGGCAGAGGAGAAGAAGAGGCATAAAAGCAAGTGTGTTTCGACATTTTTTGGGGCGGTAATTAATGACGTGACTGGTGAGTTTGAAGATGACCACCGGAGCGAAATTAAGAGCGCAACCGCACAAAAAAAACATGCATGTTAATAATTTTGTAACTGTATTAGGTTTCAACAGTTTTTCGTCAGTTTTTTTTTCCTTCTTCTTCTTCCAATCCTGGGCTTTTCTTGGTCGTTCACTGCTGCGTGTATTCATTGCGCAAATTGCGTGGTGAGATGCTTGACTTTTTTCTTCGTCAAGCGCAAAGAACTTACAACCTGCAGTTGACTTTTTGAGCATCATAAAGTCTTGGACTGAGAGAATGGTAAGTGTGCGACAGAGCAAAAAGAAAATGCTTTGAGTTGAACATATTTTGCCATTAAGCATCGATAAAATTGTGTCTATTTTGCTCAGCAATGCACAGTGAAGAGGGGGCTCACTTTGTGTTTTGTTGGAACCTTGACAAAAAGAAGCATTAAACTCATTCGCATTTTTAGCATTTTCTAGAATTCGCCTCGGTGTTTTTCCCAAGCAAATATCACCGTGTACATTTTATGAATACCGGATGTATTGGATTGAGTAACCCAAAAGCGTGCTGTTTTGATTTATACTCCAATTAATTCCTATATGGCTCACATAGGCCTGGCGGGGCACGAAAGAATTGGGGGAACGATGGATTTTTTTGTAATTCAAATGTAAATTTCCGACGAGGATTCCACTATATACAAATTCATTAGTCAAACTTTGAGAGTTGAGAATTTCACGCTAAGAATGACTTGATAAGTCTCTTATTGAGCTTTTTATGCTGGGATAAAGTTTCTTTTTTTCACTTATGACGTGTCAGAATTATTGCAAACAGACAAACAAGAGAACAATTCAAAAGATTTCAAGTCTATATCTCCATCTGCACCACACGAAATACAGAAGTTTTTCATGCATTTTTATGTGAGTTTTAAACCTTACAGGACGATAACTAATTAAGCGAACGCATTGTTGGTTTCTAAAGCTCCAAAAACTCAATCTTGAAGTGACTCTTCCTCATCAAAAGCTTATATGTGATTGCAGTGTGAAAGGTTAAAGGCTCTCAAACGGACGCCTAATGTAGTGACATTACCATTTTGTCCAATTAGCGCGACTGTGGGGCTCTTGTCGGGATCAGGTGGCGGCGACTTTGGCGAGGCGACGCCAGCAGGTGAGGCGATGGTGGCATTAGTGGCCGCCGTGCAGTCGTTAGTCGTCTCGGGCGCCAGCGGTGAGTTATGGCGGCAATTGGGGCGCTCCTCGGCGACTCCAGTCGCGGCTTCCTTGGTCAGGGATGCGGACTGAGCGGCCGTTGGCTCGATAATTACTGTCGTGGCGAGATTGTCGCTCGATCTGCGAGCCTTGAACAAACGCATGCTTGTTGCATTGGTCTGTGGAGATGAAGAGAGGTGGAAAATGATGGGCAATTAGTATGATTCTTGCTCACTTAACTCCCGTGATTGTCGCGTGTCACATCCTAAAGGCTTTTGTTGCGCTTGTGACAGAGGCAAAAGTGAAATTCGTTGAGTTGTGAAATGCCGAAGAAGCGCAAGCGAGAGAGAGAGAGAGGGTACAAAGAGGCACACAGAGATCAACCTTCAATTGGACAAAGTTGTATTTCTTTAGTACACCTTCTGCAGTATTGCTCAAACAATTCAATACCTTCGCACTGTGACTCCGGCATTCCATCATAGGGTCTTTTTCATATTCATACAATTAATATTACATGCTTTTTCTGCTTTGCTGGTAATTTTCCTGTGAAGTGCATTCAACAAAACATATGAGCCTTGCGATGCAATTTCACTTTTCGTGCAACATTGGAAATTATATGTGTTTTTTTTTCTCTACTGCCAATCGCGAAGAATTGAAGCAAATTGAAGGTGCAAAAGATCAAGAAATCAATTATTTATCGTTGCGCTACTGATCCATGCTTTGGCATAGAAAAAAATGAAGAAAAAATCCTCCTGCAACCGCGAAGAATCTCGTGAATACGCATTGATTTCACTAGAAGAATGTGGTGGGCTAATTGTTTGTCGAAGAATGCGCGCGCACACACTTGTGAGAGATCATTCGAATTTTCATTGCAACGCATAATATTGATTCTTGCATAATTTCAGTCACCTTTTCAGATCCCCCGCGGTTTCGATAATAATTTATCAACGCCACGGATTCACGCATAAGCGATTCAAATTTGACGCCGAAGATCATTTGCGTGCGGATGCAAAGAGCATTTTAAATCTCAAAAGTGTTGATTGTGAAAAGAGAAATTCTTCAAATATTGTTTTAAAAGAAATTCAGTAAAATGTGATGAATTCGTAACGGGTGTTGGACAGTGATTGAACAGCTCAATGTGGACTATTTTTCAATCTTAAACTGGGTTAAAGATTAAAAGAAAAATTGAGAAAGATGAATCGCCAAAAATAGTGCATTATTAATCCCATGCCAAAAGGGAAAATGTCAAGGGAAGCATAATGTCTGTGACCTCTTCTCTCCGCCATTCATTGAGATTTGCAATACAATAATAAAATCCGCATGAGTTGCTGTAGAGCGAATTCAGTGGCTGCGAGACAATATATGATCATTAAATACCAATAAAACGTATTTTATATAGGATAAAAGCGCTTGCATTTTGCGCAAATATTCTTTAAGATTCAATGTGGGGAAAAGAGAGGCTGAAATTCAAATGAAATTGTTTCGTATTAAGCGTGAAAACTCTTCATTTTTCAATCTCAAGCACAATTTCTTCTAATTCCATGAGAAATATTGATTTCCTTAAAATGCGTTTCTTTGATCTCCAAGAGGTTTTTCTGTTGGAAAGTATTGCTTCCCAAACTCCTCTTCGACTGAGCATTTTCTTCCAAAGTGTTTTAATTGGCAGCATTTATAACTTTTTTCCATGATTCCTATCTTGGTAATTAGATATATTCCATTTACAGACACTTCTATCCATAAAAGATACTTTCCTGTTGAGAGAATGAAGCAATAAAATTCGGAATTTCACTCTAAAACTCCTCAATATGCTTCCATTTCACTCTGTGAGTGCCATCAAATCGACAAAGAAAGTACGTGACGTGAAAATTCTCTGGCGTGGACAGGTCAAATTGATAAATCTCGCACGTCTAATGGAAAAATTGTAGGGCAAGTGGATGAGAAAAATTCTCGTTAATTACAGATGTATGTAAATTTTATGTGGTAATTTATTATGCACGTGAGAGCTAATTGTCTCTGTCATTAGACAATCCCAGAAGAGTACCAATTTCCCACATGATGAAAATGGAAGTGAACAATTATAAATTATGTTATGAGCGTCTTTACTTTCTTTCCAGTGTGTGTTTTTTTTTCTTTCAAGATTTCTTGGTTCTCTTCTGATGGCTTTTTCTTCGTCAGACTCTGTTGTCAAGTGAAACGTGTGTGTGTGTGTAGATTTTGTAACATTCTTCTGGGATATTGTCTATTTGTATCTCCACAATCTTCCTTCACTTTCCGTGTAATGAAAGTGGTTTTGGATCGCTTTTTTGCTGATCGCGCAGAGCCTGAAATATTTGCTGATATCATCGGATAAAATGACCCGCACAGAGGCTGTGTGTGAATGAGAAACTGAAGAGTGAAAGAGAGTTTGACGGCCGAACACCAAAAATTGACTGAGGAAATATTAGAAAGTACTAAAAAGATTTCTTGTTGCGGCGCATGAAACACCGAACAGACGATTTTTGAATGCCTTTTTTGCGCGGGAGAATGTTATTTCTCTCTTTCTTTATATGCACATTAAACATCCAAACACAACTCGCAAAGGCGAGCACGAAAGACAAGGTTTCAGATGATTGACTTATTTCGCGAGATTTTCGCTTGTTCGTTGGTGGTAAGATCTCGATGGTCAGTGAACCGTGAAAGTGAAAAATAATTCGGTGTCAGGTTTAAGCAATTTGAGCTCGTGAGGAATTTCAAGCAACATCGAGCCAATTGTGTTCACAGATGCTCACGAGATCTCTTTGCGATATACAAGCATTTCCTCATGGACACGCTCCTTAATGATGTGCACATTTTCTCGCCTTTTTGGCGCTAAAGCATTGATCTACAAGAAAGAAAACTCCGAGTGTTTCCCGCAAAAGTCACCAAGATGCAAAAAGCGCACCAGAGCAGGAAAGAGGGACAATTTATACAATTTCAAGATTATGGATTTGGGATTTCATCCAATGAAGATTATTAAGCCAAAACAACAACGTTTAATGACTGTAAAGAATAGGTTTTAGGTGGATATAAATATTGAAAAGATAACTTTGGGGAATCCAGTTAGGAACATTGTATTTTTGGAAATCAGAGCGCATAGAATACTTATTTTCAGACTAATTATATTTTAGTTTATTGCGCATTACAATCAATTTTAGACTCTTATTCATAATAATCCACAGAGAAAAAAAAGAAACGTTAATCTATTGCGAAATATTCTTATCATTCCACTATGTTTTAATAGCTTTTACCGTCATTTTATAAGATGATTTGTGATTTTTGTGTTTTCGCTAAAAATTCCTCCATTTGCCAAAGAGACACGACTTGATCAGATAAAACTCATTTCAGTGCTATTAGTCAGTATCTTGAAATCTGTGCGTCTCTCAATTCCAAACCTTCGAATCTGAACGGCAATTAAAGGGCCTGCGTTAATCACTGAAATTTACTTCTTCTTCCATTCCAGAAATGTCTGAAATGCCATCAAATTGAGCCCACGACGGGAGAGAGAAATGCGTTTGGGCCTCTAATTAATGTCGATGCAAGGAATTTAATGTGTAGAAAGGCAACAAAATTGACTCTTCGAGAACATGTTGAATTTACACGTGTTGACACGTGTTTGGAATGATGGAAAAGATCTTTTTTTCCCTGTTGATGTCTTCAGTGTTGGATGGGCGAGTGAAAGTATGATATGAGATGGAATTGAGTGAATTAAAGTCAATAATTTGGTGAGTATATCGCGAATTAACCAAAAGACTCGATATCGAGAGTTTGGAAACGAGTTTAACAATCTCTTAAGCAGCACGAGGTTAAAGTTTTTAATGAAATCTCTTTTTTCCACTAATATGACATTGAAGTTTCTGGTTTTTCTTTTTAGCTTTTCTGTATTATATCCAAAAGTGTGATGATATCTTGCGGTGTAATCGCGTTTTTTTTTTTCATTGCACAACGAGCGTCGTTCTATTTTGAATTTTCACCACACATACTTTTCAAACATACAATAAACACCCCCTTTTTCATGTAACATTTTCTGGAATTCCTGCAAGCAATTGACCTGCACGTGAAGTGTTTTTTTTTTCTTCTAAATTTCTTCTTCTATTTTTCTGCCTTGTATCTGTGTGCCGAGAGAATTGGTGAGACCACAAGAGTCTCCTAACTCGTGACTTTTAGAAAGTATTTAAATTCACATACCTCCGTTATTGCTGATGGTGTTTTATATACACGAAAAATCTCAGACCAGAGAGACTCCGAGGAAGGCGATATAAGTATCCAAAGTGAATATATATGATCCAATTGAATGCTATTCGCCGATTCTAGTTTGCACCTCTTTTTTCCCTCCTCATATGTACATTATGTGTGCTGCCCTGTGTGTATTTGTCTTGATGTGGCTCTCGAATGTTAAACAAGAACCGCGAGCTTCAAAACTGTATTCACTCTGTTTCACTTATTTAGCCATTTGATGGAATTTCTCATGCACCATCGCACCATGGAGAAGAATCGAAGATGAAATACACTCGCGAACGCCAAACACACTCTCTCTCTCTCTCTCTTTCTCCCTCTATAAAAATTTCCACGAAGGACAAAGGGACTTTCCACAGCACGATGTCTCGTCACAATTCTCCTGCACTCTTCTGCGGAAAAGTGTGTTGGGAAAAGTCAATCGCGGCACGGCTGCGATAGCATCGCAACAGGTGTTCACGGTCGGAAGTGAAGTGAGAGACTGAACTGCTCGGCGGCGCTCGTGGTGGGTCTTGAGCGGCGCGGCTAAGTGTGGAGGCCACAAGAGGAAGGGATCCCACCCAGAGATGTGTGTATTGGGGCCTCTGGGACTCTGCACACCTCACCGAATTCTATCCGTAATGTCTTTAAAGTTTTCACGCCACGGTCACGGCGAGGTGGTTTCATGAAAATTTTCGACCATCAGAGGAAATCACATGAGGATCCACACGTCGTTTAATTTCAGAACAATACCGTTAAAGTGCAAAATTTCTTCGATTTAATTCAAATTTTGTAGCGCCACGAGATAAATCTGCCTTGATTTTTGGCTGAAAAACAGTCGAGGGCGTGTATAAGAGGACACGCAAATAATTTCATCTAATTACAAATCTCAGACTCCCTAAACTTAGGCATCGAAAGGATCAAAATGCCAGCGGACTGAACTCCCCAAGATAACCTTTTAATGTGAGAAGTAAAAAGACAATTTGTTGTATTTCTGGAAGTGTGCAAAGGTGCTGATTTATGTATTTATAATATTATTTAAAGCAGAAAAAAAACAGATTTATTTGCGCTGGGTCGCTTTGCCAGAAATGTCTTGCAAAGTATGCGTTTAGGTTCACTTCCCGAAACCGCAGGTTTGTGCACATCTGTTCACGCAGATGGGATAGCAATTCTGACTAGGCAAGCCTGGAAAGCCTGGAATGCCTGGAAATCCAGCAGCCTCCTCCGGAGCAGGCTCGTCCTGTGCCTGAACTTGCATGGTGAGGAAGGCGACGAAGGCGAGAAGAAGGATTCCTACGATGATCTTCATGTTGAGAAATTACAGCTTTAACTGATAAATTCACCTACAAAATTCTCGTCTTTTATACTCAACTTTTCCAGATTCTCAGACGAGATTATCAGTAAATTTCACTCTTGGCTGCACTTTGGAAAAATATTGATAACGAATTTAAGGTTTGCATGCAAATTTTCCGCCACGATTTGGTTAATGTCTTATCAATGCAGAATTTTACATGGTTTTTGAGGAAAACACGGGCATTTTTTTCGCTTTTAAATGCAAATGAACTTTGCGGAATATGTTGTATTTCAAGTCTTAATAATGAATAATTTCACCAATTTATGTACTTAGTAAAATTCTATTTTGGCCAAGATTTTGGCTAATTTTTGGCTTTTGCAAAATGAAGAAACTCTTCTAAACATCTACAGTTTGTTCAACTGTAACAAAGAAAAATTATTTTGTAATCACTTTGACTATTTTATACAGAGTTCTTGGTTTTTCTATAAGTTTAATCTTTCTTGCATTATTTCAAAGAAAAATGTCTCTAAAATCAAATAAATTTCTGCATCAGTTCTGTTTACCAATGTGCTTTGTAAGGGCATTAAACTAAGCATAAACCCTTGACTTTCAATATTATTATCTTTGAACAATTTCACATCATCCCAAAAACATCCGTTAATCGATTACTTACTAAATTTATGCGTGACTTTCTGTACACTGTTAAACACGTACAAAAAAAAACAATAATAAGTAGTTTGTGAAACATCCAAGTATTAAATTTGTGTGTTTAAAGTTGAACATCACTGCGAGGCGTGTGCTGTGGATTAAAGGTATTTTAAAGCGTTGAAAATGACCCTGCGGATCCAGGAAAATCAATGGAGAAGAGGAATTTTCCACCCTTTTGCGTGGCTGACACTGAAGAATACCAACATTAGAGAGCGAATAGAATTAGTTCGCATGGAAAATTCCCCTTGCAGAGGTCGATAAGAGAAACTATCGCCACACAAAGGCGATTTTTCTGCTGAATAAAAGTAAAAGAGAAGCTTCAACTGTGGCTAAATATAATCCGAGACAACGGGGAAGACTCTCGTGATAATTGTAATACTTCGCGGAGAAAATTGGTGGCCGGAGGAAAAATGAGATGTATAATTTAATGTGTAATGACAAGCTTCGTCCCTTGTCATTGAGACAAAGTGGAAGATGGTAAATTGAGTGGTTCTTCTCTTTTTGCAAGTGGATTTTTCTGTCATCTTCCTGTGTTGAAAGTCATTGTTTGTATTGCTCAAGTGCAGAAGTGCTGATAAATTTATTAAGTCATTTATACATATACAATGCAGGAAAACATATTAGTTTGTGTATATTCTAACTGATCCGTGGTCGATTCGTGGATATTTGACCAAATCAATTAGAATTCACTTTCCAAGCGCCAAGGGACAGAGTAAACACGAAAGGAAGCAAACTCCTGGAATGCCTGGGAGTCCAGCCGGATCGGCTTCTGTCTCATTCTGTGCCTGAACTTGACCTGCCAAAAAAGCGACGAAGGTGAGAAGAAGGATTCCAACGATGATCTTCATGTTGAGAAATTACAGCTTTAACTGATAAATTCACCTGCAAAATTCTCGTCTTTTATACTCAACTTTTCCAGATTCTCAGACGAAATTATCAGCAAATTTCATTCTTGGCTGCACTTTGGGAAAATATTGATAACGAATTTGAGGTTCGCGTGTAAATTTTCCGCAACGATTTGCTTAATGTCTTATCAATGCAGAATTTTACATGGTTTTGGGAAATATTGAAGTTTCACTTTTCCTTTTTAAGGCAAACGAACTCTGCGGATTATGTGGTGATTCAAGGTCAAAAAAGATTTCTGATATTATTTCTTTACATTCTTGTATTTGAGTAACTCAAATTTGTCTTTTCTCCTTTTTCAACAGCCTTTTATATGGAAATTATTGAGATGTTTAACTATTGATTACCAAATTAAGTCAGCTTCAAATTATTCAGTGTGCAAATTGTGAAACAATTCATACTCTTTCTCTCTCTCTCTCTCTCTCTCTCTCTCTTCTCTTTGAAGGCGAATAAACATTTATAAAAGTATTCTTTCAACAAATTTCATTATTTAGTAAAATTATCTCATCATAATCACCGCTTTTGGATTTCCTCCGCAGTGATATTGACTAGAAAAAAATCATTGATGTTAAGTTCGGAAATGACTAAAAGCGCGAGTGGAAATCATTTTTACGGGAAAAGTCTAATCATAAATAGGTTTAATTCCTGTACTTACACAAATCCTCTTTACTCTGATATCAAAAGTTATTCAGTTTCCATCATCAATCATCAATTTCTTATTAATATCATTAATTACTCGCCAGTCAGAACACTGAAAGCACAGTTTTCTAAGAAGAAGACTCCTAAAGAAAATTCTTCATATACCTCAAATCAAAAGAAACGTTTTATGCTGATGTGCAAAGGTGCGTATTTATTTTACTTCATAGATTATACATTTGTAGATAAAGTGATTCAAGTGGAAGACATCCAGACAAAGGCCGTAAAGTTCCAATTCTGTTGTTGATTAGCCGGGAATTCCTGGGAGTCCTTGACTCGCGAGACAAAAGAAGCATGATAAACAACCCTCTAATCCAGCCGGATCGACTTCTGTCTCATTCTGGGCCTGAACTTGAACTGTCAAAAAAGCGACGAAGGCGAGAAGAAGGATTCCCACGATGATCTTCATGTTGAGAAATTACAGCCTTAACTGATAAATTCACCTGCAAAATTCTCGTCTTTTATACTCAACTTTTCCAGATTCTCAGACGAGATTATCAGCAAATTTCACTCTTGGCTGCACTTTGGGAAAATATTGATAACAAATTTGAGGTTTGCATGCAAATTTTCCGCCTCAATTTATTTAATGTCTTATCAATGCAGAATTTTACATGGTTTTTTAGGAAAACATGAGTTTCGGGGAAAATGAACTTTGTGGAATATGTGAAATTTGACCTTCAGCATATTCATTACTTTTAACTTCTTTACTGCTTCATTTATGATCAACAAATCAATTAAAAATTTCTACGAGTTCCTCGTGTTAAATTATTGCTAAATACAACATTTGCTATTCGCTTGTGTGCAACGTGCGTAATAAAAGCCACATTCATATCTCATGTCAACTCAATGATGTCTAGAATTGATAGAAAGTTCATAAGCTGATTAAATAACAAATTTGTTCTCAAAATCCAAATTCTCAGCAAAAAACTACGGCACAATAACGGTCTTGGGTGCTCCAAAAAGTGCGCCAATGCGTGGTTTCTCGCGTTTTCCGTGCAGCTGCGCTGCGATCGCCAAGGTGCTCTTGGCGACTCACATCTCCATGACAGGTTCAGTGTCTCCAAAGGGAATTTTCTCGCCCGGAAAGCGGTGGAAAAACATCAAAATAGATGCAAAGAGGCGGAAATTCTCATCAAATACAGTGATAAATCGCAAGAAGGCAACTTCCTGTCGGCAATGGTGGTGTTTCCATGACAGCGCGTGTGCGGGAAAGTGCAGAAAATCGAGGAAAAATAGCACTCAGGAGATGTCAATCGAAAGACTTGGTTGATGAGACGGAATGTTTTGCGACATTCCTCAAACTCTCCTGGCCATTTCACCTCCAATCCAGCCTGCATCGTAGAATACTGATAAGTATATTTGCTAACTTACGACTGGTGTGGTGTAGATAGCTGGATGTTTACCTACTCACGAGCACCGCTGATAAAAGTGTCTCAAGAACAAACATCGCGCGAGAGGAGTGAGGAAAAAATTCGACGCGTCTCCATTACTCGAACCTTTTCTCGGAGTTTCTCCCTTGATTTAGTATTCAAATTTTTCGTGACTTTCCTGCCAGATTTGCCACTCTCGCAGCGCCGGGCGACGTGTCGCGTGCGGGTGGGGAAAAGGGGACAATTCGCTGCTCTATTGTCGATGGGATTTGGAGCGAGGAAGACCTTGAATCCCCATCAATCTGATGAGATTCTTGAGAGCTGAAGAGACTTCCGATCGAGTTCCACCCACAAAATGCCCAGTCATGCGTTGACGAAGCGCACAGGAAGACTCTTGGGCACTGTTATTGAGTGCTTTTGAGAATGCCAAGAGGAAGATTCCCTGTTGACACGACAAATCTTTTAGCAGAGAATTGAATTTAACACTTTGAGTTCTGCAAAAACCGACTTAGATTCTTATAATTGAAAATTTTAATCAAAATCTTTGCATTCTCATCATTCTAATGATAGAATAACGTGCAAAACTGATTAAAATGTCTTTTAATAAATATGTATCGACAGAGAATCTTCTATAAAAGTCTTGTAAAATGATTCATGTGAAACAAAGAGCAATTTTAAGAAATCTTTTACTGCTTGCAATATAACAAATGACGTGTTCTTTTATCTATAAGCAATTGAGAGACGAAAAAACACTTCTGAAATGCATTTCGTAGAGCAACTTGATGCAAAAATTATACATTTTCCAAAACAAAATCAGTATTTTTCACTCTCACTGCCAATTGAATCGTATTTGACTCGCTGATTTGGTTCTTATTGGCTCAATTCTGCATAAAAGCAGTGACAAATTGAGGTGGTTTGACCCAATTTCCAGCAGAATCTCTCTGTCGCATTTTGCGCGCGATAACAATTTAACATGACTATTTTTATGATATTGTGTGCTTGCGCGATAAAAAGCTGGCACAGCGACCAGAAATTCCTCCTCATTCGTCAGTTGACACTGTGAATTGTGGCGGAGTCGCACGTTTTTTCCACTCACTCTCCTGTTATCACAAGACTCGCCCCATTAATAGTCGCCTTCGCCGTGTTGCACGGCGTTTCTGCTCTCTCTCTCTCTCCCTCTCGCCTCAATTGAAAGCTCACCATCAGTGTTTAAACAATTGGAAACTGCGATAAGACCACATCATTCTTCAGTCCTTCTCTTGCATTTTATATTGTTTATATTGAATTTCTGATGACGCCGACATATTTCGGTCTGCACTGCTCGGCTTTCTTTCAACTGGAAAAAAATCATTGAGTTTCTAGTGTTCGTGAGCAATTCAATTTTGTGTGACCCAAAGAACCTTTTTTCTCAACTCTTAACACCGATTGTTTGGCACTTCCTCGGGAGGAGTGTGCATGCATAAGTAATTGGAGGGTGATTTTTTTTTTGTTATCAAGAAAAATAGCACAAACAAACTGTGTGCGAGCAGAAGTTGAAGAGAAAGAGAGAAAGAGAGAGAAGTGAGGAAAAATTTCAATAGTATTTCACGCTACTAACCCAGGTGTTGGTGAATTAAGAGCTCCATCTATTCTGGAGTGTAATGACAAAGAGAGGATGAACTCGAGGTGGTGGTGCAAATTGTAGTGCTAGAGATAGTTGAGAAAGAGGGTGGGGAGAAATTATCTTGCCAAGGGAGTGAACCAAAGAATGAGAAAATCCAGGAGATTGTCTCAGAAAGTGGCGGCTGCCGCGGCGGCAAAGACGAAGACTGCCGCCGCCGTCGCCGCTGCTAGTTTGGTACCAAAGAATGAGCCAAAGGAGGAGCCCCAGAGAGTGACTCAGCACCAGGAGCCAAGGACGGAGAATGGGACGCGCAAGAGGCGCAGCACGAAGAAGTACATCTGCGATGTGTGCGAGAAGAGCTTCCAGGGACTCAACGATCTGCGCAAGCACACGAGAATTCACAACGACGAGCGGCCGTATCCGTGCACGCAGTGCGACAAGAGATTCCGCCAGGCGGGCTGCCTGAAGAACCACGTGGCGTCGCAGCACGGCAGCGATGTGCAGTACATCTGTGACTACTGCAGCAAGGCATTCCCCATCAAGGAGCGCCTCAGGCTGCACCTCAGGATCCACACCGGCGAGAAGCCCTACAAGTGCAAACTCTGTCCTAAGCGGTTTGCGCGCGGCGGTCAAGTGAGTAGAACATCATGACGAAATACTCCACTTCAGTCATAGAATCAATGGCATGAATCTCTAACATTGTCCCTCTTCTGCAGCTCTCTCAGCACATGTTGTCTCACAATGGTGTGAAGAAGCACAGGTGCAATTTCTGTCCCAGCGCCTTTTCCTGCTCGGCCAATTTGAAGTTGCACACGAAAGCGCACAACGACGAGCGTGATTACACGTGTCACAAGTGTGGCAAGGTAACATCAGAAATGCGTAATCACTGACTGCCGCTAAACTACTAATTGACTCTCTCTCTCTGCAGAGTTTCCTGCGTCCGGATGCTCTGAATAAGCACCTGACGTGCTTCCACGGCAACGTGAAGGCCTTCCATTGTCCGATCTGCAAGAAGATGTTCAAGGGTCACTTGCCGCAGCACATGCGAATTCACAAGAACCTGAAGCCGCACGGCTGCGCCGACTGCGGCACGACGTTCACACAGAGGAGTCAGCTGGTGGTGCATCAGCGCATCCACTCGGGCGAGAGGCCGTACCGATGCCAGGTGTGCTGGCAGGCGTTTGCACACTCCAGCGTCCTGAAGTTGCACATCCGGAAGCACACGGGCGAGAAGCCCTTCAAGTGTCCGCTGTGTGTGGAACAGGAGACGGCCTTCTCGCAACTGCCGCACCTCAAGAAGCACATGCAGGCCATCCACAAGCAGGACAAGCCGTACATGTGCGACGCCTGCAGCCAGTTCTTCCGCACCAAGATCGAGCACTTGCAGCACGTGAGCGAGTGCATGAAGCAGGAGGAGGCGGAGACTAACGGAACGGGAGAGGTGTGAGACTCCATCGGCGGTGCTTTGAGGGAGTCAATTTGCCTAATCTTCTCTGCTGCTCTTTCAGAGTGATGCTGAGGGGCCCGTGGAGACGCCGATGGCGCTCAGTCGCATGCGCCTGCTCGTGGCGGTGTTGATCAAGAAGATTTCATCCGAAGAGCGTCTCAAGGTGCTCGGCTTTGAGAAGCGCCTGATTGACAATGTGCTGATAGATTCGCTGAAGTTTGGCAAGAGGCCAGTTTGTGAGGACAACACGAAATCCGAGGCGGAACGGCTCAAGATCAACATTCGTGAGCTTCTCGAGTGGACAGTGCCGTCGCACTTCATGGAGAAGTTCAAGAGTGAGCAGAAGAGCACCGAAGAGTTGCTCGAGGAGTTGGCCAGCTAAAGAGAAATGATGTTTTCAATGGAAAAATTTCTGCCTATAGTTGAGATAAAAGATGCTTTAGAGTGGAAAACTTCAACCAAAAAATGCATGCATTCACATCCTAACTATGAAATTGTGCACAAAAATACTAATTAGACGAATTTTCTGGTGGTGGGTGGAAAAAAAACTAATACCTTTTCCTATTTACACTTCATTATTCTCGATTCTTGTTCAATTTATAGGAATTTATAGGGTAGAATTGCTAGTTTAGAGTTCTCAATTTAATCATTGATTCTAGTCTATTTGCCATTTTTTGCCTTCTGTTTTTAGGTGTACTTGAACAAAAACCAACAAATATTGCCATATTTTACACCAGTGAAATACCCACCAATCAAACTATTGCATACATTTATGTGAATTTGTAAAATTAAATAAATTTCAATTTCATGTTGATTCTGTTGATTCAACCAGTTTTCAATTGATGTTTCCGCGAGGGGCGCTGATGTCGATGAGTGTGTGGAGGATTTTGATGTAAAAGTGTGCGGCGTTTGTTTTGGATTTTCCCTCTGCACTTTTCTGGTGAAAATCCACATTTTTAGCACAAGATCGAGGAATTTTCCGCAAAAAATCACAACCAGAAGTTTATTGTGATACTCCTGTAGTGAGTGAATGTGGGGAAAGAGAGGATTTGCGGAGTATTAAGAGTTTTACTGCGGCATAACCTAAGAATGGCTGGTGTTTTGTTTGAGGACATCTTCAATGTGAAAGACATGGATCCGGAAGGGAAGAAATTCGATCGTGTTAATCGATTGCACTGCGAATCGGAGTCCTTCAAGATGGACCTGATACTGGACATCAACTGCTGGCTGTATCCCATGGAGTTGGGCGACAAATTCCGACTGGTTTTGGCCACGACGCTGTACGAAGACGGTCATCCGGGTGAGTTTTTGGGGGGACGGGGTGGAAAGTGCGTCCGTACGATGGCTTTATTTGGGTGACTCTCTTGCAGGCAGTGGCGAGTACAATCCCCTGGAGACTGAGGGTACGCGAGCGGACAGTTTTGAGTACGTGATGTATGGGAAAATCTACAGGATAGAAGGCGATGAGGCGCACTCAGAGACTTTCAGCCGCTTGTCCGCTTATGTTTCCTTCGGGGGCCTCCTGATGCGCCTGCAGGGCGACGCCAACAATCTGCACGGCTTCGAGGTGGATCAGAACATCTATTTGCTAATGAAGAAGCTGGCATTTTAGACGAGAAGTTTGTATATTTCATAAAATTAAATTTTTCCAGCATTTTCACAACACAACGCAAGATATATTACGAATTCACACATCTCCCAATCATCTCTCGAAAGCTCAACATTGCGATGTAGTGTATCAAAGTATTAAGGTCCATTTGTTTGCATTGACGGAGCACAGAAGCGCGCGGCACCTAAGAGAGTGAGAGAAGAAAAACCGAGAAAAAAGCGTTTATAAACATACTTACGATGGTGTAAACAATGGCTGTTGAATTTCCCAAGCTGTTACACTCACGTTTTTGGTGTGAAACTGTTGATTTTGAAGATGCAAAGTCACATTCTGGGCGGCTGTTTGGCGGGAAATCTCCCGCGGTTTAGCCACCCTTCACGTGTTCAATGGTGCTGTTGAAGAACTTGGCCACATTGGGATCATCCGGATGGTAGACGCCGAAGTAGATGCCCAGACCGATGGCCAGGGCCACGATGAGCGCCACGAAGATGATCAGCAGGAGGATGTTCCACGCACAGCTGCAGCAGCTGCAAAGGAGGAAAAAATGATTTCTTCAGTACAGCCGTCTTCCGGACGAGGAGCGCCTCCGTTAAAGTACCAGCACACGACAGTTCCCGTGAGACATTTGCACATTTTCCACAGTGAAGCGCAAACACGAGGGACACGAGGGAGCGACACAGGACAACAGGTGGGCCAAAGACGACACTTTTCTGGCGAGAGCACTATTGTCCACACCCACAATTAGTGGTGGATTGCGTGAAAAGTGCCAAAGCGACGCTGGAAAAGTCCTCCACCCAGTTTTCTGTCGTCACACTGACGCGCCAGTCGACAGTAAAAGCACCAAATATAGCCGGCGAGAAGAGAGGGACTGTTTGCTAAGGGGTGACGCCGCCGGAAGAGAAAATTGGCGAGAAATTCCTGCGAGAGAAAAGCGTCCGCACTGTCATTTGGCCCAGAGGCGAACTGGAGGCCAGAGTGCACTTGCTGTCTCTCTCGCTCTCGCGCGGAAGGATGCGCGGGCGATCGCGTGAAGTGGATTGGAGGGAAGAGATCAGCTGCAGCACTGGCCAGAGGTGCACAACCGCACGATGTCGGACTCAATGGCCAATTGGAGCGTTGTCCCCAAAAACAAACGAGGCTTTGGGGTCAAAGGCATCAGCAAAAGGAGCCACTTTTCCCCCAAATTACCGAAGTTGACTCATTTTCTTGCGCGCTTAATTGATTTTTTCTTGTTTGACTTTCGTACAGAGGAAAGCGGGGCGAATTTGACAAGAATCAAGAATCATATTCAATGCTAAAGTCTCTTCAAAAATACCCCGCTTTTCCCTAATGAAATTCTACTTGTTGTTCTCTGGAGTTATAAATTCCGGGTTAAATTCTGTGACAATGTCCCTCACTGGATTAAGAAGCCAAAAAATGCACCACAATTGAGTCTCTTATCAGTGTGATTATCTTCAGTCATGCCGTGAAATTTTCCACGAAACAGCACATTTCTTTCTTGATGAATCGCATCTCGGCAAAACGCCTTAAATCGCAGCTTTGTGGGGAGACCAAAATGAGATTGTGTGTCAAGTTCATAGAGTGATTTTCACCTTGACGCTCTTGCGTGTCTCTCACGCGTTGAGCATTTTTAATTCACTTTTTGTCCCATTTATTTAATTATATTTCACAGCGTCATGTGAAACCCTTCAGAGACTCTGGAGTCATCGCAAATAGAGATAAAGCGACGTAATCGATATATTGGCGATAATTCACAGTCAGTTATTATGAATTGCAAACGCCAACTGTATCAATTTGAGGAGATGGAAGTGAGTCAAAGGCTATATTTGATGAGGTTTCGCGTCAGAAATGAACCGGGGGAATAACAGAAGAAGCACACACTTAAAGTTGGATTGTAGGTGCGGAAATTCTTCACTTTATCACACACTTTGCGGCTATTGTGCCATAAATCTTACCAACAGACACATCGAGCAATTCCGCACATTGTATTTACTTGCTAATTGGACTATTTCGGTGGGCACTGCGCGAGAAAAGGAGCCAAGTAAAGAACAAAAAGCTGTGTTTTTGGCCTTTAGCAAGGCTTTCTAAGCTTCAAGGGTCGAAAGCGAACGCTTGACTAATGCCACTTGTGTGATAATTTCTACTCTATTTATATGAATCAACAGGTGATAAAGTTGGACAGAAAACACCGATACATTTTCTGTTTGATTAGGGATATAGATCAGAGTTTTGGACGCCTTATCAGCTCCCAATGTCTGTTCCGTGGACACAGAATACGAACCAGCAGACACATCGAGCAACACCACACATTTCATTAATGTTTTTCAGTCAGAGAAACTATGGACTAATTTCTTTCTACTTCACGGGCGAGTCTTTGTTGATTTTTCTCCGTGAAGCACTCAAGAGCGACTGATGAGAGTGGGAAAAGAGGTGATTTTCACATGCCAAAAGTGAATTTCAAACACAAAGAGGCGGCTTGTCTATTCCAGGGAAGAAGAGTCATAGTGTTTATGCTATCACACAGTGATTTACAGTGTTATCTTTTCACTTATCTGCCTTGCTAATTTCCCAAAATTCCTATTTAATCTACTTATCATCAGTTTTTATAGTATTTTAGTCACTCTTTCGCACCTGTGAAGAAGAGTTGAATGGCGCGCGAAAATGCCTCTCAAGTGAGCGCCAGCGCCTCTGGCAGAATGTAATCGCATCATCGGAAAGGTATTGGGTTTGTCAAATTGTTTGGTGTGATTTGTTTTGCATTTTCTCACTTGAATACCTCAAAAACACCCCCAAACCCAAGCCTAAATCGCCAGTAAACCATGGTGGACAAAGACAGTGCATTGATTCAGAAGAAATTGCAGACGGAATTGGAGCACTTCAAGGCGGCGCAGAAAGGTGAGGTTATGCCTCTGGTCATCCTCGTGATTTTTCTCACTTTTTTCCACTTTTCCGGCTCAGACTTCAACAAACTCGTGCAGCAGCGACAATTACTCGACGGACAGCTGAATGAGAACAAGAATGTGATGGAGGAACTCAATTTGCTGAAGCCTGAGAACAAGGTGAGTTCATCTGTTGTGCGTGGGTGGACATGACTGATTCCGGGCGATGGGATTCTCCCCAGGTCTACAAGCTGTACGGACCAGTGCTGGTACGGCAGGAGTTGGAGGAGTGTCGGCAGAATGTGGGGAAGCGCATAGAGTACATCAACAAGGAGCTGAAGAGGTGTCAAGACAGCCTCACGACCCTTGAGAAGAAGCAAGACAAGCACAGGGAGAATCTCCAGAAGCTCCAGCAGCAGTATCAGGTGGCTATCGCCATGAAGTGAGAGGGTAGGAGGACTCAATAAAGGCGCAAGTGGAAGTCTAGATCCATTATTATTATTTACTGTGAGAAGAGAGGACACAAATAGTCTCCAAGAATAATGCTGGGAATGCTTTAAGCGCGCTTAATTGCCACGGGATTCTGCTTTAGCTGCAGGATGATCGATCGCATCCGCGACACATCGCGGCTCGTCTTGCTGGCCTTAGGATTGAAGTCGCACAGCTTCGCGATGCGCTCCCACTCCGTTCCGGGCTCAATTTCCGTCGACTCGGCCACAAAGTTCTTCTCTGCGTTCCTGCGAAGCAAAGTGGTAAGGAGAGATTCATGGTAATTATCACGTGATTGGCAGACAGTGATTTCTGCGAGAAGCATCTTTGGCGCACAAGAACCAATACTCACTTGGCGGACTCCCTTCAGAAAGCATTCAACAGAGAGCAAAGCGCAATGAATCCCAGGAACGAAACCAAAACCCACCGGCAATCTTCCACTCACCTGTTCGAGGACTTGGTCTTCGTGATGGACTCCTCGTGCTGCTTATACCAGTCCTCGAGCTCCTTCTTCGCCTGCACCTTTAGCTCCTCCTTTTTCTTCTCCTCATCGCGGTCCTTCTCCTCCAGACGCTTCTTCTGATCCTCGCGCCACTTCTTGATCTTCTCTGGCTCCTCCATCGGTGGCTTGGCTGCAAGCACACACAATATCGCCCATTAAAATGTCACAATTCACCCTCAATGCTGACTTTTTGATGGGAGAGGGAAAGATTCAGAGACTCAATTAGCCAGAAAACATAGTTTAAAAAATCTTATTGAAGCGAAAGGGGAGAAATAGGACAGAAAGGAAAAGATAAACTTATATTGATATGTAAATATCTCACCTGAACGATAGCTAATTTCGAAATCGTTAGAATCATCTTCTGAGAAAACAAACAAAAGAAATGTTTCTTCATAAAACATGCACAACGAAAGCCTTAAAAAATAATTGTGACTTCAAAACATCACTTTAGCTGCAAATTTTTCATCACATCAACCCTTGAAAATTATGTGTTATTTCAACAATGTGAGCTTTTTGACCTCAATTTAGTGCTGATTTTGACAAAAAAAAGGGATGACTAAGATGCAGCTAAAGTCACTGTGATTTTTTTTTTGCCTTTGCCAATGTGTGAAGAATGCAAGTTTGAGACGAAGAAGATGAGGTTGTTTTTTGGGCATGTTTGCCAGTTCGTGAACGTGGCAAACATGATTGACAAAGGTGGAAAAATGAGGACAAGCAATCCTTAACACGCAGGGACAAAATTGTGCAATGATTTCATGATGGGATTTTTACAAAAGAGTGTTAATTAAAATTGTCTTGGTTTACCATTGGCGTTAGTCTGCTCGTGAGACTCAATGTTATTGATCATTTCAAAGCTCTCAGATGACTCCAGTGTGCCATTGTCTATACACAGAAAAAAGAAATTAAAAGAGAACAAAAAAACAAGGAGGAAAAATTGCTCCACAGTAAAAGCATGTCAACAATTACGGGATTCTCTTTATCAATCTCAATTGGGTTGAAAAGACCGTCCGGATGTTGGAATATCTTTGGCAAATGAGAGAGAAAGAGAGGTCAACACAAAGTCTGTGTCCAGACAGATTCTTCAGGCAAACCACTGTAGGAGTTGCTGGGAAATCGTGTGGGGCATCTCGGGGAGGCTCCAGAGCCCCCAAATTGTCTGTGGCATTGTTCTGTGGAGGGATTTTGATTGGCATTCGTAGGCAAAACGCCCATTTTTTACCTTCCGTCTTGACTTTCTCTGGCTGAGCGGCCGCTGTTGGTGGGAGTTCGTCCTCCAAGCCTGCCAAGGCGCTCTGCTCCCTGGCGAGGAACTCAGCGGCCGGATCCACTTCGGGTTGATCGAAATTATCACCAAAATCCATGATTTTTCACGCTGTGAAACTCCGGAGGAAAATTCTGCGTCACCGTGTCACGGATTAGTGTTGTCAGATGCAAATGGCAGTGCTAGAAAATTGCGCGCCTCTATTTTGCTGTCACTTCAATTACAAGGGAGCATTCATCACAGGAAATCAAGATATTCTCCTCTCCTGGAGTGTCCTCGTCTTCCGGGAAGATATAAATGCCTCCACAGCGACAGGTCTTGATCAGCAAATCTGTGTCTTGGTCTCGGATGAATTCCTTTCTGTGCAGAGTGGCGAAAATGAGGGGTTTTTCGCAGAATTCTTGTTGCATCAATTCAGCATCGTAGATTTTCCTGGATTCTGGATCTCTCAGAACTTTGTAGGCCGTGTCAATGCGGTGAAACTTGTCGTCATCTAATTCTTTTGATGATCTTTCCGTCTGCTTGTCTGGATGATGTTTCAAAATCAGTGATTGATAAGATTTTTTCAACTCCTCTACAGTGGCATCTTTGGAACACTGCAGAATATCGTAGTAATTCATCTTACAACTCTCTTCTGAAAGAAAATACCAATGAAAATCGTTGCAAATGGGTGAAAAGCACAGAAATACCTCTTCCTTCGAGCACATGTTTACACTGTCAGTTGCCATGCTGTGAGTTTTCTAGCAGTTGTCAAAGTTGTCAGTGACGAAGCGAATTTTCAGAGCGATCTATTTTTGGGGAAATCTGGAAAATTACAGACTTTCCTTGGGAGAAAAGTGCATCAGCACAGTTAGTGAAAAGCATTTAAGGATATTACACTGAAATTACCATGGCAGAAGTGGACGTTGTGCTGCCAGACAAGGTTAGTTTCCACCCTTGATAGAGACTTTCTGGGGAGCTTCCGAAAAACAAAGACTTATTGACTTTTAGGATGAGACTCTGGAGTTGAAGAGCAGTAAGGATGGTGGTCATGGTGGTCTTGAGGATCTGGACACTGAAGATTTGTACACAAAGTACAAGAAGTTGGAGAAAATGCTGGAGTTTTTGGAAGTGCAGGAGGAATACATCAAGGATGAGCAGAGGAATCTCAAGAAGGAGTATCTTCATGCCCAGGAGGAGGTGAAGCGCATCCAGTCGGTGCCTCTGGTTATTGGGCAGTTCCTCGAGGCGGTTGATCAGAATACTGGCATTGTGGGCAGCACAACGGGCTCCAATTACTACGTGCGCATCCTCTCGACCATCGACCGGGAACTGCTGAAGCCTTCGGCGAGCGTGGCGCTGCATAAGCACAGCAATGCTCTGGTGGACGTTCTGCCGCCCGAGGCGGATAGCTCGATCTCCATGCTGCAGCCAGACGAGAAGCCGGACGTTAGTTACTCGGACATCGGAGGCATGGACATGCAGAAGCAGGAGATCCGGGAGGCTGTGGAGCTTCCCCTGACACACTTTGAGCTGTACAAGCAGATCGGCATTGATCCGCCGCGCGGTGTGCTGCTGTACGGTCCGCCCGGGTGCGGCAAGACGATGCTGGCCAAGGCTGTGGCTCATCACACCACTGCCGCCTTCATCCGCGTCGTGGGCTCGGAGTTTGTGCAGAAGTACTTGGGCGAGGGCCCGAGAATGGTGCGCGACGTCTTCCGCCTGGCCAAGGAGAACTCCCCGGCGATCATCTTCATAGATGAGATCGATGCCATCGCCACGAAGCGTTTCGACGCCCAAACCGGAGCCGATCGCGAGGTGCAGAGAATCCTGCTGGAGTTGCTCAATCAGATGGACGGCTTCGATCAGACGACCAACGTGAAGGTCATCATGGCAACCAATCGTGCCGACACGCTCGATCCTGCGCTGCTGCGTCCTGGCCGTCTGGACAGGAAGATCGAATTCCCACTGCCGGATCGTCGGCAGAAGCGCCTCATCTTCTCCACCATCACCGCCAAGATGAATCTGTCTGAGGATGTGGACTTGGAGGACTACGTGGCGCGTCCGGACAAGATCTCAGGTGCTGACATCAATGCCATCTGCCAGGAGGCAGGCATGCACGCCGTCCGGGAGAACAGATACATCGTCCTGGCGAAGGACTTCGAGAAGGGCTACAAAAACAACATCAAGAAGGACGAGCAGGAGCATGATTTCTATAAGTAACTCTTTTTTGCACAATTCAATAAAAAAAACTACTATTTCTTGACATGAGGCAGATCATAAACACCCCGGACGCATTCGATCTTCACGCCAGGCACGTCCTGGAGTCGCCCAACACGACACAGCACGATGTTGTGCTCCTGCAGATTGTGACCGATGCCTGGCACGTAGGCCACCAGCTCCTTGCCCGTGGAGAGGCGTACCAGGACGCATTTTCTGTTGGCGGAGTTGGGCTTCTTCGGCTTCTTGATGAGGGTCTTGAGGATCACACCCTTGGCAAAGGGTTTTCCGTCCAGTGGTTGGCGCGCTGGTCTCACCTTCTTGTGGGGTCCCAACCTGTGCAATCGATAGAGCGAAGATGACATCTCCCGGACGGTGTTCAGCGAGGCGGAGGCTGGAAAATCCCAACATAACCTCATTTATGGTCATTAATGCAGAGAATCTGTCTGTACTGGCACTTGTACTCACAGATATTACTTATCAGGGAGGTTGCATTGGAAATGAGGCGCCCCAAGTTCATTTTCCGGCGTTTTCTGGGAGACTTGCTAAAATCACTGAAATCTCCTCTCAGCTGGTGATCTTTTGCAAACACACCAGAGGTCGCCGTCAGCGTGGAAGAGGTGCCGAAAAAGCCTCTAACTCGCGCCGGCGCCAACGGACCGTCGCGCTTGAGTTTTCTCTCGCTCTCTGTGGAAATCTCGCAGTTTTGAGTTGGCTGCTGCCGGAGCAATTTAGTTTGTAGCGTGTTTTTTCCAGCCCAGTCGCGAAACTAAGAGTATGTGTTTTCATCCTCACTGTAATCTCTCTCACTGCACACAGTCAATTACCCGTGCAAGATAGTGCGTCGCGCGTCCGGGAATGTGCAAAATGTCGGAAGGAAAAGTGTGTGTGTGTCTCTCTCTCTCTCCCTGCCCATCCTTTCCCGATGGGGCGCCTTGCCGGGAAAATGGACGTGCCCAGACACCTCACATTGCAGAGTCACTCGGCAAATATTTGCTGTGCTTAGTCAGCGCCTGAAGATCTCTGTGCGTGCCACTTTCCGGGAGGGGGGAAAGGAATGAGGGCAGTTGTGTGGTCAGGAAGTTGGGGGCCCCCGACTTTGAGGAGCGTTGAGTGTGGCACAAAATAGCTGGCGCACAAATCACAATTTATAAATAAAATGTTTCATAACGCCTTCCTCTGCGCCTCACGAGAAAATTCTGCTGAATCGGTGCAAAAAGACACATGAAGAGACAGAATGGATAGAAGCTCTCCAGGTCAGGAGAGTGAGAGAGATATCGAGTCCTTGTGAGACTGAGAGGAATCTTGGGAGCAGCTTCCTGTCGTCGGAAGGCAATGAGATGAGGCAATTGAGCAGAAAAATGTGATTGAATATTTTCTGGGAGTGTGTGTTTGTGGAATGTTTATTGGAAGAGGCGAAAAAAGAGCTGTGATGGCAGCAGAAGAAATTCTTTTTTAGATCACATCCAACGATTAGAACGCTATATTTATCCCCTCCGACACGCCGCGCGAGAAGCACCGTTGGAATGGCACGAGAGAATGAGAGAGAGAAATCTCCAAGAACATGATCTCAAGGCGAATCATCTGGAATGTCTAGTCGTGGCGCGATCCGAAAAGAAGTCATGCAACCTGGACTGGAGCTGCACTGGACTGAAGAAAGTGCCGCCAATCTGAGGGATATTGAGCAATGTGCGTTCCCAAAGCCATGATCGCCTGAGATGATCTTTGGCGATCATGCTGAACATTTAGCAAGTGTTGGACATCTATTTATAAGCCATAGGCCGTGGTGAGGAGAAAAAGTGCCAACATACGCTTGACAGAGTGTCCCACACGACAAGGAGTTAATCATCTATGAGGCACGAGTGTTTTGTGACCTCATGACGCTGCCCACTAATTAAATTCGGGCAGAGGAAGTGTGCAATTAGTTGTGCAATAGCTTCTGGTGCGCGCAAACACACCTCCTGATTGAGTCTGATGGGATTTGGCGCATCTGTGGATGCTTCTCTGCCCACATTTCCGAATTGTTATCGCCCAGAGAGGGAGAGAGAGAGAGACATTCGGATCTAGTGCACAAATCTATTTTCAGCGTCTCGCACGCACACGGGCAACGGTCAGCATCGCGGGCCAGCCAGCGTGAGGCGAGCAGGGAGAGTGGTTGTGGGAAAAGGGCGCGCGAGTGCATGGGCAGAGGGATGCTCACCCACGCTTCCAATCACGCCAGATGTTCACACATTAAGCGATTGGGAAATGCCAGGGGGAATGAACAATTCTGAGTGTTTTTGGGTCACACGCACACACGCAAATACACACATAAACGCTTCTCATCAATTTGTCGCTTAACACTTTCCTCCAGGGTCTCTCGAAGTCGACAGAACAGCTCAGGATTCTCAAGTTCAGCGATAATCGCTGAGACATTGACAGTGAATGCCTCGTATAAGATGGTCATTGGGCGCGTGATAAGCGGCATTCTTGCACTATCGGAAGGTATTTGACCGCAATTGGTGACCTTTAGTTAAATTAGGGATTCTCATATGATTATACGGGCTCTTAACGAGCATGAGACTATTTGGCAAGTATTTCAGCTGAGTGGCATTAATTTTATGGTAAATTCAAGGTTTCCGCTGCAGAATGAACCAGTTAATTGCTCGTATTAAATATCTTGAATTTCTCAGAATGTGTCGCACAATCAATTTGTCTGCTAAATGAGCACTTTGAGGGAAAATGAACTACTTTTTTTTGTAATAGTTTCGGGCGGGGCATAAAAGTGGGTGGAGCTTGTGAGGAATTTGAGGGCACATAATTTGAATTGAACGCATTTTTCCATCAGAAAAATGAAATTCTTGGAGTACTTTCGGGTAATTTCACTTTCATTCTCACAATCTTGTTTCCTACGTCTTATCAAATTATTCTTTCGCTCACTGTGAAAACACTTAATGAATCGTTTCTTAGGCATTGCAGAGTTCCCATATGTTGGAGACTAAAATTTACGGTCGTCTTAATAGATTTCAAATGTTTCTCTCTCACTTTCTTCGTGATATCAATCTGAGATTTTTATAAGTTCCGATGGCTTTCTACCGTTGATGATAATTGGTTCAGAAAGAGATTAACTGTGGAGATTATCATAAAATCAGTAAGATTGACGGCATATCTATGAAATTTTTCTCTTTTTTCATCTGAAAAAAAATTGGTGACAAAAATGCATTTGAAGATGTTTCAAGCCCACGTTTGATAGTTGGTTTTGGGAGAATTTCACATTCCCTTAATCCAATAACGAGATGAATGTGTGAAGAGTTAGCGACTGAGGAGAATTAGTTCCCTTCCCACGTCTTGCTTATTATTAAATTTATGACAGTGAGTCAGTTTGAACTCTGTGAGATTGGGAGAAATGTGAAGAGCAACAAATTGTTGTATCATCATATCATGAGGTTCTGCACAATGGCTCGCGATGCGTGGATGAGAGAGCGGGCTGGCGATCGTAAATTGTATTGATGAGCTTCGAGAGAGACCCTCTGAAAGTGGTGCGTGCTGTTGGGATATGTTGCTCAGTTGTGCTCCTGTCTTGCAGCCACTTGAATCGACGCCGAGGACGAGGGTGAGCCGAGAAGGATGGAGAACGGAGTGTACTACGGGGATGGCTATAGCGGCGACGGCGGCTACATGGAGCAGGAGGAGGAGTGGGAGCGCGAGGGACTGCTCGATCCGGCATGGGAAAAACAACAGAAGAAGGTATATGAGTCAATTTAATCGGGAGATCTCGCAATGTAGACTGTTGAGATGAGGGGGTTCAAATAAGTGTATTTTTAGCACTCATCAGCTGTATATTTTCATCTTTTCACTCTCGCCACTGCCCACGCAAGTGATCGCGCGCGCGCGCGCGCCTTTCTGCAAGGAAACATTGAAAATCTCACGGCCTAAGAATAACACCAATCGCGCTGAATGATGATTGTAACGATCTCTTCGACCATTGCCGCGCGCGATGACGATCGGGGAAACGTGCGCGCGGGTTTTTCATTCAATTGATTTCTCCCATTCCGCAGGATGGAGGAAAGCGCCGGTGGAGGAGTCTTTCTTGGGCGCAGAATGGAGAGGAAGCGATGGGAAGGAATTGAATTGCCGAGCGGGGGGAGGAGAATGGGCGGGTGAGGTGTCGAAATGTCTTGTGGGTTTTTTGTGAGTGTGAGAGAGCACGTTTGAAGAAAATATTCTCAAACATCCACAACATTTTCTTCAACTGGCAAGATCGTGGCGCGTACATGAGAGATCTCTGATGCGGGATTTCTGTGTGTTTCACACGATGTGGAGCAGGCATCAAGTTTCATGCGTCCAAAAATGGCTCGAAGCATGTGTATTAGTAAATAAGCGGACTCTTGAACACTTGATTTTTCAATATTTTATCGAAACTTTCAGCCACTCTTTTTTCTCTCCTCTTTCTTTTCATCCTCCTCACTTTACATACACCCGTTAATTTTCCTCTAATCTCCGGTGACCATCGCGAAGAAGAGCACGCGCGACATGAGGATAAAAGGCGTCAAGATGCGACAGTTTCATGTGATAAAGAAGATATTATTGTATGTTTCGGGGGGGAAAAAATGTGGATTAGAGAAGAGACCAGAAGAATTTCTCTTTGCAGTTGCTATAAGAAAATTTTTGCTGCAAAAGAAAGAAATCTATGAATAGGTTTTTTGGTGAGAAATATGGGAAAGAGATCCGTGATGTCTCTCTTAATCACATTGGAGGCTCTTGTGTTGGAGAAAAGATGAAAATGTACAGTTTGAATGTCATCTCATGCTGAATAGAGGCGCTTAGATATGATAATATTTGCTTTTATGGGAGGTGAATTGTAGAGAAGTTTTCAGATAGAGTGAGAGAAAGATTGTGAGCGAATGAAAAATGCTACATTCTTCAGCATTAACTTGTTTCACAACACCCAACATAAATTGAGATCACGAGCGCATTTTCCAAAGAGCCATTCCAAACCAAAGAAAAAGAGAAAAATTCCCTTCTCTTGTGTGCTGGACATTGAAGGGAAGATTGAATTCCATCGGCTATTTTCAAAATGATGTGAATGAACTTGACAAGTTGGAAATGAGAAGAATTTTCGTGCCGATAAAAAGGTCATTTTCATATAAATTTGCACCACACGCGCGCTTTCACTCGCGAGAATATTTGCAATATTGTAGCAAGATATCTAACTTAAGAGCGGCGCGCACTTGTGGACCATGAAAATGTCACAGAATGTGTTTTTACTCCCTTGTCGTCCGCGCGCTATTTATATGTGTTTTTCACCTTCGAGGGACTTTTTTTTTGTTGCTCTCACCGCGTGGAGAAAATATATTATGACACATTTTCCAACAATTCCTCCTCACTCATCGGTCAAAACTGTAAACATACCTTTTTTTCTTGCCATGAGTTTAATTATGTCAGGAACAAATACATTTTTAGGCGAAATGGTTCATTAATGTCTGTTTTATGAGTTCATTTTCTTTCTCCTGCCGAAAAACTACGAGGTGGGAAAATGACTAATGATTTTTCATAGAATAATGGCTATTTTATTATGTATTTGATCGACAGGAAAGTCATGCGTAAAGATTCAGTGCAATGAGTAATTTCATTCATGAGGCGAGGCTATTTTGGACAGTAGTTTAAAGTTGAACGGGGCGGGGTTTCCGAAGGGGCGGGGCCTCAACATCCTATCTTTGGGCAAGATTAAACATTGACGTAAGCAAGCAAATGGTGTAAAATCAATCCAGAATACGCTTTAGAGAATGCAGAATGTTCATTCAATAATTGAAATTATTCATAATTTTTATAGAAGGATATTTTCTGTCATCCCCAATTTGATAAGCTAAATGAGGCAAATATTGAAGAAAAAAAGTGAAAATCCTGAACAATAAAACGCTCAATAAGCATTACATTTCGTGCGCTATTGATTTCATGGCGCAAATCCCTCTTATCATAAGCACACGTGGAGAGAGATAAATGCGAGAGGAATGTGTGTGCCAACAATATTAATGTGCTAAAGAGGCACTATATTTGGTGAGGGAAATAATAAAGATATTGTTTACACTTCGCACACCTTGGCTGAAGTCGAGGGGGAAAGGGAATGATGATGGTCACTGGTGCAATTTTCACGGTCATGTGCTGTTTGTATGAATGAATTGTTGATTTTATGGGCGCGATGCGAAGAAGAAGAGGTAGAAAAAAAATGTTAAATTGAACAGTTTCTTAACTGTTGATTTTTTTCCTTCTTCTCACATTGCTGATGAATTAATGAGTTGTTTCTCTTTCTGCGAAAAATTACAACTCTCGTGTGCACTTCTCCGCAGACATTCACGGCGTGGTGCAACAGCCACTTGCGGAAAGCGGGAACTGCCATTGAGAATATTGAAGATGATTTCCGCAATGGACTCAAACTCATGCTGCTCCTCGAGGTGATTTCGGGTGAGACGCTGCCGAAGCCCGACAGAGGAAAAATGCGCTTCCACAAGGTGAGTTGACATGCGCGATTGTGGTGAAATATGAGTTTTCCAGTCATTATCTCATGGGTTTTATTGAATGAAATTACCTAATGTTTGTTAGGAATTGTCATTGGGATGAGGTCATGAGGAGAGTTATTTTTAATCTCTCTCTGATGGTTTTCTTACAGATTGCCAATGTGAACAAGGCGTTGGACTTTATCGCCTCCAAGGGTGTGAAGCTGGTGTCAATTGGCGCGGAGGAGATTGTCGATGGGAATCTCAAGATGACACTCGGCATGATCTGGACGATCATTCTGCGCTTCGCCATTCAGGACATCTCTGTGGAGGAGATGACGGCCAAGGAGGGTCTCTTGCTGTGGTGTCAGCGCAAGACGGCGCCGTACAAGAATGTCAATGTGCAGAACTTCCATCTCTCCTTCAAGGTGCGTCTGACTGGGAAGTTTGGCATTTTGGGGGTGAAGATGTAATCTTTCTCTGCGTGCTTTTTTTCTGACAGGATGGCTTGGCGTTCTGCGCTCTGATCCATCGCCATAGACCAGACTTGATTGACTACAGCAAATTGTCCAAGGACAATCCATTGGAGAATCTCAATACGGCCTTTGATGTGGCTGAGAAGTATCTCGACATCCCGAGAATGTTGGATCCGGACGGTGAGTGTTTTTTTTTTCTTCCTATTGCCAAATACAATCTAGAGAGATGAAGATGAGGCGCAAGTTGTCTGTTCAGGGTGAGGTTGTAACATGATCTTTCAACCGATAGATTTGATCAATACGCCTAAGCCGGATGAGAGGGCTATCATGACATACGTGTCGTGCTATTATCATGCGTTCCAGGGCGCCCAGCAGGTTGGATTTAATCACTATCCTCCATACAATTTCATCCACCAACCCAACAGACAAGTGACTAAATATTGTTTTGACTTGACGTCGTGTTTTGCCATATCTTCCAAAAAGTGTTTGCCAAATCTGATTGGATTTTAATATCTATCCAATATTTATAATCCATTTCTTCATTACTGAAATTCTCAGATTTGTAGCGAAAAAGAGCCCTGTGTTCATGGCTGTTCTTGTTTGTATTGTTAATACCTTTTGCTGATGAGCCGTAAAACTTGCTTAAGTGGATGATGTTTTGGAGAGTGAGAGGGAGAGAGAGACTTCTGGGCCTTAATGAGAAGAGGCTGATTGAGCCTGATGGCTGGAAAGTTGCGCACTGTAATAATTCCTGCTCTTTTACTCCCCACTCCCTAATTTCAATCGTTTGCTAACCAACTTGAAAGTATAGCCAATTGATCTGATGACTGCTAAATCCGGAGAGTTTGTTAAAATGGATTTACAACTCTTGGCTTGCAGAAAAAGAGTAAAAGAAAAAAAAAATATGGAGGCTTTCCAAAGTGGCAGAAGAGAGAATATGAGATCCAATATAAGAGATGATTTAAGAGGATTTGAACTTCTGAAGAGTCTGAAATGAAATTTATCACAGCTTTTTTTTTCTTGCCTTCCCTCTGTTTTCTCTCACACGATCTCATTTCTCTCTTCTGCCACCGCCTTTGCCCGCCTGCCGAGCTACAATCCAAACCTCAATTTATTTATATTATCACCCAATTAATTATTAATATAAAACTCTCGAGAAGACTAATGTTGAAGATTGTTGTTGTTGTGTGTGATGCTTCATTGCCGATTTTGCCGGCACTTAATTGATTAATTGCAGACCTACAGAATACCGCGATGCCAGATGAGCGAGCTGTTATGACTTATGTGTCTTCCTACTACCATTGCTTCAGTGGTGCCCAAAAGGTCTGTGTGTTTTGCCCTCTTTCTCTCTGTCTTTTTATCCGGCAGAAAAGTCACCCGCAAACACCCACTCAATCTCTCATTGTGGCGAGAGGGCGACTTTGAGTGGTGTCTCGCTGACAGATCAATGGGTGAATTAACTGTGGTGGAAAAGTCATCAAGCGAAGAGAGTGGAAAATGTGGCGATGATGATGATGGCAAAATTGCCATTCAGCGGAAGTGCGAGTGAGATCCGTAAGAATGACCGCGAAATTGAGAGTGACTTCGCAATGGAGTGCAAAGTGGCACTTTCATTTTCCTCTTTGGCCGGGTGGAAATGGAATTAATTAGAATTAATGGGTGTATTTGTTGAACACCTTGAAGGTTTCGGCTGAGTTCTTTTGCGCCAATGGCGATTAAAAGATTTGAGAAATTACAATTTCGAAGGCATATTTGAGTGAGAGAGAGAGGGAAAAGCGGAACACCGCGGCTTGTTCCAGTTGTTGATCTTTCTACAGACAGATGAGAAATAAGACGATTTATGTGTTGAAAATGCAACCGAATGTCACACAATTCTCACACGACGGGGTGATTTGAAGAGCGCGAAAGAGTGCGACGATCGTATAAAACTGTCGGCAACTTTTAACCATCCGCGATATTTTTATTTTATTAAACAAAAAAAAAAAGACAAATGAGTTCTCGGCGATAATTCTATTTTCATTTTGAGTCTCTGGGGTCAGTGCACGTCTTTCGGCAATAAAACTGAGTTCATCGGGTTTTTGAAAATGTCTATTGAGAACTTATAATAATAACTGGAGCATCTGAAGCAGATTTTTCATTGAATTGTCTTGGGGAAAATTTTTTTTTTTTAACATTTCACTGACTATTGATGTGCCAATCAGCTTGATGACTTTTCCTCATGGTTCTTGTGACTTTTATTTAAATCTAACACAACTCAAAGACTGTTACCTTCACTTTTCCTCCTCACAAAAAATCCCCCATCGCAATTGGCAGCGAATGCTAACACTGTGTATCTTCTCATCCTCAAAATAAACAGGCTGAGACAGCTGCCAATCGCATCTGCAAGGTGTTGAAGGTGAACCAGGAGAATGAGCGTCTCATGGAGGAGTACGAGAGACTGGCGAGTGACGTAAGTCGCCACACAATATGCGCGTAACTGAGAAGATCCACACACACAATGTTGATTGATAATGATTCTGTTGCAGTTGCTGGAGTGGATTCGCCGCACGATGCCATGGCTGAATTCGCGTCAGACGGACAACTCGCTGGCCGGCGTGCAGAAGAAGCTGGAGGAGTATCGGACATATCGTCGCAAGCACAAGCCGCCGCGTGTGGAGCAGAAGGCGAAACTCGAGACGAACTTTAACACGCTGCAGACCAAGTTGCGTCTCTCCAACCGTCCGGCCTACATGCCGACCGAGGGCAAGACAGTGTCGGACATCTCGAATGCATGGAAGGGACTTGAGAAGGCGGAGAAGGCGTTCGAAGAGTGGCTGCTGGCCGAGACCATGCGCCTGGAGCGTCTTGAGCATCTGGCGCAGAAGTTCAAGCACAAGGCCGACACGCACGAGGACTGGACACGCGGCAAGGAAGAGATGCTGCAATCGCAGGACTTCCGTCAATGTCGCCTGAACGAGCTGAAGGCTCTGAAGAAGAAGCACGAGGCGTTCGAGTCCGATTTGGCGGCTCATCAGGATCGCGTGGAGCAGATTGCGGCCATTGCGCAGGAGCTGAACACGCTGGAGTATCACGACTGCATGTCGGTAAACTCCCGCTGCCAGCGCATTTGCGATCAGTGGGATCGTCTGGGGGCGCTGACGCAGCGTCGCCGCCAGGCGCTGGATGAGGCGGAGAGGATCCTGGAGAAGATTGACATCCTCCATCTGGAGTTCGCCAAGAGGGCGGCGCCCTTCAATAACTGGCTGGACGGCACGCGCGAGGACCTCGTTGACATGTTCATTGTGCACACCATGGAGGAGATCCAGGGTCTCATCCAGGCGCACGATCAGTTCAAGGCGACTCTCGGCGAGGCAGATAAGGAATACAACCTGATTGTCGGCCTGGTGCGTGAGGTGGAGGCGATTGTGAAGCAACACCAGATCCCTGGCGGTCTCGAGAATCCCTACACCACGCTCACCGCCAGTGATTTGACGAGGAAGTGGTCTGATGTGCGCGGTTTGGTGCCGCAGCGTGATCAGACGCTGGCCAATGAGCTGCGCAAGCAGCAGAACAACGAGATGCTGCGCCGGCAGTTCGCGGAGAAGGCTAACGCCGTGGGCCCGTGGATTGAGCGCCAGATGGACGCCGTGACGGCGATCGGCATGGGTCTGCAGGGCTCCCTCGAGGATCAACTGCATCGCTTGCGTGAGTACGAGCAGGCGGTGTACGCCTACAAGCCGCACATTGAAGAGCTGGAGAAGATCCACCAGGCCGTGCAGGAGTCGATGATCTTTGAGAACCGCTACACGCACTACACCATGGAGACGCTGCGCGTGGGCTGGGAGCAACTGCTCACGTCTATCAATCGCAATGTGAATGAGGTGGAGAATCAGATTCTCACGCGGGACAGCAAGGGCATCACGCAGGAGCAGCTCAATGAATTCCGCTCCAGCTTCAATCACTTCGACAAGAACCGCTCGTGTCGCCTGGCGCCGGATGAGCTCAAGTCCTGCCTCGTGTCGCTGGGCTACTCAATTGGCAAGGATCGCCAGGGTGAGATGGACTTCCAGCGCATCATGGCGGTGGTGGATCCCAACAGCACCGGCTATGTCACCTTCGACGCTTTCCTCGATTTCATGACGCGCGAATCCACGGATACAGACACAGCTGAGCAGGTGATAGACTCCTTCAGGATCCTCGCGTCTGACAAGGTGAGTTGAGACATGTGTTGGCTAATCAGTGGTGATCTCTGGGGTGTTCCAATTGGGAAGAATGCAAGGGGAATGGGCGGGGCTTGTACGTGGGAGGAGTTTACAGTTTTACTAAAACGCTGTCCAACTCTTTCAGCCGTACATCCTGCCAGACGAGCTGCGACGCGAATTGCCACCGGATCAGGCTGAGTACTGCATTCAGCGCATGCCGGCCTTCAAGGGCCCCGGCGCCGCGCCCGGCGCCCTCGATTACATGTCCTTCAGCACGGCTCTCTATGGCGAGAGCGACTTGTAAGTCGTGGTCGCGTGGCTGGAGAGGACTTCACTCGCTACAATTAATAAGCAGCAAACGATATAAATTAGAGAGACGAAAAGTGGGCAAGAAGAGCGTCTCGGCAAGAAATTGTGTCATTTTTATTTTTCTTCTTCTTTGTTATTGCATGAGAGAAAAAAAGGGGGTGTTTTTCTTCTCCAGCGACTGGAGAGAGATAATCACAGGGAGAGTTGTGGGTGGAAAGCGCAGCTATATACAAGATTATAAACGGTAAACGAGAGAGAGAGAGAGAGAGAGAGATGAATTTCTTCCTGGAAGATAAAATATACGGCAAAGATTGTCGCCTTCGAAACTCAATTTCTTTCTATTTACACCATCTTTCGATTGATTGAGAATCCTGTGTAATTTTTCTTTGTGTAAAAAGTACCATTTTACTGCTTTCTGAGAGATGTTTTCATTTTTTTTTCTGTTCTTCAGCATCGCAAATATGTAGCTTTCTATACTAGAATCTTATATATACCTTTAAGAAGTTCTACATAGTTTTGAGACATCTTTATTACAGTAATACAAGTGAAAAGAGAAACATTGAAAAGGAAAGAGCAATTGAAAAATGAGAAGATACGATAATAATGATTATACAACTTATACACATTATTTAAAATTAGTAAAGAATGAATTTAATAAAAACCCCGTGATTTTCTTCAACGGACGGACTTCGAATGGCGTTTTGCATGCACTCAGGCGCGCACTGAGAGGTAATTCAAAGTGCGCTGGTTTTTTGCCATATGCGGAACCACTTGAGTTTCTTGGACACTCGTAATTGCCTCCAAATCATTTTATTGTGTATCTCGCAATTTATGGCACTATTTGTTCACGAGAGATAAGATTTAATTGAATGACATGAATGTATGTTTGACTACTGCAAGTCTTCGAACTATGCTCGCTCAACTGATAACGAAATATGTGAGCAGATCTATGCTTTTGAATGCGGCTCTGTCGGTGCGTTGTATCGCACTGTCTGGTCAGAATTGGCCACATGAGGAGAGATTTATCAGTGTGAGATGAAGATGCGCGATAGAGAGTCATAAAACGCTGCGAGACTTCTTATCACACGCCATTAAAAGGCCCCCGGATCACCTCAATTGCTGGATTCGCGCATCGTCAGTTCAGGTGATCTGTTCCAGTGAAGTGTGCGTGTGTGCGCGACAAATATGGTTCTGAGCGCGGCGAAGAAGAAGTGGCTGATCTTTGGTGGCGGAGCTCTGGTGCTCGTGGTGGCGCTAGCCATCGCCCTGCCACTCACAGTGGGCAAGAGTGTGGGCAACAGTGAGCAATCGGACACATTCCGCGGCAGCAGTGTCCTGGACGAGGTGCCACTCATCGATGGCCACAACGATCTGCCATACAATCTCTACAGCATCGAGCAGAACCAACTGGCGAACTTCAACTTCGACTCCGATCTGAGATTGCATCCCGTGTGGGGCCCTCGCTCGACCAGTCACACGGATCTGCCTAGGCTGCGCACTGGCAAGGTGGGCGGACAGTTCTGGGTGGCATATGTGAGCTGTGGGACGCAGCACAAGGACGCCGTGGAGAGAACCATGGCGCAAATTGACGTGATCAAGCGCCTCATCAAGAAGTACCCCAACGATCTGCAGTACGCCACAACGGCGGACGGTGAGTTGCATCCAGTTTGCTTAATGCGATTGATCACAGTACAATGAGATGAAGTGAATTGCTTGCGCTGAATTAGGCCACGGAGAAGCTCTGTGCGTGTGGCTGAAGGAATCTTGTTCGACATTAGACTAAGCAAAGTCAGTGCTTATCATTGACCTTTCATGTGAAGATCCTGCGATTGTGTGGTATTATCATTATCATATTGTCAAGCATATTGTGTTTCTTCGTGGTTCAGTTTTTTCTTGTTTAGCCCAAATGCTATAAACTCGTAGTTAATTGCCGCGGACGAGGATAATTCAATTTTATCCTACTAAGAAATATGTTGATGATCGTAAACGTGGTAAATTAAGGTGAAAAAATCGCGTTGATTTTACATTATGACTGTTGTTTGTCTCACATTTTTCATTAAACTTACAGTTGATTTGGTGAAAAAGCAAGTGAAAATCAGTCATGAAGTTATTTCTGTGCATTTTACTGTGTTTTCCGAACCATAATGAGATCCACAAGAGCAACAGAAACAATGTCAGAGAAGACTTTATCAAAAAGACTTTACGAGAGGGTGAAGAAAATGTCATCAAAGACAAAAAGATTTGGATGGAAATATATTTGAAAACAGTAAAACGAATAACCAATCGATTGTGCTTGATAAAGCTCTTAAATGCTAGATTAATAGGTGTGAATTCCAATCAACTTTGAAGATCATTACGTCGCACTTATCAAAAGACACCTACAAATCACTCTCTAATCGCTTTCCTATGGCAGACAATAGCGATAGACTGTTTCTAATTGCTCTCCCTTCGATTAGCACTATCTTAATCTCGAAAGTCTTAGAATGCTTTGCATGTTTTCAAGGCTGCAATGGCAGATAAATGGCTTGGTAGTGATTGAGCCTTACTTTCTAGAGATCGAAGCGGCCTTCAAGGCGGGAAAGATCGCCAGTCTGATTTGCGTCGAAGGCGGACACTCGATTGATGATCGTCTCTCGGTTCTTCGTCTTTACTACGAACTGGGCGTTCGCTACATGACTCTGACGCACAGTTGCAATCAACCCTGGGTCGATGCATCGCCAATCGACGACACAACCGTTGAGAAACGCAATCTTACAGACTTTGGCGTGAAGGTTGTGTGGGAGATGAACAGACTGGGAATGATGGTGGATCTGTCCCACGTGAGCGCAGGTGTGATGCATCACGCCCTGGATGTGTCCAGAGCTCCAGTGATCTTCAGTCACTCCTCTGCACACGCGATGTACGCTCACCATCGCAATGCCAAGGACGATGTCTTGCTGAAATTGCGCGAAAACCGCGGAATCATCATGGTGAACTTCTACTCGCTTTACGTGGGCGGATCGCAAGCGACCATTGACGATGTTATCAGACACATTAACCATATCAGGGACGTGGCTGGTGTGGATCACGTCGGAATTGGTGGAGATTACGATGGCGTAAACAGGTGAGGCTTCAAAATACCCCCAGATAGATCAATTCTTAGTCTTTCTCATCACTTCCCCAGGCAACCAATTGGACTTGAAGATGTGTCCATGTATCCTGATCTGTTTGATAAGCTAGCTCAGCCAGATCATGGCTTCGAGCCCTGGACTCCGGAGGAACTGAAGAAGCTCGCTGGATTGAACTTGCTTCGAGTTATGCGTGAAGTTGAGCAAGTCGCTGCAGGACTCTCAAACGAAGATCCTTACGAAGTCAACATTCCCGATGAAGATATTCACGCCTTCGATCCTAATCAATCCTGCAAAACTGACTTCACTTACACACCAACTAATATGGAGATTTGAAGATGCAATAAACCTCTCTTGTTCTGCATTTGTCTAACAAAACTGTTTTCTTTTCAAGACTTCCTTAACACTTGACATGCGATTGATTTGATAGTGAGCGCATGCTAATATCTAATGACTTATTGTTCCTTACAGAGATCCAGGCGTCCTTTGATGCAGGGAAAATAGCCAGTCTCATCGTAGTTGAAGGCGGACATTCAATTGATGATCGTCTCTCCGTTCTTCGTCTTTACTACGAACTGGGCGTTCGCTACATGACTCTGACGCACAGTTGCAATCAACCCTGGGTCGATGCATCGCCAATCGACGAAGACGAAACCGCTGTAAAGCGCAATCTTACAGACTTTGGCGTGAAGGTCGTGTTGGAGATGAACAGGCTGGGAATGCTGGTGGATATTTCCCACGTGAGCGCAGGTGTGATGCATCACGTGCTGGATGTGACCAGAGCTCCAGTGATCTTCAGCCATTCGTCCTCATACGCCATCTTCGCTCATCATCGCAATGCGAAGGACGATGTCCTGTCGAGATTGCGACAGAACGGCGGCATCATCATGGTGAATTTCTACTCGTTTTTCATTGCCGGCGCTGATGCCACGATTGACGATGTCATTAAGCACTTGAACCACATCAAGGAAGTGGCAGGAGTTGATTATGTTGGAATCGGTGGAGATTACGACGGCGTTGAGCTGTGAGTCTCTAAACACACTACTTGAGAGTTTATAACTATAAAACTTATTGTTGTTTTCCAGCCAACCCGTTGGTCTTGAAGATGTCTCAAAATACCCAGATCTCTTTGACAAACTAGCAGAACCAGGACATGGTTACGAGCCCTGGACTCCGGAGGAACTGAAGAAGCTCGCTGGATTGAACTTGCTTCGAGTTATGCGTCAAGTTGAGCAAGTCGCTGCAGGACTCTCAAACGAAGATCCTTACGAAGTCAACATTCCAGATGAAGATATTCACGCCTTTGATCCTGATCAATCCTGCAAAACTGACTTCACTTACAGACCATCGAGTGGCAGCGTTTTTACAGAAATCTGAAGAGTGTGAAATAAATTTTTCTCACTCTTTCCATTCGCTTCAGTTCCTTGAAAGTATTATTGCGTGTCTCATCAATCCTGTCTTTCATACTTTTAGTAAAGGGATCAAAAGGAAGTTGTCGCCTTTTGTAATTCCCTCTACGACGCTTTATAGCACAATCTAGATTCTTATCATCCACTGGCCATTGCAAAAACCTTAGAATTCTTACTAACGATCCTCGAAGATCAGAAACAAGATCTTCATAGAAGACAATCTCAATTGGTTGTAGGAAATTTCTCGTCCAATCTAAATGGAAATCTGTCCAGGAAATCAACTTGTTTCGCACAAATTCCTCCCAAGATTTCTCATAGAACAGATCTTCGGAAGCTATTCCAAGGTGTCCAGCATTTTGCCTGTTGAATTCCGCCAAAATTGCTCCCTGAGGATCACGAACAAGAAGAACTGCTCGTCTGAATTGACCCCAGACCAACGGACCGTGCTCATGAGTCTTCACAACAAGAACCTAATGGCAAATTGATCAGAATAAAATGAAGTTAAGGGAATCTGAAAATGTCTTACTGATGAATTATGCACTCCTTCTGCGGGAAAAGACGTCATCATCAAGTCATAGTCGCTGTAAACACTTCCAGTGAGGATTCCAGTGACTTGCTGAAGTAAGTATCTCAACCATGTGTTTCCACTGCCAGGAAAGGACGCCAAAGCCACTGGTTTTAAAGGGTTCTCTTCCCCAGTTGACGGAAGGAACTTTAATTTCTGACATCATTCGCTTCTTCTTATGCCCTTTGATGTATTCTGAATGTCGTTCACAAGGAAACTTGAGGAGTTTTTAATGTAAACTACAAAGACCCAAAACAGCACTGATAGAAGGAGACACTTCAATGTTCTCCAGAGAATGACCATTTTTACTCCCACAGAATGTATGACTATCAACTTCAGTGGTCTTCGTGCAATAGAATTTTTCTGAAACCTTCGTAAGAGGATAACAAGTTTGGGCCATGAATAGAATCATCGATTATTATCTGACTCAGCATAATTTGAGTACATATTTTGAGGATAATTAACATGTTAATTTCTACTCATTACCATAAATAGAAATTCACTCTCTATTAACTCTTGCACGACGTTTGCGCATTTGACGAACTCACATTAATTGAAAATCGTGCTTTTTCCGTAGTTAAGTGAGTCGTGAAGAGCATGAAGAGATTAATAATGGAACAGTTTTGCTAGATTGAAGTGAAATAAGGATGGAAGGCGTTTTCACAATGCAAAAAAGATTATCCAATTAAGCTCTATAGAGGAGATTGACCCTAAAAGTGGCCAATGCGCGCACAAGTTGCCCGGCGAAGGCGGCTGAGGGTGGAAAATGCACACACGGCCTCGTCGGCTCACGCGGGAGAAGCCCTCATATGTATATGCCAAATGAGGGCTTGCGCAGTGCAGAATTTTCCAGAGTGCAGCATCTCTCATCTCTTTGTTATTGTCCTGTCAATTATGACCATTCCTCTACTCGCTGGCTAGCGTCGGTCTCCGCCTCAGTGCACTGGTCAGTAAGATGCAACTGCTGTGGAAATCATCGTGTCTTCTCTCGCTTTTTGTACTCCTTTTCGCGTCCGGCTTATCAGGTGAGTGTGAAAGCGGCGTCACACGGATGCATTTTAATGGGCCGCGTTGGACATTCCAGAGGTGAACATATCAAAGAACGATGACTTGATCTACTACGACTACTCCGAGGGTGGCGATAGTGCGGGGAGCGTCGATAGTGTGGATCAGGAGATGAACGAGGCAATTGATAGGGACTTCCAGGAGCACAACGCCATCGACAATATCATGTACATCTATGGGAGTGAGCGCAAGACGGTGTCCGGGAAGAATATCCTGAGCGTCGGCAGCACCGTCGCCCTCTTGGCGCAAACCATGACCATAATCTTGATATACGTGAGAAACCGGTGAGTAAAAGCGTCGAGTGTATACCAGAACATCTCCACAACTGCTCTCCACTTTTCTTGGCACAGGAAACTTCCTCGCCGGAATGTCTTCTATCCGATTGTGATAAACTTCCTGTGCGTGGGCTTCAGCGCCAACTTTGTCTTCATCGTGGGCGTCCAGGCGTCCTCCGGCAGCGCCTTCAGCTGCGAAGTGATCGCCCTCATCATCCACTTCCTGCATCTGAGCGTGGCGCTTTGGGGTCTCATCTACATACAGACCATCTACGTGTTCATGGAGACAGACATGGGGCCCAACATGCGCCAAACCTACCTCACAGCCTACGGTCTTCCTATATTCTACATCACCTTCTCCTACATCCTCACGGGGAACGGTTACGAGACGCGCCACTTCTGCTGGCTCTCCGTGCACCGCGGCATGATCGTCAACTACCTGATCCCCATCTTCCTGCTCATCCTCACCACCACCATCCTGGCCACGGTGACGCTGCGTAATCTGCGTCGGAAGCAACAGGAGGGCTTCGTGGAGAATTTTGGGGGAGTGGTGCTCGAGGGCCTGTCCCAGGGCACAATTGAGAGTCGGCGCGATCAGTATGACTCAAAATTCGAGCTGGAATCGCTGTCTCTGGCCGATCTCTCCATCCAGAGTTCCCTGGAGGTGGAAGACTACATTGGCTTCCGCAGTGCCGTTCGTGTGTCACTCATCTTCGAGCCACTTTTCTCCATCTGCTGGTTTCTGGGCGTCGTGGCGCTGGAGAATCGCGACACCTGGACCATGCCAATCGTTTACGTGGTCACATTCAACGTCCTCAACTGGTCACTGTTGCTGGCGCGCAACAAGATCTGTCCCATCATGAACGTCTCGCAGCCCCTGATGGACTCCACCGTGGTCACAGAGAGCGCCCGGAAGGTGGACGAGCTGATTAACGGCAGCTCAGCGAAGAGTGCCACAAATCACACGCCCTGCACCGACACAATTCCCCTCCTGGTCAGCAATCATGGGAGAGAGTGCCCAGAGGTGGTGATATCCTCACCCAATCACCACCAGATGCCCACGAGTGCAGCTCCTGAGTAGGATCGCCCAGGCTTCCCAAACATTCTTAGACTTTACTCCCTGATGGACTCAAGTACATTGACTTCAATTATACATTTTAGGCACATTGTATTGGAAATAAATTCCGCATACTCCCCAAAGGCTTCTGTATCTCATTCTGTCTCTCAATCGCGAAGAACACGAAACTTCAACTCAACATTCATCCATTATTGTATCGATTAAACAACTTATTCCCTTCGCATCATGGAGCAAAAGAGGAATTACTCACATCTCCCGGATCTCGAGAGGGAGGGAGTGTTCATCAAGAGCTTGCCTCAGCCACCAGAAGCGGACGCCAAGGCGTGGAAAGAGAAACTCCCGCCCAGCAAGCGAGTGTTCTTCCACCAAACGCTCAGTTCTGCTCGCCACTCTGCCGTCTTCCGAGAGTTTGGCAACACTCCCAGAGACTCTCTCGATATGGTGCTGGACTCCTGCTACAATCACAGTGACGACTTGTGGCACACAAAGTCCCAGACACACGTTCAGCCCGAAACCTGTGGTCAAACGACATTTCGCCGCCTACGAAACTCTGTGGATTCACCAGCGCCGAAGTCTCAGCCTCTGAGTCATCCACTCTGCATTGGTGGCATCACCGAGAGGATCTCTCCGCACAGCGTCAAGCTGATCCACAGCGGTCCCCACACGCCCCTCACGAATCCAGGCTACTCGCGACAGACCAGCGACGGCAACTTCTTCAACTATTAAAACACCCAATAAAAGGCAAATAAACTTTACCTCAAGCGTTTTTTAGCACCTTCACATCCTGACCATTGGCTGTGTCCTCATCTCTGGGTCTCTTCGTCCTCCTGTTCTGATTCCTCACGCTCTTCATCATCGTCGTGCCGCCGATCATGAGCGTGGCGCGCGTTCCTGGTCCCCAGTGAGCTGTTGGATTTCCCGGGAAGCGCGACAAACAATTCCGCCGACTCTCCGGATTGGCATCAGGATGAATGTCATTGAAATTGTAGTCGCATTGCGACTTCTGCTCTAGAATAGCCTTCAAGGGCGTGCCCTCTATAAATCTCTCGGGATTCACAGGATTCCTTTCCGCCCAGCATCTCAGGATGTCCCACAGCACGCGATTTGGAGCGTCGGTTTTCAAGGAGTTCTTGTACGCGTGCGAATAGGACACACGAAAGCCCGCGTGAAGAAGTGCCGAGCGGAACTTCAGCACAGGCATCGTGACCACTTTGATGATGGAGCAGAGCTTATCCACAGAGTAATACAGTGGGATGTCTGGCAGCTCTTCCCGGATGACTGTGAGCTGTCCTAAAAGTCTCTTAGCAGTGCCAAGATTGCTTTCAGTCGCTCTCTGAAGGAGTTTCTCGACAAATCCAACATCGTGGATTGGATCTGACCATATCGGGCCGCCAATGTGATGCCTGGAGCCGCAGTGGGTGCACGTAGAGTCCACAAAAGGTCCAGTTGGGATGGCATATTTTATCTGAAAGCCAAAAAGAAAGTCAAGCATTTGGGAATCAGTAAAATGCTTACTCTTCTCGGCAATCACCTGGTCAGGATTCTTCTCCGTTGGGTTCGCTCTGAGCACTCCCAGAGGCTGTAGTGTGAAGGAGTCACAGCCGGTGCACTGGAACACCAGCGATTGCTTGCTGCTGCTCTTCTTGCACTTCACAGGACTCGAGAAGATTCGGACAAAGACACGAATGTAGAAATCTGCTGAAATACTCAGCAGAGGCTGAATGTATCGTCCGTACTGCGTAGCGTGACTCTCAATACTCCTCAGCAGGATTCTGATGGCTATCTCATGACAAGCCTTCGACTTCAGGGATATGGAACCGTACTTCACGAAGCAGGATTCGGGAGAATTGCCTGCCAACACAGCCATATCCGTGGCGGTGACGAGCAGCAAGCCTCCGTCAACTATGCTTTGCACAGCGGCGTCCAGGAAGCGCGTGGGACAGCCATATGGATCCAGATCGATCGCTGAGAATCTCATCCCTGGCCTCATACTAGTGTACATCAGCATGAGGGCGTCAGCTTCATTGGGCACCACCAGGTCTGTCACGCCGTTTCTCTCCACATTCACTCTGATGTCCTGCACAGCCTTCCGGGACAGGTCATTGGCAAGAATCTCCTGAATTCCCGGAACTTCTAAAGCATAGCGAATGCTGCGAAGACCTGTAGCGGCCAGCGCTTCCAGGATTCTCAATCCACCTTCGCATTTAATGCCAGCTTCACGGGGAAACTCCCTGGAGTCCCCTTTCCTGGCCACATTTTCCTCCCAGAGGAGCTGTGAGAAGCTGGAGAGAACCAAAATACTCACTGAAAAGCAAAACAACGCCACGAGGATTAGATTTCCCATCGTATTTCACTACTCTCCGCAATTAATACTCACAATCTCTGTTGAATTCCTGAACAGGGTTATAAAATACATGACCTTCACTCTCAATCACAGCCGATCCTTCTCGAATTACTAGTTTTTCCAGAGATTTCTCAACAGGATTTTCCATTGTTTTGAATAGCAATGTGCGGTGTTTGACAGCTAAGTTTGCACCCCTTTGCCAACTCAGCGAAAAGTCGGCACCACTTCTTCGAGAGTCCCAAGAATTATCCAATGAAATTCCACTACTAAACACACGAATAGACAGATATAGATATTTAAATTTGAGGATTTTGAGCACAGTTGCCAAGGAAATGAATAAATAAATACTACTTGAAAAGTTCCTCACTTCAATTTTATTTTGTCTGCGACGTCAAGTGCAAAATGCCCCATCAAGAGCTTCCATCTGATGAGTGCATCTCATCGACGGAATCTAGTGAATCTAATTCTTCCTTGGGTAGTCGCGCTTCAAGTGCCAGTGGTCAGAATCATCTGCAAATCATTAATGAGTACGCCAACTTTCTGCCTGAGGAGCCACTCTACGAACCAATCGTCCTACCCACAGAACCATCGCTGGAAGAACTTCTTCATCAGGTCACTGGAGCTCGTCGTTTGGACACAGTGCAGGATCTAAAGCTCCGCGTGATTTCCCATCTGACGAGTCTTCAGCGCATTCATTCGTTCGTTCCGTGCCTGGTGAGCCTCAATCTCGATGGAAGCATTATTCATTCATTGAGAGATTTGGGATGTCATCTCAATTTGAAGTAAGAACTGCAACAATTAGTTAGGAAACTCAATTAATTTATGCTTCTTCTGCAGATATCTCAATGTTAGTCGATGCGGTCTAAGAACACTCGATGGAACTAGTTGTCTTATCACGCTGGAGGAACTTATTGCGGATGGGAATGCCATTGAATACGTGGAGCCATGTTACAACCTTCCAACATTGTCTATTCTTAGCTTAAGAGACAACAGAATTTGTGATTTGGAGGCTGTAAGCTTTCTGTCCTTGTGCTCTAAACTGCGTAATTTGAATATCGCCGGAAATCCTGTGGCGAATATTAACAACCACCGCGAAAGGATTAAGGAATTTATCCCCCATTTGAGGATTCTAGACGGAATTTCCTTATATCCCGATGGCTGTGTCAGTTCGTCGTCTTCTGAATGCTACAGTTCTAGCTTGACGAGTCCAGACGAGTCACTGGATGTGGATCCTGCAATTGCTGAAGAAGCTCAAGATAAATTCGAGCAATTGACTAGAGTCCGACCAGCAACGGCAGGTGTCATCAATCGTCAGTCAAGTTCTGGGATTGTGTCTGGAGCACCGGTGTGTGGAAATATTATCTCTATGGTGAGGCGCAAGCGTCAGAAATCTGCCTGGGGGGAGTCTGACGGAAGTAGCGAATCCTCCAGTACACGTGATTCGCCACAGCTCACCACTAAATCTTTCCCAATGCAGCTTCCACAGAGCTCTGTGGATCTGGAATTGGGCATCTGTGGTACATCGAAGTCTTTTGATGATGCACAAGAGAACACTACTGAGAACCTTCTGGCAGCGGCCAGAAAATGGAGGCTGAATCATCAGAAAACCAAGGCGACACTTCAGAAGAACAATTCTGTTGAAGTGTTATCAGAATAAAATTGATTGTGTAGTAGAAATTTGTCGCTTCTTTCATGTGTTTTACTATTGGTTGGACATTGAATATTTTGCAACATTTCTACCAATGGCATTCAGAATAGAATGCTTTTTCCTGAGCATGCTCAAAGCTCGGAGCAATAATTGTACGCGAATTACTGAGCATGCTCACATAATTGCATCTCATCACCAATGCGATTTATGCTGGATTTATGTACATACCGTGTTTCCCAGTGTTTTATTCAATGTAAATAACCATAAATGTAATAAAAAAACAAAAGCGAATAATATTTAAATTAGAGTCTTTGATATGATTTATTTTGCATTAATTCCAATTCGCCCAGACAAATTATTGTATTCTTGGGATTTTCTGGTGGAAACTAATAAAATTTTTCATCAGGATTGCTCTTTTACAAAAATATACCTTGAAAGTATGTCTCTTAATTTAATATTCGCAATTAATGCATGGAGATGACCGTTATGCATGATGTTTGAAAAATTCGTCCATGGAACTTCCTTCGAAAAATTCTACTTTTCTCTTTTTTTTACTGGGGAGTAGCAATTTTATAGGGGTTGCAAATGGCGATTTGTCCCGGCTGCCGTTCAACATTTTGAGCTATTAATTTTGAGTAATTGGAGAAATTTCAACCTATATTTCAACTCTAAATAGGTAGATTAGGTATTCATGTGTTATTTATTATTTTGCAAAAATGATAAAAACTACCTGAATTGTGAATTAAGCTGAAAATATGCTTTATTTTTCTTGTGACCATGTCAGTGTAAGTGAAGTGTAAGGTGAGGATTTCAGTTGGATTTCCGGGTTTTCTGAGCGTGCGTGTTTTGATGACAATACAAATCAATCTAAATTTGTCAAATTTTGTTAAAATTACGCTGAAAAAGGATCTTTTTGCCGAATTTTCTCACTCAGAAGTATCTTGCAGCCTCTGTGAAACCCGAAAGGATGTCCAGGCAGGGCAGTCGGCTGGATTCCAAGAAAGTGGTGAGTGGTTTAGATCGGCTTTCCGGGAGGCGTCCTGTCGGCTCTTCCGGGCTTCCGTTGCTCCCCAGGGGCTGCTTTGGTCGGCGATTGGGGTGGAGATTGCGATTGAGTGATGTGTGCTCCTCACCACGAATCCGAGTGAAATTGCTGGCCACCCTCAACGCCTTCTCACTTCTTTCCGCTTTTCTAGACCTGCGTCTGCTAGCCACTTGCCGGAAAAGCCCATCCCGCCTTTTAGCATGGACACGAGTGGCAGCAGCGACATCGCCGGCACCTCCGGACAGCTGCAGGTGCTGCCGCTGAGTCAGGTGCTGTCCGGCACGAGCGGCCAGCCGATACTTGTGCAGGCGCTGCCACAGCAGATCTCCACCGGCACGCAGCCCATGCAGATGCTGCCTCTAGCGCAGCTACAGCAGTCCGGCGCCCAGATTATGGTGCAGCCCACGCCGGCGGCGCAACCGCAGGCACAGTTCATCCAGCTGGCGGACGGTCAGACGTTGGTGGTGCATCCGTTGCCCGGAATTGGTGTGTCCGACGGCGTGGCCAGCCAGCCGCAGCTCATCAACATCAACGGCAACCTGTTGCAGCTGCCTGTGAGCCAGAACACCACCGCGGCGTCCATAGCGCAGCCCCAGGTGATGATGGTGGCCACGGAGGCTCAGCCGCAAGGCCAAAGCGTGAAAGTCACGCACCAGCCCGCCTCGCTCACCACGCAGACGACGCCAGCCGCGTCTACGACCACCGCGGTGGCGAGCAGCAGCGCTAGCGGCGAGTCCGAGGACCAGATTCTCTACGTGAACGCCAAGCAGTACAAGCGGATCCTCAAGCGGAGGCAGGCGCGTGCCAAGCTCGAGGCACAGGGTAGAATACCCAAGGAGCGCTCCAAGTATCTGCACGAGTCGCGGCACAGGCATGCGATGAACAGGATTCGCGGCGAGGGTGGCAGATTTCACTCGGGCAGTGCTCAGTCGCAGAAATGACTGCAAATCCACTGAGTGTGTCTTCTGGGGAATTCGAGGGCAAGTCTCAAGTCATTGTCAAACTGAATTTCCCTCTGGGCTGAACAAAGTGTGTTCGCACACGTTTTCGCCATTAGACTTTCGAGCAGTGTGCAGAACTGCGAAATCCTTTTAATTGCGCCAATTTTAGAGTTGCGCTGAAAATCCCATAGATTTTTTTTTGTCACTCACAGTTGCACTTTTCATTCACTGTCAGTGAAAGTTTGGGAGCTGAAGGGCTTTGGCGTCCAGGAAATAACTTATTGATGCAATTAAAGGTTTCAAATTCAGGTATTCAACAGTTTCAACAAAAATATCAGAGTATTCACTTCATGAATGTGGCTTTTCTGCCTGAAGTAGCGCAACGCGAAAGCCAGGAACAATCAAGGGGAGAACAACTCACGAGTCTAGGACATAAAGTGAATATTTTGTGAAGAAAAAAATCATATCTCGAAATTTCTTCTGCTTTTCATGCCAAAAAGTATATTAAAATATGTAAAGGAATGTCTTCGAAGTTCTTTTTCTTAAATGTCTCGCCAATTATCCTTGCTTTAACATTACTTTTTTTTGCTCATGGAGAAATTTTCACTGAAAAATATGTCTTCTATTAAAAAAAAAATTCTTAGTGCTCCTCAAGAGCACAAACATGGGAAAGAAATAATAATTCTAATTATGTGAGTGAATAATTGAGAGAAAATATCCTGCTCTTTAGAGTTTTAGGCGAGTACCTCGTGAGAATCAGGTGCTAGTGAGTTGTCTGCCCCTTGGAATCAATTTACTTTTATCAAGTTAAAGCACTCAAAAGCTCTGAATTTCTACTGTAGGGCAGTAAATGCAATTGCGCACGCAGAAGGATGCTCTCTGAGTGTGAAAAATCACATCCATTGTGACTGCCAAATGTAATTGCATTGTGACATCCTTTGCAGAGCTCTGAACTCCTCACGCTGACCTATGGAGCTTTGGTGTCGCAAATGCTGAGGGACTTTGAGAATGTGGACGATGTGAATAAGCAGCTGGAGCGTGTGGGCTACAACATGGGTATGAGACTCATCGAGGACTATCTGTCGAGGACCAATTCACTGCGCTGCCACGACATGAAGGACACGGCGGAGAAGATACAGCAGGCCTTCAGGTGAATGCGAGCGGAAGAATGCGACAAATTGAGCAACATTCATATATATTTAGGATTAAATTGGGTCTTCCGCTGCAGGATGTATCTCAATATTCAGCCGACGGTGTCCAACTGGGCCACGACGGGGGATGAGTTTTCTTTAATCTTCGAGACGAATCCCCTGGCGGAGTTTGTGGAGCTGCCCAGCGACGTGGGAAACTTGCGCTACAGCGCCATTCTGTGTGGCTGCATTCGCGGTGCGCTCGAAATGGTGCAATTGGAGGTGCAGAGTTGGTTCGTGCAGGATCATCTGAAGGGTGACGTCAACACGGAGGTTCGGGTGAAGTTCATACGTCGACTAGAGGACGCGATTCCAGCTGGTGAGGACTAAGCACCCCTATTGGCAGTGAACAACTAAACAGAACAGAGAGAGAGAGAGAGAGAGGGTGGGTCAGCATATCAGTGCGTCATCCGAGGTGAAAAAAAAAGAGCTGAAAAGAAAAACGATATGAGAAAATTGAATTCCGCCAGATCATTCACATTCATGAAAAATATACAACAAATTAAATTACCAACGGTGAGTCTTTGTCGATGGCTTGTTCATAATTGCGATGGGGAAGTCGATACGCAATTTAATCAGTGCGCCTCGTACGAAATATAGATTGTCGGCGTCCGCAAGATGTTGGAGCAGCGATAGTGTAGAGGTTCAATTAACCAAGTTTACTTGTTTATATGCCGCAGAAATGCGCGAGCGAGAAATTATTTCATTCCCAGCGACCTATTTTGCATGCTCGTCAAATAATATTTTCTCCCAGGGCTCGAACTCTGCCCGGAAAATCAATTAACGCAAGGCAAAATGCAAAATGCTCTTCACAGAATTTCTCTTCCAGTAGCATAGAGATTTGCAGGAGAAAGTTTGAAGGAGAAATCTCTGTCTTTACGGAACTAAATGTATTGAAGGGGTATTAGATGTTTTAGGGATTAAGTAGCAATTTTGCTAATTGGCAATAGGAGAGTGAGGCTATTTGAGATATTCAGGTCACACTCGATTTGCTTTAAACTGCTAAATTACATCGAATTTTCTGATTTATTTCAGTCTAATTTTGAATTAAAACCAATTATTTTTAATCAAAATGCTGAAGAAAGTATTAACATGGCACAAAAATTGGAAAATTTCAGGATAAATAAGTAGTATTTTGAAGCATGCACATAAATATTGAAGGAAGCCTAAGAATTTGCTGGAAAGATCGACAAAAATGCAGAAGAGACCTAAAATAATCGTAGAAAGTAAGTATTATACATTATAACATCCTAATATCTTTGATATTTTGCCATTTAAATCGTCTCAAAATCCCTCCACTTTCCTTATGATGACGCAAATCTTCCAGCATTGCTAATTGCACTGTTGCAAGAGTTATGAAACTTTTACCACACACCACTTGAAACGACAGAGAACCGCTCACGGGATTCCCTTATCCCTGGCGCTGAAACGTAGATAAATTTGCGTGGAGGCGGAAGATGACAAAAAGCCAAATTCGCGATACCTTGTCGTACAATTTCCGCTAATTATTTGAAATTGGAAACTCACGTCATTGCTCTGGGCGATGAGATCTAAGGTATGATTGCAGGTGAGGTGGTTTTTTTTATAAAATCGCCCGGGCTGCGGCAGGAGCTCTCAGTGTCGCATTTTTTGCCGCGAGGACATGTGAATTTTCGTGTGAAGAGGATAGGAAAAATAACAGGATGAAAAGTTAGTGCTCTCAGCGGCGTCAATGGCTGTATGGATTAATTGTTTTTCTCTCCCACTGTGCTTCAGGACTCGTGATTTGCCTTTTGGTGTGCCTGGCGAATGCGGCAGTGTTGACGAGTGGTGTTGAGTGTCCCGAGGGCAGATGGATGACCACACTCGCCCATGAGGATTGCCATCAGTAAGGGCGAGGCGCGCGATTTTGGGGAACTGCAAAACATGATTTCTGGACTCTTTCAGATTCCACTTGTGCCTCTTCGGCCGCGCCGTGGAGCTCAAGTGTCCCTTTGGCCTCTACTGGGACCCCATCGAGGGTGGTTGTGGCCGGAAGGTGGACGTGTCGTGCATCGCGGTGGAGATGCGCCAAGAAGACGTGCCACAGCCACCTGTTGAGACCACAACTTTCCCGCCGCAGCCAGATATAGAGACGACCACTGGAGCTGAGGAAGAGACTAGTCCGGAGGATGAGACCAGTCCAGAGGAGGAGACGAGTCCTGAGGATGGAGAAACTCCCACTCCGCCCTTCGAAACAACAGGTAATCATCAATAAAACGGAGGGAGATTCGTTTTCCTGTTTGCAATTGAGTGCAGAATCTTAGTAAGAATGAATTTTCTGTCCAGGAAACACCCCAACTCCCCCGTTCTCCACGACTGGAGGAGACCTCACTCCTCCAGTGTCCACCACAGGAAGTCAGCCCACGCCAGAGGTGTCCACCACGGGCACAGACGTAGCAACTCCACCAGAGTCCACGACCGGAGGCGAGACTGGAACCCCGCCGGAATCCACGACTGGCGGAGAGGAGACTGCCACGCCTCCGGAGTCTACAACTCCCGACTTGCCAGAAACCACCACAGGTGGAACACCACCACCGCCGACGCCGCCTAAGTGTCCGCCAACTGGCATCCACCACTTCCCTGATCCCACGTCGTGCTACCGCTTCTTCCTGTGCCAGAACGGAGAGCTCATTAACATGATGTGCGCTCCTGGCCAGATCTTCGACCAGACGTACCTTCGTTGCCGCCACGACGGCGTGTGCGCGCTGCCCTAGTGGACACACAAGAGATACCCAGTCACACAACACAACACTCCTGGCCAGCTCTGGCAAACACACAAGAAATCACACAACACAGAGACACACTTTAATAAATTATATTGTCACACATTGTAGCCTTGCTGATATGCTATTCCCTGTGGAAATTGCGGAGGAGAGAATTCTGAGAAATTCCTGGATCTGCAGGACTCGGAAAATGCATTGCGCGTAACTATGGAAATATTTCTGCTTCAAAGAGTAGAGTTTATCACAATGCAATAAAACCTTTGACATTCGATGTGAGCGCAAGAAACTTTGAGTTCTCAATTTCACTGGCAGCGTTTTGCGGATATCTAATTTGCACTGAATTGAAAATTACCGAGAAAAAAAATCCTCAAATTGTTCCTCTTTCCGAATTTGGCACCAAAATTGCAAGAGAGGGTAGAAAAAGTTGTCCATGAATTTGCCAACGAGTGTCTTCAATGCATACATTTTTACCCTTCTGCCTTAAACTCTGCATGTCAATACGAGAGAGATGTTCATTAAAAAGTATTTGCCACATTAATTAGTTTAGTCATATATGGACAATATGCTGTGCAAAAGTTTTACGGCATCGCAGTAATTCGTTCGCACTTTTCTGTGTGTGGGAAAAAAAATCATAAATTCCAGACGAGTTCAGATTAGCATTTAATGCCGGAATCCTAATTGGATTTTATTGAAATAACTCACGAGAGAACTTCCGAGCAGTGCAGCTAATTTCAAACATCCAACAATTTACACGGTTCACTTGTGACGAGGCCGTATAAAATTGAAAAGCAACATTTAATTATTAACTTATCATAAACATTTCTGGACTTTCTGGGTCTATTTTTCTCGCTGGCTAATTGGCGCGTTTCTGCGGAAACACACTTTGAGGCTTCTGGATCTCTTTGTTGGGTTAACACAATTTTTGCTATTACCAATTATGCATTAGCGAACAGTCGCTTGAGAGTTTTAAAGTGTTGGCGATATGACTTTGTGACTTGTTTTCACGGAATTTCTCGCGATAGTGAGCAAAATGTGTGGCTCTCTTCCCTCACAAACACTGGTACTTGGGACTGAAGGTAGCGCTGTGTTTACAATTTACTGGATTTTTTAGCGTAAATCCATCAATGAGACGCGCGCGAGTGTGTGTGGTTTACCTGTTAATTAGTGTGGCATATCACGGTATGAAAAATTAACGTGGCTCATCTTTTCGTCACCACGAAGCCTCTCCAGCTGGAATATTGCCTCCTCTCAAGCTCTGCGGCAGTTTGTGTGCCATACTTGCTTACATGAGGACGTTTGCTATTGTGCCGAGGACTTGTACTGTTCGATTAAATTGAAAGAATGTGGTGCAGTTAGTCATTTGAAGGCACACTCAGCGAGTGGAAGTTGGTGATTTCATCTCCAGACAGCTTACGTAATGCTGCAAAAATTAACAACACCTCACGGCGAAGGTGCTGGTGGAAAGTACTTGGAGAGAGTGTGCTGTGAATCTTCCGGAGCACAGTGTTTGCCCTTCCACACGCTAACAGGTGGAAAAAATATCAGGGAATCATGCTCATTTATCAAAAACCCCACTGATAACATTCTCATGTTTGAGAGTGAGGCTTTTTGTGTAGATAAACAGCCCAAAACTCCCTGCTTTGCGGAATAAACAGAAACTTCAGTTGGCGATACTTTAGCCTCCTGACCAGAACAATATTGCTGAGAAACTGTGCGGGAGTTTCTGTCTTCTGATGTGTGTTGATTTGTGTGTGCTTGTGACACTCTTAATCTAGACGACAAACACTACGCGTATCAATTTTATACTCACTTGTAATACGATTAATCACTCGTTATTAGCGAGGATGTGTGAAGCTCGGGCGTCGCGACTGTGAACAGAAAGAAAACGGAGAAAGTGGACAATCATGAGGAGATCCAAGGGCAAAACGACAACCAAGAAGGCAGTTAAGGCGCCGGATATTACCAAGAAGGATGAGTCGGGGAGATTTTCGCAAAAGAAAAAGAACACTGGCAGGTACGTGGCGTAAACGGTCTATTTAGCTTAAACTCCTTTTTTTATAGAAAAGTATTGTCTTCTTAAGAAAAGGAGTTTTAGCTAAATACTCAGTTTCCATCACCATCCACAAACTAAACACTGGCCATTCCATTCAATTGGAAAAGTACAGGATAACGTATATCGAAGCAACCACGGACAGCCCCAGCAAGGTTAACAAAAATACAAAGCAGAAGGAGAGCCACGCGGAAGTGCAACTTTCTGAATTGCACCTTTCGCAACCTTCGCAACCATCGCAACTATCGTTACCGTTGGAGCGCTCGAATTCCGTCATCTCGCGCGGACTGTCGAAATTGTACAACACACTAGCTGGCAGTCGGGATGCAATCAACAAGATGAGCTTAGGGGAAAGCCTAGAGAGTTATGATAGAGTGTCAAAATCTCCCGCATTCATCAGGCGCAGCAGAACATTGGGCACAATATCCCTAAGGAAACACCGCCGAAGTATGCCGACTCCCCTCGAACAACTCACGGAGGAGACGGATCAACGACCTTTGGAAGAGCAACAAGTTCCCCTGCGACTGCACAGCGTGGAGGAGGGGCCCCGCGAGATGCAATCGGCATTCAGTGGCTCGCGTGAGTCTCTCAGCTCTCGCGGCACAGGCATTCTGAGTCGCCTGAAGAGAACATTCAGCATCACGTCCGATAGGCGAAAGCACGGCATGAACCAAAGGTAAAGCACATTTGACTGGCTGCACTTCGATTTATCAAAAAAAAATGTCCTTTTTGGTCAGAATCGTCAGAATTGAAACTAAAAAATGTCCCAGTATAAAATAAATTCAATTAAAAATCGTGACAAAGGGAAATCATTCGTGTTTCGTAACATATTATTCCATAGCAGTAGATTATACAGTACTGAGCAATCTGAATTTTGTACTGACTAAATGTATTTTTGCTTGCCAAAATTATATGTATTTTGCTCGTCAAAATATTTTTCCGTTCATTTGTTGCTCTTCTGATAATTCTCTGTAAAATATTGCTATAGGTACATATTTATATGGATTAATTGAAAGACAGACATTTTGTACACAGTGCAATTTCCCCTCTGAATTGTAGAGCAACTTTGTAATTCAATCCTGCGTATAATCATTGATTTTCCTCACATATCAAAGAGATAATTGGATGATTTGCGTATTTATCAAGGTATTTATTTAATTCATTTTTGTGATTGAAAAATATATTTCGTAAATCAGTTAATTGATTGGATATTTTTACAGAAGCCAGATAAATGGAAATTAATAGCAAAAGAATAGCAAGAAATTTCTTTGAAGTTCGAATTGACAGTAATTTGGAAAATATGCAATTGCAAATGTGTCACTGCTTTTGTGCAAAAATGAATTTTCTGTAATTGTTTTCCTCATGCCCAAATCATATGCAATTATTTTAATTTTTATTTCAATAGTGACAATCTGAAACGAAATAAATGTGCTTTGTAATCCACCAACAGATGGTCGGCGTCGCTTCAGAACCTTCAACAAATTGACAATATGGTGAGCTATGAGGACCTGAGCTTCATCAATTACGACGAATTTAACCACATCGAGAAGCAAGTGGACCGAGCCTTGAGCCAGCTGGACGTGAAGGCGGCGGCGAAAGAGCGCAGAGCGTCGGCCGTTGACTCTGGCGTCGCGCCAAAAGCGCCGGAAATGGTGAAGCGCGTGAAGAAGAGGGACAAGAAGGTGTCCTATCAGAATGACTGGGACGCGAACTTCGACATGGACAAGAACCTCTACCGCCAGAGTCTGGACGGTGATAAGCTGCAGACGCTGAGTCGCGTGAACAGAAAGTCCTTCCGCTGGAGCAATGTCTTCGAGCCCGTGCCCACTGAATACCTGCAGCTGGACGCCGTGCAGAAAGCGCGAAAGGTGTCCGTGCGAGACGACAGGACGCCTCTGTGCGCCACCCACCCCAGCTCGACCGTCCGCAGCAAATCCCTCCCAAGCCTCGTCAACTCGAGCTTTGCGCCACAGGATGCGTGGGTGAGTCAATTGAATTGTAACAGTCCATTGAACAACAAAGGGTGCAAAATTCAGCTGTTTCCCAGCATTTACACATTCAATTCACGGCTATATTTATGAATGTTGCCTCATTTTTGAGTGTCTCTATCACACTTTTCACTTAAAGCCCCAAATTTCCGTAATTAACTCATCCGAGGGATGCTAATGAAAATTGATGGAGCAACAATTCATACCGCGTAACGACTGAGAAATTCTATTGAGTGTTTTTGGCGGCAATTTATTTCAACTCCCAAAAATTGGACGTTGAAATCCACGAACAGATAAATTGATGCAAATTTCTTCACATAAACGCCATACAAAGAATGCATTAATTGATTGTCGAGCTGACATATTGAGGATGAATTGACATATATTGCATGTCCTTTTTTGCATGTGCTTTGCAGATATCAATCGAGAAATCATATTTCATTGAATTTGTACTATTTTACATATAGTGAATGTCACCGGAAAAAAAATCTCATCTGAATTCAAATAAGTTCTATTCTACTAGAGATTATCTGCGGTTTGATTTTGAGCTGTCTGCAAATGTTCTGCTCAGAATAAGGCACAATTAGTCTAAATTGATTCTTAAGCTGAAGAAACCACAAGAGCAACTTCCTCTATATTTCTTGCTCTCCACCCAGAAAGCAATAAGGAAGCACTTCAATTTGTAACACTGCAATCTCTTGAACATCTCTAACAATTCCATAATCTATACTTTGTGAAGTTCATGGGTTTTCGATATATTCCATGAAATTGTTCTTAATCCCAGAAAATGTAACTTCTCTCTTATCTCAATTTTCAAATGACGCATTTCTTATCATTTCAATATAGAGGAATGTTGTGCGTGATATAAGTTTAGGCACTAAACTACTTTCTGATCTTAGATGGCGCCACTGAGTGTAAAATTTCTTAATCTTATCTCCTTGGCTGGGCGTTGTTCCACTAATTTGCTCGCAATCTGAGGTGCTCCATGCAAAAATGGGCCTTTGTGGGTTATCGCTTAACTTTATTTGTCTCTTCTTGTCTCTGTTAAAAAAATTCAATTACACCTGATTACAGGTAATTTATAATTAGTGAAAGAATACACTTAAAAACCAGTGAAATTGGCAATTGTTGCATTGTGACTGAGGTCCTAAAGAGAGGATGCTTGTCTATTGCCATGATGTCATTCTGTCTGTTGATGGCTGAGGTGTGATGAATGTGGCGTGATGTAGTCTTAGGCATCCTTGGCAAAGTGCACGAACGCCAGAACGGTGTCCACCAGGTAAAGGGCGCCCGAGATGATGCACAGCGCGCCCATGGCGAGTCCCACTTGCCGCTCTGTGGCCACATGCAGGAAGTCGTGGTCGGGCATGTAGCCGTGCCAATAGTGTAGAGCAGTTCCGCCCACTGCCACCCACATGAACGTACCCACAACGTTCATGATGGTGTCCGACAGCTCTCTGCAATTAGGGCAATTAGTGTCATCAAAAGGGATGCTCTAACGAACTCCGAAGCGCTTCTCTTTCTTACCTCTTGTGCGCCGTTGTTCCGAAAGCATACGTTATGAGTTGCACTGAAGTGTAAATCATGAAACCCACAATCACACCAGAAGCCACAATCTCTGCATCGGGACTCTTCTCCTCGTTGAGGTTCCATGTGCCACCGACGCCCAGAAAGTCGCCACCATAGCCAGTGCGGTAGAGGATGAGAATGACAATGTTCAGCACCTGTTGAGCGGATGAAAATCATCATCAATTTCCTTCAAAACAGCACCACACATCGCTAAGTCTCTTTTGCCGTGAGATCATTCCATTCGATTTCACTTATCGTGACGCTGGGAGTTTATGAGTACAACACTCACTGATAAGATAGCGATTAGTCAATTCTGTGGAAAATATGTTGGAATCTTATGTGAATTTCCCAATATTTTCCCAACAAATCTGAATCATCTCCTCAATTAATCATTCCACAAATATTTCCTAATCGAATCCTTCAGCATGATCTCTCAGCACAAGTCCTCAAAGGCCTTCAAATTGAGCGCACACGCATGAAAATCATGTCACAAAAAACGGGTGTGGTTGAAAAATTCCAAGGTGATTTCAATAACTCCAATGATTTTGATAAATTAAGAAAACTCTATTGCTTCACAATATCATTTCCTTATGCCCAAAATTGTCACGGAAAACTCACCAATTTGAACACTTTGAGAAAAACTGAACCAATCGTCTCCACTGACACCATTTTTCTTCCTTGTTATTATCCTTTTAGCTGTGCAACAGAAATTTTATTTTACAACAATCTTCAGCACGAAGAGAAAACTCTGAAGCCACACCACAAAAAACTGTTCCTTACTTGTGCAAAAAAATAGAGCAGATGCAGAGATGCGTGTCTCAATCAGTAAAAACTCACAAAATGAATGGCGAACAAGTCTCCGAACGCCTTCTCAATTTGCCAACACACACAGCACCTGATAGCGCTTATCAGAGCTGTGAGCTTGATAAGACACTTTTGGGCAAACATTCATTGGTCATATCGCTATTCACCTGCGATAATGTTCATGTGAAATGGAGCACAGGAACGTTGTAATGTGGATGAGTGACAAATTTCCGAGGAAGCGATGACTGAATTGATGATTCTGCCTGAGTGTGTGAAGTGAAAATGGGGAAATTGCATATTCAAATTACAGGACTGTTTGATGATTGACAGAACAGGCATTGAATTTCATGCCTTTGAATGCTGAGAAAAGTTAAATGGAATCCCATTTAATGCAATGTTCTGCAACAAAGGATAATTTTGCGAAGTATTCACACAGAGTAATAGTAAATTAAGAGCAAAGCTGTATAGGATGATGCATATTCGCGAATATGGATAGTTGTTTGTATTACATTTCAAATTATGTTTGGACGAAAGAGGCCAGAAAATTGTTTCGCTCATTTTTCCTTTCAATTACTCGTGAAACGAGGTATATGAAAAAGTTGGTAATGAAACTATGTGAATGTTGTATTGCTTCATATACGTTGCAGAGAGCATTTTAATAACTTTTCAATTAAGATAGTTAATTTAATAATAAAGCTTTACGTGAAAAATTTTCTCATTTAACATGGACAACATGACAATTGAGGAAGTTGTTGAAGTTGTCAGAAAGCACATTTAAATGTAAATTAACATAAAATTACAGAATTTTTTTACATAGTATTTCGTAGAAATAATAAGCATAAAATATTGTCTTTGCATAATAATAAGCGACTCGAGGGTTCATCTAATTTTTGCTGTGAACCACACTTTGCTCTGTGAATGTGAAGATGGTTTTGGAGATAATCAAAACCGGTTGGCATGAACACTTGAGATATGATAATGTGAAGGGTGAACTCTGTAAGCTTCTACTCTATTACATCAAGACCCTAAAAAGGTTCCTTTTTGGATGTCCTGACCTCGTGACGAAAGCATTCATGGCATATTTTCCAAATAGGTTTTGTGTACAGATATTGAAATACAGTAGCTATTAATTAAATGGGCGACGCATTCGAAGGGGCGTGATTTTAAACATTGGATACAAAGAATTTTTTTTCACAAATTAGAATTAAGCGCACCATAATTCGCAAAACATGACAATTTTTTCCATTTGTGCTTTTGGAAAAATAAAATAAAAGCTTTTTTTTTTCTATTGTCTCATAAGGTATAATTCTCAAATTCTTGTAACAGAAAGAACAAATAAAAGGCTTTCAAAATAACATAAGACGAAAATTATGATAATCGACTTTTCATAGTTTTCCATTCGCTCGTCGATATAGTCTTACGTTTTTTTTATTCCCCATCACGATAAGGATGAATTCAAAATCCTTTTTAATGCACACTTACTTTGTGCTTTCTCTGTTTTGTTTACTTTTTACTGAAGTTCAATGGCAATAAGCTATGCGGGATGCCATGTGGCAATCCTTTTGTTTATTGCACACTTTGAAAGAAAACAACACTTCGCAGTGCCATCAATTTGAGCCATTCTATGTCCACGGCAAATTTGAAAGGAGCTGGAAAATGTGCGACTAATATGTTTATCGATTTTCTCATCAAACATTAGGGATTGCCATTTAACAACGTGTTATGCTTGATTTATGATATGCATATCATCTCTCTATACATTGTATTTAATATAGCAAGGGGAGATTTTTTAGTCTGTCCCATGAGCATACTTTTGAGACGCGCGGTGTGAAGTTGAGTTTAACCCTCGTCCTGGGAGAGTTCATTCATGTATTCTCGCTCAAAAGACACTTCATATGTTGCTGTAAACTCGCAAAATCAACTATTTTTACCGAGAATTGATTTATCGCACTACCAAGTGATGGATTTGCAATAAGGATATCCTCTGTGCATATAATATGGCCTTTTTCCTGGAAAATGGGATTTCAAAGCTCCATAAGGATGCATGACAAATTCAGTGCTTCCGCGTACTTTCACATCGCTAAATCAAATTATACAACTTTCCCAGCAACACAAGGAGAAAAAAAAATCAGAGGTGCATCAGAGCTTTCCAGTAGGGATTCTGTGATCAGGCGCAGTGGGAGCTTCGCCATTGCCTATAAAAGAACTCATGCTTCTGTGTCTGCTCTCAGTCATTTCGCCACACTTTCTCGGCTCACACCGACAATTGGGCAACAGTTGCCTGAGGCCGAGAGCTTTCGTCAAGAATCACTGAATTGCAGAATAAAAAATCACATTGATAAATATTTCGGGATCTCATAATAAAAATCATACAACATCATACCAGAACGACAGACCCTTAAATTCAAGTGAATTATTTATTTGTTTTCGCGCGAAAATATATTTTCCCAAGTGTGACGGAGTGTCAGGAGGGAAGGACAGTTCTACGATGTGTATTTCTGATTTTTTTTGTTGGAATCTTTTTTTCATCTTACTAGTCATTTACGTGTTAGTCATTAAATTGGTCACCTTTAGTATCGTAAATTATTTATTTGATATATTTTATCCCTACTTCGAAGAACCGTACGAGGAAGACAACGCTGTTCAAGAGGTTCTACATTGCTAAGTTTCTTGGCGAAAGCATTCGCGCAAAAAAATCCCTCCTGCATTTTGTGGCATTCTACACAAATTTGTATCTTCTCTATCAAGTGAATCTCTTCCTTCCGCTGATGCCTTGTGTTATTCCTGTATAATTGTAAGCTGTCTCTGTATTTGAAACAAATCTTTGTATACAATTACCTGTGCAGTTTTTGGTCATGGTAAATCTTGGAGACAACTTGAGTGAGTACAAATCTGACTAATCACTTATCTCCGTGACCTCTAATCATTGATTGTGCATTGAAGTGTAGCAACACCATTTGAAATCACCCCACAAATCCAACGTCTAATTGCATTTGATTGTAGAATTTGGCAATTTCTGGCAGGGGTGATGGAAAATGAGGCTATTCACTTATGTAACCGTGCCGAGGAAGGAAAACTAATCGATATATTCTCTCCTCGGGTTCACTTTAAGCTGTATTTGTGCGCTTCTCGAGCTTTAATTCATGCCGCCCGTCCGAAAAACGCACACGGCAGAAAGGGGCGCAATTTTTTGTTTCTGGTGAGGGTGTTAAAGTGAAACCACAAAGAAATCAATGAATAATTTGTCTCTGGATGGCGTGAGAATTTTCTGGTGTATGTGTGATGTGATAGAATTGCGAACGTAAGTTTGGGAAAGACAGACAAGTTTTACCGACTTGTTTTGCTTGTCGTCAGAAAATCAATTATTAATTTATGTACAGCGCTTTAGGTCAGGCTAAATCGTATACTTCTCACGTGCTTTCTCGTCATTGGGCCACCTAATAAAATGCTTGATTTTCTTATGATCTCAATAATTGTATTCCACATTATTCAAAGTTATTCCATGTTCCTCTTCTCACCCTCTCTCGCAGGCAAAGTTCATGCGAGAACGTCTAAATTTAGAGATGGATTTCTGGGTAGAAAATTACTGTTTTTGTATTTTACAAGTGTTCTTGACCCCTTCTTAAAAAAAACTGCAAATTGTAAATTTTGACAAAAATTAGATTTAAGGGGGATTCCTTAAAACATATTTCACACGTTTAGACTTTCTGCTTTGGTGACTTATCTCGTTAAGTCCTAATTGGTGAATGTTGAGGTAAATTATCTCTGCTCTATATACATAAAAATTGCCCTGGGGTGAAGAGATATAAATTCAGCAGTACTATATCACGCTTTCGCATCGCATTTTGAGGAAAATGACATAGAAGTGGGTGGTTTTATGGTCAGAGTGTATCGCCCAGGTTCAAATGGTGTCTCGCCACACCACAAAACTCGTGTTGACCTGCAAATGGCAAATAAATTGGGTATGTATTGTTGTGGAAAGTTTGATAATTCTCATCATCGTTTTTGTTTGCCCTCTCCAATTCCCTAATTCGGCTATACTCACCTTTTTTTCCCTCGACGCACACACACACATACACAATATTCCAACGTTTATTATTATAAATAGAATGGAGAAACCTTCTTTTCTCTTATTCCTTATGTAAAGCAGCCCAATTCGATTGTGCTGTTGCGCTGGAATATTCCTTAGCAGAAAGTTGGGATGGCGTAAGAAAATTACTATATATATATATATATATATATATGTATATACCGAATTAAATCTCACGAGGGATTTGAAGAGATATGAACAGTGGTATCTCTCCTTCCAAGATTAATATTTCAACCTGAATTCTCTGGCCATACGAAACTTACATTAAGATATGCTCTCTAAATTGTCAGAATTCAATTACACACTTCTCCCAACAACATCCTTATTATTGCACAGCAAAATACATCTCACATGCTTTAAGATGAACCAGTGACAATGATGGAATTTCCGACAGTTATATGAAAATGCCCTAAAATGCTCAAAGCACGTCACATTGTGTCAACAAAGCTCTTTGATCTGAAAAACTGTGCGGAAGAAAGTTGGAACAATCTCCTAATATATGTGATACGAAAGCATTTGCCGTACATTCTGGACATTCTGTGCCTTCTGTACATTCTGTGACTTCAATATGTCTTTCCCATATTGTTTCCATAATATTCAGCAAATGCGCGCCAAGTTGGATCTTTTCACAAAGCATTTCCAAATTGGGGACACTTTCTCCACTTAGTTTGTAGCATAAATTTTATGTTTATGCTCTCAACGGCATGTTTGAGTTCTCAAGAGAATTATGCAAAATGATATAACATTAGAAGTTCTTAAATGTTGAAATTAACTCATTTCATACCGCATTTGGAGGGAGACTTCATCGTGAAAAAAAAATGCCCAAGACGTGTTTGAGTGAAGAGGAACTTTAGTGTACATGTTTGCACTTTGAGGTTGAGAAAATGAGTGAGCTAAAAATAAATACAAATTCTCAGCACTTCCGACAGACAAGGTACTCTTACATTATATGCAATTACCTGTGACATGGATAGAAGTGTGCGAATTGTGCGCCGTC